GTGAGCTGGCTCAGCAGGTGCAACAAGTGGCTGCTGAATATGGCAGGGCCTCCCGTCTCAAGAGCACCTGCATCTATGGTGGTGCACCCAAAGGACCCCAGATCAGGGACCTTGAGAGGGGTATGCTTACTTTGATCCTTTAAGTGAATATTGCTAAATTCATTAGGCATTTCTTTGCTAATATGTCTTTGCTTTGATTACATTTGAAGAACTCTTTGATTTACATTTGGGCAATTTACCAGTATCAAAACTGATTGTGTTTTTCTTGCCTTGTTTAAGGTGTTGAGATCTGCATCGCCACCCCAGGTCGTCTCATTGACTTCCTGGAGTGTGGTAAGACTAATTTGCGCCGTTGCACATACCTGGTGCTGGATGAAGCTGACCGCATGCTGGACATGGGATTCGAACCTCAAATCCGCAAAATAGTTGAACAAATCCGGGTAAGCTGTTTCCTTTCACTTGGCAGACATTTGATATTTTTGATATAATGTCCAAGAAAATTGTCACACCACCAACTGTTTTGTTTATGAGTAAAAATGCACCAGAAGATGAAATTAAAGTCATACTGATGGAAATAAAAAATAAGTTTGTCAAACAAGCTGCAACCACTTAAATTAACTGTTACTGACACTAAAATGTCTGACTGGTACATTCTAAGTTTAACACTTAAACAGTTATATAAGTGTGTAAGTGTTAAATTTACATGGAAACTGCCAAGCTGTTACAAGTCCTTTCTCTTGTCCTTACCAGCCAGACCGTCAGACCCTGATGTGGAGTGCCACCTGGCCTAAGGAAGTTCGCCAGCTGGCTGAGGACTTCCTGAAGGACTATGTCCAGATCAACATTGGAGCACTGCAGCTCAGCGCCAATCACAACATCCTACAGATAGTTGATGTTTGCAGTGACATGGAGAAGGAGGACAAGTCAGTAGATGATTTCCATTTCTCCTTTTTCAGTATCATTTGATCAACTGATGCGATGAAAAAACAGTTTTGTCTCAACCTTCTTCTATCTCCTCTTTGTTAGACTGATCCGTTTGCTGGAGGAGATAATGAGTGAAAAGGAGAACAAGACCATTATATTTGTGGAGACCAAAAGGCGTTGTGATGAGCTCACCAGGAGGATGAGACGAGATGGGTAAAGATCTCCTCTCTGTTCCTTTAAAGGATGTCTGTACCTTACATGAATTCATTTGTTCATCTGTCAAGTGTCTTTGCTTGTGAAAACACAAGCACACTGAATTTAGTTTAAACTGGGCTAGGAATGCTTAATGCTCAATGTGTCTGTCACAGTTGGCCGGCCATGGGAATTCATGGAGACAAGAGCCAGCAGGAGAGGGACTGGGTCCTTAATGGTGAGATTTAATAAATCACATTGTTATGGTTTTAAAATGATTTAAGAGTCATTGTCACAGGCTGCCCTGTAATTTAATTAAATACCGGCTCTGTCCCTTCAGAATTCAGATATGGCAAAGCTCCAATCCTCATTGCTACAGATGTGGCCTCCCGTGGCTTAGGTCAGTATGCCATTGAGTAGCACCACTTTCTTATCAGTGTTACACTTATTTTAAAGAAAGTGGTTTTGCTTTCTTTAACTTTTCTATGCATTTTCTGAGTTTTTCTCACCTTAAGGTGGAGTCTTTGTGGCAGGCGCTAGGCATGACAGTCCCAGGCCTCGAGAGGGAGATGGATGACATATTGGAAGTGCTCAACTGGCTTGCCACCCAGTGGGCCTAGAGAGGTGAAAGCTCTTGTGTGCCAGTGATCTTCAAAAGGCTGTGTGGCTAAGCCTTTGTCTCTGATATGTTGTTGAAATACACACACATCTGTTCTCTGTCCATGGATTTCACCTGACAAATGCCATCCAGCTGTTTCCAACTCAAACGTAAAAAAAAAAGATATGCTTGATGCTGATGTGACTTTTGCCTTGCATGCTGTTGTGTTAGAGAGCGCTGTATTGCAAGTCACTTGTTTGAGATTTGGAACAATTGTTACCTTTCGGAGCTTGTATCACATAGCATGGGTGCTTGTGAGCCTGTCTAAGCTTTCAGTTGTTTTCTTTTCCCGTCAAAGTGCTGGATTTCTTGAAATGGAGAGAGCAGTTTGAAATATTTTGTCTCTGAAAATTGATGAGACCTGGCACATGTGTGTAGGGGGTAGTGGGAACACCTAGTGAGAGGAGAAAGAGAGTGAGACAGCTCAAACCAAAGTTCCTCCCTCGCCTGCGTTTTATAGTCATGTCGAGACCTGCCAACGAGAGACATTTTCTCAAGTGAACACTGGCTTCTTGGAAGATCTTGCCTTGATGAGACTGATGAAGGGTGTGGGGGCAATTGTTCTGTGTTCGCTGAGGGGTCCCACAGGGTTCAATGCTTGGGCCTTTTTCATTTTTTTTGAAGGGGCCCCTGTTCAAATTAGTACTTGGTCTATTTTGTCTTGGCAAGACATGCAGTGCGGCCTTTAATATCAGGTTTCTTTTGAGAGTGTACTGGGAAAAATGGACCTGCAAAAATGTACCACTCAATGGTCCTATATTGGCACATGAGGACGCCCCAGTGCATATCGTGGCCCAACTGCGTAGAAGCTCCTGGATGTCACTTGACAATTTGTGGGGGATTTCGCTGCATTGGGAAAGGACTAGTGAATGCATACTCCTTTATGGTAAGACCTAAATCCATTTCTTTTTCTCCCTTGGTAACAAAAGGGAGAGTGAATGTCTTTTGGATCTTTTTGATTATGGTAAGCAATTGGAGTGTGCATCGTTTCTCTCTTCCCACAGTAGTATTCCCATGGAATAGTTGTGTACAAAATATTATGTTGTTTTAACACATTTTCCTCCACAGCCTAATGACCATTTTCTTTCCCCAGCCTTCACAGTTGCTAACTTTTCCCTTTGATCTGGCTGTTGTGGTGTGCAAAATCCTGTGTGGCCTCCATGTTTTGTTTTGCCACACTGCAACACTTTCACAGATGTGGAGGATGTGAAATTTGTCATCAATTATGACTACCCTAACTCCTCCGAGGATTATATCCACCGAATTGGACGCACAGCCCGAAGTCAAAAAACGGGCACAGCCTACACCTTCTTCACCCCCAACAACATGAAACAAGCCAGTGACCTGATCTCTGTGCTCCGCGAGGCCAACCAGGCCATTAACCCCAAGCTGATCCAGATGGCAGAGGACAGAGGAGGTAAAATCTGTGGCATGTTGGCATTAATAAGCATATTAACATTTTTTTAAATTATTATTCATGATGGAGGATATTTTATTATTATAAGTAAACACAAAACATTTCATTTTCATTTAGGTAAAGTATGTGAGCAAATAAGAATTTAACAGTCCAGGGGGAGTTAAGGGCTCTATTTATCTAATTGATGTCTCCTAGTTGTGCTGCCATGTTGATTAAGGTTCAGTGTAGTAACAGTCTGAACCCACTCCTCTCTCTCCTTTTGTCCCTCTCCTGTCTTCATCTCATCCAGGTCGTGGAAGGGGGGGAAGAGGTGGCTACAAGGATGACCGTCGCGATAGGTATTCTGGGGGTGGGAGGAGCAACTTTGGTGGTAGTAGTTACAGGGACAGGGAAAGTGATAGAGGGTTTGGCAGTGGGCCGAAGAGTGCCTTTGGTGGCAGCAAGGCCCAAAATGGTGGCAGCTATGGAGGCAACAGTGGTAACTCTGGTGGTAGCTATGGCAACAACAATTATAGCAACAGCAATGGACAGGGTAATTTTGGTGCTCCAGCAAACCAGGTGGGTGCCTTTGGTAACCAAAGCTTCCAGGGCCCCCCTCAGTTCGGGGCCATGCAGAGGGCCGCTCAGAATGGCATGAATCACCCGCCATTCCCATTCAATTCTCAGCCGCCACCACCACAGGCCCAACAGCCACCACCCCCTCCACCGATGGTGCCCTACCCCATGCCACCACCCTTCCCACAGTAGATATGATATACGCACAATATATGGGAACCAACATGATTTTTGTTTAGTCTTGCAATCTTACAGTATGATGATGATTATTATTATTATTATCCTTTGTACTGTTTAACTTTGTTTTGCTTACAGCAGGGTTGGAATTATTCAGTAAACCCAGAGCATTAAATGGAGTCATAGACATGTCTCCTATAGTGCAACTATGATTGCTGCACTTTTCCTTGACTGTTTTTTGTTACATTCCTCGGTAATTTATTTTTACTAGGTAATGCAGTGTTTTCAGTTTGTGGTATGTTTAAAGTGATGTTAATGAAGATCATATAAAAAGGGTTTGTGTAGCCCTTTTAAATAAAAATAAGAAAATGGAAACCTCGTTTTGTGTGTTTTGTTTTGAAAGTTTGTGTTGGAAGAATTATTAGAGCTTGGATTGGTTTGGCATGGATCTGATCTGGATCTTTGACATGGTTCAGTGGCACACTGGACCTTAATACAGTATCTGAACACATTTTTGACATTAACACAGGTTATGAAGTGAGTAGGTTTGAAAGATGGAGTGAATGAAAGAAGTCACACTTTGAAATTGCAAACTGCTGCACAGAAATGGAAAGTCTGGGCATAATGGATGTCTACAGCCCCTGGATGTCTGCACCTCTCCTTTGGAGCAACAACCCTATTAATGACCCTGCTTGTGCTTGTACTAATGTTCAGGCCTGTTGCCGCCATTGAGGCCACTGAGCATTTAGAGGCCTTAGTGAAACAATGACATTTTTTGGGGGGGATATTTAAAGTTGTATTAATATATTATTTACCTCACTGGCACTATTTTTGGTGTTTCATTTTGTAGCTTTGTTGTTTTTGTTAATAAATTGTTCATAATCCTAACCTGAAACAACCATACTAGTAAATACTACTGAAAAGGCTATTATGTAATTTCAATATACGATACAGTCTATTCAAATGTTTGTTTGTTTTTTTAAAGCCTGACATAAACAATTGATATGGAAAGCCCCAGCTGACATGCGTTGTAACCCGGAACTACAAATATAACTTCCGGATGATATATCACATGTATCTCCTGTGAACCTGTGAAATCCAAAGTTTGCCCGTGGTTATCGTTCAGCAGTAACCAGGCAACTATCAAGCCAATGCGGACTCTGAAGACACTGACGGGCTCTAACATTAGCGGCTTATATGTTTGTACATGCTGTTAGCGTTCAACAGACTGAGGAGTACACAGAGACTCATTTCTCGCTGAGCGTTTATTTCGAGGATAAACAGAAACAGTTTACTCTGAACAGTTTTTAAGAAAGTTTATATGCCATACTAACGCCTTGCTAATAATTTGTTTTAAGTTAAAATGTTTAACCTGGAGCATTTAAAGTGAATTTGGACGGTGAGGAGCGGCCAGATTTTTACTCATGGGGTTGCATCGTTTGAATAGACAATCTTTGGACAAATATTAATTCTCTCAAGCTTCTCATCATGTTAAATCACTGTGTCAGACGCGCTTTCACATTAAAAACCTCGCAGAGCAGAACAGCAGCGAACCTGCGGCTCAACAGAGGACGCTGCAGTGCATCATGGAGTGAGGATTTGGATGAGGTCAGGACTCTGCTGCAGCTCTGCCTGGACAGACACTACATCTCACGGGGTCAGGCTAACGCCGAGCTGTTTCGGCGTGGGATGAGCTGCAGCTATGGACCTCTGGGCATGGAGCTGAGGAGAAACCTGCTGGAGCAGTGGTGGCTCTCTGTGACCAGGTCCACAGCTCAGGTGTTTGGGATCAACACCCTGAGCAGCAGCAAGGACAGAGAAACAGACGGAGTAGGACAACTGAGGATGGTTGAGTCTGAAAACTTAAAACAAATACTTGAGCAACAAGAGCTGAGCAAGGACCAGATCATCCAGGAGGTGCAAATGCTGCTTCAGAGGTCGCCATCTGTGAGAACAAACTTACTTCAAGGTAAATGCTGCATACCAGAAAGTTTTCAATTAGTATGAATTGACAAGTAAGAGTTGGATGAGTATATACTGGATAATGATTATGATAGCATGTAGTTTCAAGGGCTGTGTAGCAAGATGGACCATCCTTGTCTTGGCAAACCATGGCTTCAAGCTCAGCAGAATCCTGGTGCAGAGACTGACGGTTTTAAGGAACTTCCTGGGGTGAGCCAGTCACAGTTCAAGCTCCTCCAAACAAGCAATATGTTTAGGTCCAGGACTTTATCAGTGGGAATTTGTGCTCTGCCTCAGAGGAAGTTTCACATGAAAGCTTCAACTTAGGGCAAAGAAATCCTCCCCATCAGGTGGCTGAGAGTAATAAATATTGTATTGGATCAGATGATATGATGAGAACCAAGTATTGCACTAGTGAAAAGAGTAGCACATGGGAACATAATGACATCCTCAACTTGTAACAAAAAAAAAAAAAAGAAGAAAAACAACATTTTCCATTCCAGCCTTATTCTTTGTTGAAATGCAAAATTTGGATTAACTGAATAAAAAACATGAATTAAGTCTGCGTCTGCTCTCAGGTGCCTTGGAGCAGTTTGTCCCCTCGTTGGAGCTGGTGAACACGAAGCTGCCTTTTGGCCTGGCTGAGACTGGTCTGTGTTTTCCGTCCTCTGACGGTTCTGGTTGGTGAGGCTTCATCTGCTGTGTATCGTCTGTTTGTCTCTCTGTGGGTGTAGAGACATCCATCCATCCATTTTCTACCGCTTATCCTCTAGTAGGGTCGCGGGGGGCTGGAGCCTATCCCAGCATCCTTTCGGGCGAGAGGCGGGGTACACCCTGGACAGGTCGCCAGTCCATCGCAGGGCACACAGAGACAAACAACCATTCACTCTCACATTCATACCTATGGTCAATTTGGAGTAACCAATCAGCCTAGTCCCCATTTGCATGTCTTTGGACTGTGGGAGGAAGCCGGAGTGGTGTAGAGACATGCTTGTGAAAAATTATGTATGATTGGCACTGTAATTTTGGGATAAGGAGGATTTTGCTCCTTGATGAGTTCATGTTAACACCACCTCTATGATGTATGTAGGCAAGTACTCTTCATTAGTAAAACCTCAATATGTTTAATAAATCTTTATTTAACACCCCAGCTGTATGTGGAACTTAAGCTGACTGCTCGTACTATAAAAAGTTACATGACTATTAACATGTGATGTGTGCATCAATAGATTATTCGTTGTCTTTTTGGTCAGTATGGTTATTTTCAAATCCGTGCCCTGTTTGTATTTGGGCTGCAGCTCAAACACGTCCCAGTGATCAGATCAGTTTTGATGGTTATGATGTCAATAATCTTTTGCATTTACTGTATGTTGTAGCACACTGTTCATTATTTAACCACTAGAGGGCAAACTGACTCTGTTTTTCTGAGGTAATACACAGTTGTGTTTTTTAAAAATATGTTATATTTTTAAGAGAAAAATACTATTTGAAAAGCTACAAATGTGTAGTACTAATATAAGTATTAATTATTTTTCTGCCAGCCCTGCTGAGGTCACTCAGACGTCTGTGGTGTGGTTCTGCTCTCCTCGCACCTCCTCGCAGTGGCTGGATCACTGGACACGACAGAGGCTAAAGTGGTGGAGGAAAGTGAGTATTTAAAGCAGTGTCTCCCAAAATTATTAGGAGTTTGTATCTGGGCTAACACCTCAATAAGGACTTTCCTTTTATACCTATGTAGGTACTTTAATGGCTGAACTGGCACAGGTGACGAGGCGTGGTGAGCAGCCTCTTGACAAAGAGCAACTCTGACATTCAGATCCTCTTTGTGAAATTCAGAGACCAGATTGGTTTTAACTTTATGTTTTAAATGAACAACAGAAGAAAGATTTCTATTGCCCCGAAGGGAGATCAAACCATTGATTTTCTTTTTTTCTCTTCTGCAAAGGTTTTGCTAAAAGATGTTAATCAAAACCAGAACTGTAGTTCTTACTGTGATTGCAAGGTAGTTATGTTGTGCTGAACCAGCTGGAGTGCAAAAAGGGTTGTGGACCTGATTTATTTTGCTTTTCACATTAAATAAGACAAGTTGACTGTTATGTGCCCTAGTTCCTGAGGGTCGAGGTCAGTGATTGACATTTAAAGGGGTCTAAATATTCCATGCTCTGTATTTTTCAAACATCCACATTAGGTCAAGAAGTGCGTCTTTAAGACTACATCAGGATAAGTTACAAAATCATGTCAACTCACGCCTTCCCTTTGTTCCTTCTTTTCTTTCAATCCGTCCATTACCAGTTTGCCCTGTCTCCGTCCGACTTCAGCAGCTGTGACATCCCGGAGGAGGAACTTGTGGTGGCGGCGTCTCGTGGTGTGAGGATCACCTACAACTTCCCGTGGGGACAGGAGCCTCTGGAGACCCTGTGTAGCCGAGGAGATGCTGAACTGCTGCAGACACACAAAGGAGCACGATCCAAACTACAGGTCAGTCTGCTTCTTCTTCTTTAGTGTCTTAATGTGAACACCGCAGCTTTTTTGTATGAGTACTGTTTGTTATGTCTGAATTCAGTTGCGTCATTGTAACTCCAAGTAACACTATTTACTGATTATTAGGATCTAATAATCAATACTCCCACATGGAAAGCAGAACAGTATTGTGCCTTGTTTTGAGCCACGCTTAATACACATTTTTCACAGCATTTTGACAAGTCAAAGCTGCACAGGTGTCATTAATGACATTAATAATGACTGCATTGTATTTAACTTGCCAGTTCTAGGGTCCTGGTCACTGCTGTCACTTATTGGCTAATCATTGATATTGTTAGTTCTCCCTGGCTATTTATTGCATATATTTCTTGCAAATATCTGCAGTGAAAAAATCCTTTAGCCCTATAGTAATTCCAGTTGATTCAATCATATTAAGTTTGTTTTATGTTGAGACTCCTATTGGTCATCTTTCAGGTCACAGTTAGGACTCTTGTTGATTAAACACAATCAGCTAGTCACTGTTGTTGTTGCATTTCTTCAGTGCAATCACATGCAGTGTTAATTGTTTCAGTGTCGAAATGGGCGCAAGACAGTTCCTCACGTTGTCTCTGTAACTGGGAACATGGACCGTGGTTTGATGGCCTTCTTGTCCAACTCACTGCAGCTGCTGAAGAGAGAAGACGGCAAGCAGAGGCTGCAGCAGAGAAAGGTAATGATGCTTTACAGCTGAGCTACATTTAAAAAGAAAAAATCAGGAAGTTGATTTGTTTTTTTCCTTCTTTATAATGTTATAATTACTTTCTCTCTTGTGATGTGATTCTGTCACTGAGTTTTGGTTCTCTTTTAATTTCAGGTGCTGAAGTTGCATCCAGTGTTGGCTCCAGTCAAAGTGGCTTTAGACCTTGGCAGGGGAGCCACTATGGAGCTGAGACAGGTAAAAAAAACAAACATTTATTAACAGTAGACAGGAATGATAAATTGCTTTTTTAGTGCTGGGTAAAAAGGATCTTTCAAGTTATAGAATCAGCACAAGTGTTTGAACGTGTTCATTGTGTGCCTGTCAAATCAAACAGAACTGATGAACATCCAACTATTTTATAGGTTTGTGAGGGCCTTCTTCAAGAGTTTATGGAGGCTAAGATCTCTGCATGGCCTGGGTATCTTGAAACTATGCCAACATCAATGGAGCAGCTGAATGCCAAGTAAAGTGTTATTAAGTACTGTAATGGATGCAGAATTGCTCATTAAGAGCAAATAAGAGATGTTTCTCTTGCTGTGGACTGATGTTTGTATGTGTGTCTCTGTGCCGTTGCATTGTAGGTACGATGAGATGGGAGTGCTTTTCACTGTGGTGATCAGTGAGAACACCTTGGAGAGCGGCCTCCTTCAGGTCCGCAGTAGAGACACCACCATCAAAGAAACTATGCACATCTCTGAGATTAAGAACTTTGTCTCCAGATACATTTCTGCTGCCGAAAAAATCTGAATGGACTTTTTGTTGGAGCAACTATAATGTGTCTGATTATTGTGCTGCCTTGGTTTTGCATCTTGTCTACACACAAAGCGATTGCACATTGGCAGCCTCCTTTCAGTACACTTAAGGCAAAGAGGTGGATAATTTGTGTTTTAACTATGTGATCAGACAGTGGTGCTCATATTGGAGGATTGCTATATTTGTTTGTATTTGTATTTCTGTCTTACTTTCTATTAAAATATAAACACTTTTTCTTTTGATATTGGATTTTTGTTTGCGATAATTTGATGGGCTTTGCATTTGGAGGAAATCTGGTAAAATATCGATTTTTAATTATGTTATGTACAGTCTTAAGCCTTGATTTGCTCCTGTACTTTATGTAACTGTAAAGGATGACATGTTTCCTATGAGGGCTTTCACTGTTCTGTCGTGGGGGTTATTGTATTCCAGTTTTAATGATTGCAAAGACAGCCCTTAAAGTGCATCCCTCAATTAGAAAACTCGTATCACATTTCCTTTGAGCACAGCCTTTACAGTTAAGTGGCCGAGAAAACCCATCAGCTAAATCTCGCGAGGGTTGGATGTATCTCTGCCCGTCCCTGACTCTACTTCTGACTGGGCATGTGTATGTGTGTGCCGCTTAGCTGTTAGCATCTAGAGATGGCCGCAGACAAGCAAAACGAAGCTAAAGTTTCCCCCATGGACGAAAACAAAGAAAATTTATCGGACGGAGGACTTGGACTGGAAAGTATCCTTCTCAGCACCAGATGTGTAGCGACGTTTTTATTGAGTTAATTTGCCCCGGCGAATCTGTGTCAGGTTCCGAAGCTAACGTTAGCTTCTTAGCTAGCTCGTTCAGAGGGTAACGTTATTAGGCGACGTGTCACACTGAAGCAGGCTATGTGTGGCATACAGGAAAAGCAGATTTAAATGACTTGTCATGTAAAGTTTTGTCAACTCCTAGGATAACTAGTAAACTATGAATGCTAGTTTGTGTGAGATGCTGTAAACATGTCAATCTGTTCGCTTTAAACTGTTGTAACCTCGTGAGTTTTAGTAGCAGCGCTAGAGCCATACAGTCTGGATCTGTACATCCAATGCTAACATGACTGACATACTCAGTACTAATGATGGGAATGAGGTTGCCCCTTAACCCTGAATTTCAGTCTTGCAAATCATCAAGGAGTCCCAGCAGCAGCATGGCCTCAGGCACGGAGACTACCAGAGATACAGGTGAGCTGAATGCAGTCAGACATGACCCTTAAAACTGCACCAAATGCACAAAATCTGTGGAGATGTCTGTATTGAACTGTCCAGTTTTGTGTAGTTGTTCACATAGAGGGGCCCAGTTCTATCTTCATCAGAGCACATTAGTAAACCTTATCTGTTAAGGTTCTCCTGTGAATTGACATTGAATGCTCTCCCTGTCATTAGATTTGTTTAATTCTCTTTGTATAACAGTGTTTAGGTTGGTGACCACATTCTTGTTTCACAAATTGAGAGTCAGCTATATACATTGAAACCTCTGCTGCCATATGGTTCATGAGACTGTGATGTGTGCAAATAGTTCATTGATTCTTATGGTTTGTTAAACTCTGATGTACACTGAATGGCCACTTCAGTTCTACTGTTAACAAAGCTTATAATGTTCAATTCTGTCCCCATTTGAAGCCAGAAAAGTAGAGATTATTTTGTATATTGCAGTCCAGTAGGAAATAGCCAGGATGTTAAGTATTATAAAGGTTGAATTTATGGTAAAGCTGTTGTATTGAATAAGATTGTACTGGAGTACCTAATAAAGTGGCCACTTTACTGTGTACTTTACACGCCACCATTGTCACCACATTAGCTGTTTCGAGTTGGCTAAAATAACAAGTTAGAAAAACAATGGCTGTTCTGTAGACAAATTAGGTTATTGATTCTTATTTTAAAGAAAATACTGTCTTATGTCTGTAAAAAATATTGCATTGTGTTACCATAATGGTTTCTTTGTCCATTTTTGAGAAACTGAGATAGAAATGTACAATATTAATTTATTGTAATATTAAGGTCCTTGTCTAACCATTTCCAGGGGCTACTGCTCTCGCAGACTGCGTCGCCTACGCAAGACTCTTGGTTTCAAGATGGGAAACCGACACAAGTTCATTGGGAAGAAAATAACTGTTGAAATGCTTTCTGACAGCAGGTGAGGATGGTTGATAACATGTAAATACATTAGTGTGTTTCTGTGATCAATGGACTTTAATACTGCTTTGTAAAGACTTGAAGAAATGAAAAAATTTGATGGTTTCATTCTCTTAACTTAGTCTCGTAAAAGTGACACCTGCAGAAAATAACGCTCCACTGTAGACAAAAAGTAATGAAAATACTGTATGCTGCCAAAGAACTGATGTAGTTCCCTCTCCTCCCTTCAGGTATCTATTGCTTGTTTTGATGGAGGCAGAGCGTGCGTGGAGCTACGCCATGCAGCTGAAGCAGGAGGCCAATACAGAGCCACGCAAACGCTTCCACCTGCTGGCACGTCTACGAAAGGCTGCCAAGCACAGCGAGAAGCTGGAGAAGCTCTGTGAAAGCCACCGTGTTGATGCCAAGACCAAACTGGAGGCACAGGTACGAGTGTGGATTCAGAGATACTTTGCAGGTGTAAAGAGTATATGGTATACATTTACTATGATACAGCGGTCTCATCTTTGTCTCATCATCCTTTGTAACATTTTTTGATCCTCGCTTGTTAGTATGTATGAAACAAAATGACTAATGTTGATACAAAGATTTAATTATTTAAAGCCATGTTATCAGGAGCGAACTTCTGATTGTTTCAGCAGACACTAATAAGGGCTAATGTATTTGAATTCAGGCCTACACTGCATACCTCAGTGGCATGGTGGAGTTTGAACTGCAGGAGTGGAAGCGTGCCATGGAGGCTTTCAACAAGTGCAAGTAAGTTTTAACATCACTACAGTTTCTAAATACACTGTCAGAATAAGTGGATGTATGTTTATCATCTATGGATTTTTATTACAGTTGGGAAATATAAAACCCAATTTTTTGTCTTGTCAGGACCATCTATGAGAAACTAGCCAGTGCGTTCACAGAGGAACTGGCAGTCCTGTACCGCCAGCGTGTGGACGAGATATCGCCCAACATCCGCTACTGTGCTTACAACATTGGTGAGTAACACACACTTCAATGTACACATACTGGTGGGGGAAAATTCAGTTGATCCTCCTCAACATAATCGACAGCCCCGTTAGACTCATTTAGGCATCCAGATATATTGTCCACAAACAGCACATGTCCAAAAGCTCATATCTCCCTCGCCTCACACATACACTTTGTAACTGGATTTTTTTCCCCCTCCTGTTTGCAGGTGACCAGAATGCCATCAATGACTTGATGCAGATGAGATTGACTGGTGGAGGAGGAGGCATGATGGCTGAGAAACTTGAGGTGAACATACAGAAGTTGGAAATTAGTTCATATGCTTGTATCATCAGTTATCTTTCATATATTGGTGATGCTTAATATCATGTTAGTGGGTGGGACATGCGCACACTCCTCGTGTTAATAAAATTTGAGATCAAATATTCAAGGTGTCTTCGCTCTTGAGGATAAGAAAATCCATGTTTTATAACGCATGTTTTATTTTTTCTCTTCAGGCCCTGATCACTCAGGCAAGAACCAAGCAGGCAGCCACCATGAGTGAGGTGGAGTGGCGAGGTCGGACGGTGCCCGTCAAGATTGACAAGGCCCGCATCTTCCTGTTGGGTCTTGCAGACAATGAGGCCGCCATTGCTCAGGCAAGTAGTTCATGCTCTGTAGATCTTTAATCGACCATCAATCTGAAAGTCTGAACATTTCTCAATATCGTTACATGGCAGTGCTCAGAAAGACACACAAAGTTTGTCCCCAAAGCCTAAATCATGAATTCTGTATCAGCGTGAATACAGGGTCCAAGTGATATTAATTGTGTTATCTGGACAAAATATATAACCATACACAACAATAAGTGTGAGCACTTCTGCCTAAGCAGACACCCAATGTAGCATAAAAGCCAGTTTATGAACATTTCTCTCAGAACTAGTTCTAAAGACGTGCCGTCAGATCTCGGTGTCAGAAAGTTACAGAAATGATCGGCCACTAGTCTGACTCACTTGATGTAGGCTGTTGGTGTTCTCCCCCTTTTCGCTTCCCCTGCGTCTTACCGTTTTCAAGATCCCCTTTCGCTATGGGAAACAACACCAACAACCTTTGATGAAGATTTGGATCATACAATCACACAGTCGACATACAACTTTGCTGCTTTTTGAGGTGTTTTCTTCGTGGTGGAATTAGCCATGTTAATGACAATACTCACCTCCACACGTGCAAATGTTCCCCCAAAACAAGTTCCTCTCCAACACTACTTGTGAAGGACACTGTTGCTGCATCCTGGGCTCCGAGCGCCACCTAAAACAACTGTGATTGGTTTAAAGAAATGCGAACAAGCCAGAGCATTTCTTCCCTACAGCAGAGTGGGTGCAGCCAGACCATTCTCCTGTGCTGACAGCTCTGTGGAGGTCGGTCTGGCTGTACAAGACTAGTCAGATACAGGCCTCCCCTGTTGAAAAGGTGTGTGGGAAGGAGCGTGCCAACGCTATCTGTTCATCTGACATGCAGTACAGAAAGAGAACAAATCCCACTTAAATAGAACCATATAGATGTACTCTATAATCATGTAATGGCAACTTCTATGCTTTGTTTTCAGCTCCAGCTTTCTGGCTGTAATTGTATGTCAATCCCCCCACAGGCTCCCCACTGTGTTTCCTCTCTGTCTCTAAATCTTAAAATAAATCTAATCTTTTTATTCTAGAAAATGATTCATTGTTACCCACTTAGTCACCACATGGTAAAAATGGTCAGTTCATGCTGCATCAGAAGGCAAATCAGTATCACCCCACCACTCAACACCACCATGTCATATCTGCATCCTCACATGCAATAGAGTTCTGACAGTCTATCATTTGTTGTGCCAAATCTGAAAGTTCATCCTTAAACCTAAATATCCCGTTTGACCTGGAAGCCAATACCCTATCTCAAATCTGTTCTGATGTACTTTTCAGACCTTTTTTCCTCAGTTTCTCATACCTACATGTGCAACTACTCCTCCAATAGCCAATTTTCCTTGTAAAGGTCCAGTTCCTTAAACTTTCAGGAGGTGGCACTCTCCTCTTTACTGTCTCATGTGTCACCACAGCTGATTCCTCTTGGTTTTTCTGTGCCTGAAGGCTCGGCACACCCTCTGTACACACCTGCCACACCCACAGTCACTCAGATCTCTGGCATGCAGCCTCTCTCAATGCACGACTGCATTCTGTGCATTTCAGCCCACACATAAATACAGGACTCCACCCAGCAGGTCTCTGTGGACAGATTAGCATTATCATCTCTAAGCACCATTCATTCTCAAATGGACCCTTTTGGGCCGAACTGTAGCGTTACACGTTATTGTTAAGGTAAAAATATCTATGACTGAATGCAAGGGAACTCACTGTGAAGCTGCCAATAATTATCATAGTTGATTGTTTTGTTTTGTTTTTCTAATATTTTAAGACTGGCTGGACTTTAAGACTCTTAGACTTTAAAGTAGAAAGTTTGGGTGCTACTTGTCCTAGATTACTCAGTGGAAATGAGCCAAGTCAAACCAACACTTTAAGCTTCCCCATGTGTTGCACCTGATCCTCAGTTCTTGGCCTCTTTGGACAGGAAACACCGCGTTGGGCCGTACATTAGTCCTAGTTGAAGAGCTCCGACAACAGCTACCGCCTCTCATCAGTTTATCCATTCAGCCCTCCGTCTGAACTACAGAAGATGTTCAACAGGTTGAGCTGGTCGTGCAAGGCATTGCCAGGGTGTTGGCACAAGTGTGTGGTACTACAGTAACATCAGCTTTCTGGGTTGATGAGAGCACTTTTGTAACCAAGCTGTAATCATTTATCACTACGAGGGAGTTTTCTCGTAGCATTCTTCCTCTGTTGCTTCCTAAAGGATTTCTGTCTCTTTAAAGAAGCTGTGCCAATAATGTCATCCAGAGAAGTGTTAACATACTTTTACAAGAGCTTCAAACCAATAATAAAACTGTATCAGCATTTCCTCTGTCATCAATCACTGACATTTTCCCCTTTTACTCTAATCCCACATAACCTGAGAATATCCTAGAGTAACACAGGCCTATTGTATGAGTGTGTTGATGAAAGAAAGGTGAGGTGAAGAACAATCCTGTCATTCATAAAAGATCTGAACCCTGAAACTCCAGAGTGTCTGATTACCGATGGGTTATGTGCAGGAATGTATGGGCAGCCTGCCGGGCCACATACCTGCATCTGTCCCCCAGTTTGCCACAGTCACATTCCTGCTTCACTTTTGCTCTTTGTATCAACTACTACGACTTCTATACACAGGAAATATTTGTGTTTGCATGATTGACCTTTAATTACTGTAAGTGTTGCTTTAACCAGGTGGAAGGTTGTTGTAAACGTGTGCCTGAGTGTCGAGCCGATGTGCCTTCTTTTTGTATTTCTGTCTGATCCTTAATCTGTTTTTCCATCCAGAGTGTGGATGGGCTTAACAATAAATGCATTTTAATGTGAAAGAAGTAATATTCCTTTACTGTGAAACCAGAAGTGTTGACGTGACGTGTGATATTCATGGTTAGCTAACATCACCAAAGAATTGTTCCAGATGCTTTTTTCATCTCGAGGTTGATTTGAAACGTTACATGAAAAAAACGTTTTTACTTCAGTGGTGAACAGCCTAGAAAACAAGGACTGGTGTTTTGTTTTCAAACTTAGTAATATGAATAAAGTCTGTATCAGGAAACCAGTGAAGCCCTCCCATCATCTTTCTGTTGTCTAAGAATGGCATCAAATACCACACAAAAGAGGGATGGTGTATGAACAGAAGTTCACAAATTTTAAATGTTGCAGTTAGAAATGAACTAAATTAAGCTGTAGATCATAATTAGTGTTTCTGTTGTGCAGGCATCTAACGAGGAGACCAAAGAGCATCTGTATGAGACCCTGCTGGCCGAGTGCAGAGACACCATCCAGGCTGTGAGAGAGGAACTCAAGAGTGAGGCGGTAAGATGCACCAGGCTAAAATGTTGACATTTTTAGGTGAAGGGGGTGGATGTGAAGTCGTTTGATTTTAATGACCGAGGGGTCTGCTGACAGGTCAGACTTGCCAATTTGATTTACAGCTTAACAGCTAAGATATGTGATATATGAACAGGAATGTGAAAAAGGGTTATTTAAAAAAAAAAAAAATGTTGCTTGTCCTTTCAGAAGCAGCGAGAAAGGAGCACCGATGCCGACAGTGGCAAGGTGTCCAACCTGCAGTTCCTGCACAGGTAAAAGATACAGTTGTACTTGAAACATAGACTTCAGTCGAGACTTGTATCTGTGCTTGTAAATGTCAGGATCCAACTTATTTTTGTCTATCGAGGTAGTCACTGTCAGAATAAGCAATCATCCTCAAGGGTTTCCACTACCAATTTATCATAATTAATTCATCTAATAATTTTCTATATGAATTATTTTGTCTTTGAAATATCAGAAACTAGTGACAAATGCTCATAACTCTCCAGAACCTGAGGTGGCCGTCTCAGGTTCCTTGTTTATCCCACCAACAGTCCAAAACCCAGAGACACTGAGTTTACTTTCATGTATGACAAAGAAAAGCAGCACATTTGTACACGTCACATTTCTGAAGCTGAAATCGGAGAATGTTTGGCATTTTTGCTTAAACATTACTGAAATTGAAAAAAATAAAGAAAGATAATTTAGCAAGTGATAATGTGACGTGTATCCAGGCCTAGGACTAAATAAGTCTCCCTGTCCTCTGCCATTTCTTACTGAGATTTATCTCTTGGATAAGTGAAAAATGATTGTGCTGCTGTCTCCTCTCCCAGTTACCTGACCTACATCAAGCTGTGTACTCTGGTGAAGAGGAATGAGAGCATGGCCCATACTCTTCAGGATAAACTGAAGGAGCCTGAGACCGACGAGAGCAAGAGGGGTCCCCGTCCACAGGACCTCATCCGCCTCTATGACATCATCCTGCAGGTAAATGACTGTCTGCATGTAAGGTAGTTGTTTTAAAAGACCACCGCCTTATTTTCTCACAAATAATTACAGCATATATTTTTTAGTGTTTCAGTTAGTCTAATTAATCAGTCACACACAGGTATCTCTCAGGTGTGGGGAGCTGATTGTGTTGTCAGCAGTGACGGGATGTGTATTTCACCCCGTTTGACAGTCACTGTCACTTTCTTCTCACCTTATTTTTCTCCCCATGTCCACATGTCTCTGTCCCTCCCACCACTTCCTTAACCCTGCTCTGTCCGTCCTTCTCTCCAGAGTCTGGCGGAGCTCTCCACCCTGCAGGGTCTGGAGGATGACCACACCTTCCAGAAGGAGGTGTCCCTCAAGACGCTGGTCTACAAGGCTTATAGGTCAGACATTTTCGGATTTGAAATGCTTCAGCTGCATCTCGAGTGTTTGTTAAGGAGTTAAAATTCAGTGCTGCCAAATATTAATCAATGCATTTGTCCATCAGTTGCTGTCTTCTTGTTGTCATGGCTTATTTCTTCAATAGAGGCCACACACAACCGCTTTTTTTTTTTTTTATAACATAACTACACACAGTTTTGTCTGTGACCTGTTTTCTCATGTCTTATTTCTGATCATAAAATCCTCTGTTTGATACATAACTTTTCAGTACATAAAAAGTTACACTCCTGTTGTTAATGTTGTGTTTCTCTCCTCATTTCCCCTTGCAGGTGCTTCTTCATTGCCCAGTCCTACGTGCTGGTGAAGAAGTGGAGTGAGGCCCTGGTGCTGTATGAGAGGGTGCTGAAATATGCCAAGGAGGTCCAGTCCAAGGCCAAGAGCCTCAACAACAGTCTTAAGGTTGTTTATACATAAGGACACTCAAACACACAGTAGCACTGTCAACCTCACAATAGAATGATAAATAATATCCATCATGAATTTGTGTAGGATCTCCCTGATGTTCAGGAGCTCATTGCCAAGGTCAACGCTGAAAAATACTCACTTCAAGCTGCTGCCATTTTAGGTGAGGGAACATTTTGAACTGTCGGCTGTCAGCTCATTTATTTTTATGAAAACCCATTGAGCCTGATTCTTTTCTGTCCTGACGAACTGTTTGTGTTTCAGACACTGATGAGACCGCTGAAGTTCCCTCTCAGCAGCAGGTGAAAGACAACACGGTAAGATGAGAAAAAAGAAGAGACACTCTGCACCAATATGATAAATTTTGTCCCAACTAGAGTAAGTTAGAAGTAGGTTGATGTGTTGATGGTCACTTTCTCACTCCTCCTCCATGCAGCCCCTCTGCAACCGCCTGGAGACCTTCCGCCTCGACCCAGCCCTCGTAGGAAAGCAGCCCAATCTGGTCCAGTTCCCCCCTGACTTCCAGCCAATCCCCTGCAAGCCCCTGTTCTTTGACCTTGCTCTCAACCATGTGGCCTTCCCACCGCTGGATGACAAGGTGGAGCAGAAGGGCAAGGGCGGTCTGACCGGCTACATCAAGGGCATCTTTGGCTTTGGCAGCTAAATCAAACCCCAGGCTTTTGCCTCCACATGAGAGCCACCAGGCCCAGAGTTAACCACAAACAACCAGACTTGGGTCAGTTGTTATAATAATAATTTCACTTGTTTTTAATTTGATTTGTGGTGCCTAAGTGCAAGACGAGTGGAGTTTGCAGTTCTGAAGAAGGCAGTAGAGTGGGTCTAATCTTCAAAGAAAGATTATAGAAAAAGAAAAGTAATCACATCAATTTCCAATAGCAATATGACCCAAGTCCACCTGCCACCTTTAGTAATAACACGAGGCTGCGTGGGTTCCTAGCAGACCTTAATTTGAGCTATGGAGGTGCCTGTGACTTTAAAGTTTTACAGGTTACCATGCCATGGTTCTTGATGCCTACAGCCAAGTTGTTAATCTCACAATCTTGTCAGAGTAAACCAAGCCACTTTGGCATCACTGGTAACTTTTTTCTTTTTTTCAGTGTTACATAAGCGCCTTCATTTAATTGTCTCAAATTCTTTCCTTTTGTGTGTGTTTCAGCCCTGTCTCTTAAACCTAAAACGTACAAAGTGCAGTCTTATCTCAGAACCTGTTGTGCTCATTAAGAACCAGAAATAACCCTGTGACCTGTAGCTCGACAAACTGAAGCTGATGCAATTATCAAGCGTCTTCAGCTGCGTCCCATTTCTTCCCTCTTCACTTTCACAGTGATCTCTCCTCCTTTTGATTCCACATTATTATGTGAATTAAAACCTCTCTACATACACTGACAAGTCAGCCCACCCCGTCTTCCTCCACATAGATTTTTGTTTACCACAGCAGCTACAACACCTTGCAGCTGGCTCTTGAAAAAGCATAGGAAACACTACAGGCCAGTAATGCAACATTAATCTGGATGTGATAAGCTGCTAAAAGCACAAGAAGGATATCTAGACGCTTTTTGTTCGTCTTTTGTAATTGGCTCCTGATGGGTACAAGTCATGTGCGCAGTTGTTACCTCTTCACACAGAGGAAAACTGAATTATGAGAGTTGTGGGAAGAACTGGGATAAAGCTTGAAAGTTTTAAATGCAACAGGATGATGGAAGACACAGCCTTGAATCAAAGTGTGAAATGTTGTTTTCAAAAAAAGAAAAAAAAAGAAAGCTGAATGGATCATTGTTTTAATTTCTTAATATCAACTGGTCATACTGTTAATGTTGTACTGTGTGATGTTTGGGACTGAACTTACCATAATGTCAGACAAGAGTCCGACTGCTCCAACTCGTCTAGATGGAAATGCAGAACTCACATTTTATCACCACTCTCATATTTTCAAGGCACATGCTTTCCCTACAAAAGGGCCTGCTGGCTGGTGACCATGTCGTACCCTCCCCGAAGTAGGAAATAGCAAGTGCAGCTCCTCAGACTGTAATTAATTCCAGCATTGTTTTTATTTTGACATTTGTATTTACATTTTAGCAAACTTGCCGTCATAGGACAGCAGTAGACATTCAGGACTTGAGGGAGTTTTTAGCAGCCTTTTCATTCATCACACCACCACGCCTCTTTGTCCATCATCAGTAGGACTAAACTGTTTTCATCACCAGTTACATGTATGTCTATACTGTAGCGCTAGAAAAATGTGATGTCATCGGTTGTTTGCCAGTCATAATGTAGAGTCATGTCTTCTTGCTACACCAAAGCCACTCATTTCCTCTGATCCGTACGGGACCTGTTTCACCTGTGATAACTGGTGAAACTCTAGCTAGAGGACTGTTTGTGTCACTCACTCATGTAACACACATGTAACTGTTTTGCTGACTTATTTTTATCAAAGTTTTGTTTTTCTTTTTTTCTCCCCTTTAGTGTTTTATGTTAATGAAATAAGATGGAGGTGCTGGAATAGTTCCAGCACTGTACCTCGGGCAGCCTGGAACACAATTAGTCATGATCAATAATTGAAACTATGAGGAATGTATGATTTGATTTAGTCTCCAGGCCTATAATTAAAATATATTTGCACCAAACACGGTTTTTCTTCATGTTTTTCATTCCAGTCTTGTATGGAAAAATCAGTGGCATTAATTTTTAACTGTGGTTCTTTGTCATTCAGAGACGACCATGATAGTGAAAAATAAACGTTTATATTGTGGGATCAACTTTGAATTAATCTAGAATCACCATCAAAACCAAAAAGGTAAATTTTTTAAGAACATAAAAACTTGTGTGGCTGTTGCACCTCTGTCTTGGGTGTGGGTGTGTCACTAGGAGTGTGTAGCATGCCTCAGCAGGGTGTGAATGTGTTTATTTTGCAAATATGCATTTTCAGAAGTGAATAATTACGTAGGTGTTTGTTACTCAAACACAACCTGACGTATAACTTACTTTTTCTGCCTTTTAAGAAAAGATTCACAAGTATATTGAATTAAATTAATTACAACCCCACCCCCCACCCACACACAGCATCTCTACCTGATTCCTTATCAACTGCCTGTCATCACTGTCCTCCACACACATACCTTTGTCACTCCAGAAATGTGCTCTGCCTGGATGGACTGAGCGTATCTGTGTCTTGATGAGGTGGAGATGAATGTTTATCTGCAGGAAGAAACCAGAGACAAAATGCACTACTACAGGCTGTTCAGTGTATTCATATTTCTATTAATCAATTAAAATGGTGGAAGTAAATCAATAGCAACAGGAAGACATATTTATTTGTTGACACTCACTCAGATATCCATGTTAGATCGTACGGTACAAGGGAGAAGCGAAAAGGTCTGTGGTACAGTCCAAGCATCAAAGCTTAGTAAGACCTCAGATTTACTTTGTGAACAGGACAACCGTGCCATGTTTACCTGCTGTGTGTAGTTTAATGAAAAACACTGACACACCCTCACTGTGTTTCAACCTTTGTTGTTTCCTTTTTGCTCATCTGTTTGGCATTCGGTGGCACGCAAATAGTTTCTTGCCATTTGTATGTTTCGCTGAAAACCATGACAATTGACTTGAGGATGTGTCTGACGACCCCCACAGAGCCACTAGCATGGCTGGAGACTCATATTTAAGCTTTCACCCTCACTGAGAAAACGTGTCTGAATCAGCAGTCTTTTCTGCTGCGTGTTCAGTGCCTTGTTCAGTAGCGTAACAAACATAAATGAAGTATTTGAAAGTATGTTTCATTCTCTCTTTTTGCCCTGAAGCCTGGACATGTGACCCTGCTGCTACAGAAGGGCAAGGCCCCACAAAAGTAAGCATATCACACTGTGGTCATTCATTTAGTGCCCCAAAACTAAACCATTTTAATATTGACATTTAATCTTTACTCCTCACCTCGAAATTGTAGCTGGCAAGACACCATAAAGTACATTTAGTAGCTATTCTGGAGCTTTCAACCATCTCAACAGATGGAGTTTGCCAAGTTGTCAGGTAATTGTAAATATTCAGATTATACATTTTTCTGAGCACATCCCACTTAACTTCCATGTTGCATCTGAGATGACACTGAACTTTCATGTTTGACTTTGGGAACAGCAGTTCATGAAATGATCTCATGTGGTCCATTTAGTTTACTGGAGCTTTCGACACATGACGATTTATACGCATTTCATCTAAAAAAAAAAGAAAGAAAGAAGCTTTTATCTCAACTTCTTAGCCAACATGGACTGAAAGACCTTAAAGTGCATCCACAAGTCCATGACAAGTGGGTACAGTATATCTGCTGCATCTGCATTTTGTGTAATGTGATCGAAAGCTCCAGGACAGGCTGCTGAATGGACCTTGTGGTTGTTTCTGATGTCATTAAATCATGATACAGGAAAATTTGTTCTACACATCATTATGATGCTATGGTGATTTAATTGTGAGCTGAAAAATACAACCACAATGTAACGCTCAGTAAAATAAAGAGTTTCTGTTTTCCAGACAGTTGGACGCACCCAGAGAGAGAAATTATATGACTGGACACTTCAAAAATGTGAGCTCTCTGTGCTGTTGCACTGCAAAGAAAGTCGCCCAGCTGCATTCCTCGCCATGATTCCCTATTGTTGATATGCTGCAGAGAGACGCCCTGATCCTGAATGACTCGCAGGTCTGTAGATGCTCCACACGGCACGCCGTCTTTAATCATTAGCAGAACGACATGTGCCTCTATATGAAGGCGTTAGGTAACAGACTTCTTTTCTGTCCCCGAGGTCGTCGGACACTTTTCCACTGTTGACTGTACACACACTGGGTGTCTGTGTTTGTAGCATCAAGATTATCTGAGCCTTGGCTGAGGGTTAACACAGTGTAGTATCAGGGTGAAGAGAGGGGTGAACAGGGCCGATATTGATACCTAGTCTTACATTTAGATTTAGATTCGTGACATTTAAAGTCATGAATAATAACGATAAGAAGAAGTCAGAGAGAGAGAGAGAGGAGATCAAGACAAAGAGAGAAAAGGAGCAAAATAAAACAGAGCTCACTTAGAGTTACAAAGATAAAAGTACAGAAAGTACAAGTACAATCATTTGTCATGTGTGACAGCTGAGAGAAAACATGACAAATTCAGTAGTTGATTGATGCCAGAAGGCCAACATCATGTCAGAAACAAAAAAGAAGAGCACAAACCTCTCTGAATGTTACAAGGATAAAAGCACAAACAGTACAAATACGAACATTTGTCAAGTGTTTACACAACAATTACACAACAAATAAAGTTCTTGGTTGAGGTCAAAGGGCTCCACAGTGTTCAGAGTGGGAAATTCAATGTGCCTCTCTATGGAGCCGTGATGTCACCACCTCTGGGTGAGGGTGACATTTTTCCTATTCCCCGTGCAGCGCTTTAATGATGCTGCAGAGCCGTGGTGTCAGCCAATAGCATAATCCATGTTTTGTGTACGTATTACAGTCTTATGTTCAGGTATCCAAATTTGTAAAGCCCTTTTTGTTTAGTATGACATAAACCAGACCACAGGGACATTTCAACACGTAGACATCATGTGTGCTGCTGCAGTTTTTCAGCACGTGGATGTATAAAGTATTTGTCGTCTGACGAATTAGAACATTTTGCACAGCAGACAAAAAACCTGTAGGCTGAACAGCAGGCAGCCAGGAGACGGTCTGCTGTGGTTTTCTAGTGTCAGAATGAACCAGTCTGTCTCTCAGATTGCAGCAACATTTAGACGTGACCAGGGGACACACAGAGCTGATATTATTTAGAGATAGGTCACTTTAGAGAGCATTCCAGTGTTTAAGGATAATATTTTTGACCCTACCTGCTAGACGAGAGGACATGTGAGGAAGTAGTGGTACATTTAGTTTTCTTGATTGGTAGGGATTCCCTCTGTGTATGTAGGGCCCTTTGATAGGCTGACGAGATAAGTTAATACATTTCAACAGCTTTAGACTGGAAATCTGCAACAGTACTGCATATATATATATATATAGATATATATATATATACTTATAAGCCAGATGTGGAATCACTCATTGCTTTTTGAATTTTCTCAGTTGTGTTCAGTGGTGTTTTGTTCACTGGTGAATGCCACTTGTACAAATTTAAAAAATGTTTTGTTTCCCTTCTCCCTGCAGGAATTCAGTGTCACTCCAGCCCCATGAGTTATGCATCCATGGTGATCAAAGGGCCCCTGCTGCTCACTGAGTGAGATTTGAGAGTGTGTAAGGGCCCTGATGAAAAGGAAGGGCAGGACCAAGGGTGGGAGGAATGGAGAGTGCGGGGAACAGGTCGGTCCGGTCTTCCCCTGCAAGGTGGATGTCTGGGCGGTGACACACCTGTTAACCTGTCTGGGAGGAGCTGCCAGTGCCAAACACTGTGCTGACGTGAGTGTGTGTGAGAGGAGCCAAAGGGAGAGGAGAGACAGAGTGGGAGCCACAGGGTGAGGAAGACAGAGACGAAGAAGGAATAAGAGAGAGAGAAAGAGAGATTTCCGTGGGATCTCTGCTTGACCCCCACCCACAACCTCCAGGATGTTTAAGAAAAAGGACAGCACGGCCAAGGTCTCGGGCAAGATCAACAAGTGAGTTTTATGAATGCATGTATGAGTGTATGTACGTGTGTGTGTGGTGACACTGTATCTCGGTCATGTTCCCCCTCCTCCTGTTCTTCCCGAGCTGAGGACTGTGTCATGTTTCCTGTGCGTGCCCTTGTCCTGGTTCTCTCCGTGTGTGCAAGTTTGCTTGTATGCTCCACTGATTTCAAGTACTGAGTCATGTCAGGGTTAATCCTCAGTGATGGTGAGAGCTTTTCAAGAGTCTGTTAACAGAGCCTGAGGTCAGGTTTACTTTGTAAACATGAGGTGGGACACTGTGCTTTAAGACAACAGGTGAAACTATTGAAAATATGTTTATGACTTGAAGTGAAAGTCACACAAGAGGAAATTATTATCAGTTCTTTTCCACCCGATTCTCAAGCACTGAAGCCTCCAAAAATGTGACTTATGGGCCAATTTAGACTTTTGACATCAACCACAACACTCTTGTTGGTGATGAACATGTAAAATGTCCGAGACCTGTTTTACACATTATACAGAAGGAGATGAAGAATGAAATTCATTCAGTGTGAGCATCTTAAATCAGCTACATGTGTAAAGAGATATCCAGAGCCAGATATCTCTGACTTACTGATCTTACTGAAGGTAAAAGGTGATGATGACGAACCCTCACCTTTAAGACACGCTTGTGTTGAGGGGATTTCATGGTCATAATGGCTTTCAGTTCAGCTGCCAAACGGACTGATAGTTTCATCTTTTTGCCCCTTTTGGACGCTGACGGGGTTTCACAGGAAGGTGCTGACCAGCCCGTGGTTACATCTGGTCCCTGCCCTGTACATGTCGTCTGTCTGCTGAGGCGTGGCAGGGCGGGACAGGCAGGGCAGCCCTGCACTGCTCAGCTGGTTTCTTTCTGTCATGTGGGCGTCGGTTCCAAACCGTAGTTTACGGTGCGACATGGAACAGGTCACTCAGCTCACTTGTCCGTTAAAACATTTCCTTCACCTGTTACATCAATAAGACAGTGTAACATAGGACTGTGACTAATGATTATTCTCATTATCAGTTAATTGCTTTAGTAATTTTTCAAAAGATCAATTAATTGTTTAGTCAGCAGATCCAGATCAGTATTCCAGAGCCCAAGGTGATGATTTGAAGTTTCTAGTCAAAACCTCAAAGATATTCAGCTTCAATGTAATTAAAATGATAGAAAACAGAGGAAAGCAGCACATTTCAGAAGCTGGAACGAGTAGATATTTAACATTGTTCCTTGATGAACGATTTCAATGATTAATTGATAATCAAAATGGACACCAACTAATTTTCCATCAACTGACTAATCAATTCATCTAATTATTGTTTCAGCTGTAATTTAAGGTAACAAATGAATATATAATCATACTTGAGTTCTGTTGGTTTCAAACCTGCAGTGTCTAAATTTAAAAACCCACTTCACTTCCCAGGTGAATGGGAAAAACACAATTTATAATTAGGAACAACATGCACAGGTAAAGTGAAGAACATAGTGGTGTGTGTGTGTGTGTGTGTGTGTGTGTGTGTGTGTGTGTGTGTGTGTGTGTGTGTGTGTGTGTGTGTGTGTGTGTGTGTGTGGGTGCTGGTCCGGATGACATGATGCCCATAAGCAGTGATGTCTGAGGATGCCACAGGCAGCCATCTTGTTCTGCTGATGCGATCCCATCTCTTTTAGCCCCAAAATCCAACACAATTACATTTCATAATCCTAACTGTAAACTGGGAGGAAATGTGACACCATATCAGGGAGTGTTTGTGGTTCGTGTTTTGTCATCTTGCAACTAAGTAAATCAAAAAAAGGCTGGCAAGCCCTTCTGAATTATGTGGGTTATCCAGTTATCCTGCTTTCAAGTCAAACAGAGCATGGCTGATATCTGTTTGGCTTTCCTGCCGTGATCATTCATAGATGAAACTCATTTTTAGCACATTATATTGTTTTTTCCTGTTTTGATCAAACTGCAGTCTTTGCCACTAAAAGTTGTCATTTAGCTTTACCTAAACACAGAGCACTGACACACACCATAAAAAGGAGCTTGACCTGTTGACAGAAGTGCTCACTGTGATCAGGCAGCAGCCATTTTTTAAGAGTTTAACTAAACAAAGACGAACTCCGGCTGTTTGTGAGGAGTTAAAACTAACTGCAGATCCAACATCTCAGTGCGCAACCCTACATCAGAAGAAACACACACTGTTACAAAAAGCACATGCCTGAGGCTGATACACATCAGACCACACACCCGGCAGTCACAGCGACGTGTGGGTGTGACCTCTCCTTCAGCTTCTTGACTACATTCACTTGACAAGATGACAAACCTCTGTCACATCTTCCATCCATGTCCTCAACAGCCACATTCAGTACGATGTACTAAAGTTAAATCACAATTATACCTCGACCAAAAGAAACATTAATATTTAAAACGTGAAAATGTTTGAGAAAGAAGAAGCTCAGCTTTAATGACAGGTTTTTAGTTTTGAAGGTTTTCTGTAAAAAGTGTTAAAGACACTCAAAAAAGAAGCCGACTCATAAAAGACAAAGCCAGGATAGATCAGGTGTTAAAAGCATGTAGATCATATTATATTTGTTCCACTAATCCATGCTCTGCGGACACACACGATGGGTCCTTGTCTTTCTTCTGTCAGCAGAGTGAACAACGTCTCCTCACCTCCAACATCTCACTCACTCGCAGTATCAGAGACAAAATAACGACTGCTTGAATGCACTTCTCTTCAAAACTAACCGTGGGGATTTTGAGTAGTTATTTGGCTGAAAATGGGGGGAAATTAAAATAATGTGTGTGTATTATGTGTACTATGTGTATTATGTGTACTATGTTTACTCTGTGTGTGTGTGTATGTGTGTGTGTGGCCCACATCTGTCTCTCCTGCTGAGGGAGCAGGAATAGGGAGGCCAGAACCAGATCAGCTCACACCTCAGTGAGTCAGTGCAGGAGCCGGTCTATACATTCCTCGGTCGCACCATCATTAAAGAGTTGTGTCAAATGTGCTCTTCAGTTGTAAATCTATCTTGTAAGACATTTGCTTCTTTTCTCCCCAGGGTGACTTTTGTACTCTGAGGTAGCTTTGGTATGCGGGTAGATGAACCAGTGAGGTGCTGAACGGTTTGCCAACATTCTTCGGTCTGGTGTTACACATCAGCAGTATTTCAGAGGATGCGTGAATGAATTCTTTACAGGTTGTACAATCAGCCCTGGTGTCTAAACTCTCAGGGAGAAGAGCAGGAGTTTAATATGTAAAATGTCTGGCCACATTTCTGAATGATTTATGACATGTCAGTCCAGGTCTGTTGTTTTCTGTGTACAAAACCACAAACAGGAAAGACTGTTTCTCCTTTTATGCAGCTGTAACTTCATTTTACTTTCCCAACTGATGTCGAACTGATTTTAGAGGCAATTTGCAGGTGAAGTAATATGTGCACAGATTATGCAGAAACCGGATTTTTAAAAATAATGTATATCTATATATGAACTACAGTTTTCAAAACCGGACGCCTGGAAGTGTAAAAATCAGTCTGTGAAATCAGTAAGAAATTCATCCTGCAAGTTTCTCCTTTAATGGGCTGCTTTTATGCAGCTGTTGAAGAAAAACCTATTCATTATAAGTGAGAAGACAATTTCACCTCAATCAAAAAAAAAAAAAAAGTCTGCAAAACTGTTAAACTGTACCATCATCCTGTGCTGTTTTTAGTCAAATTCTTGACCCCAAATCTTTAGGTTTTTGACTCTATAACTGCCAGTTGAGCTCTTATTTAGTTTTATGGGCTGTAGTTCATCACAGCAGAATCTCCTCCGCCTTCTGTCCGTCTGAGGCATCGCTCTACCTTCTCGAGAGCAGCACCAACAGTGACAGGGAGTGACAGTCACTGTGGAATTTTTAGCATTTGAGGAACGTTTCGGGTGTGGCTCTAACGGTGAAACTATATAAACCTCACACCGACCCGACTCCACGGCAAGCTCATTCATATAGATCCATTCAGACACAAGGCAATTCAAAGTGCTTTACAAAGGCATTGAAATACAGGAAAAATAAGACATGAAGAAAACTTTAAAATTGCATTTGCAAAAGCAAATAAATAGTAAAAGATTAATAAGAAGTTATGTATTTAATTTATTGGATAGCCACTCCAAATAATATTGTTTTAAGCCCTGATTTAAATGAGCTGACGGTTTCAGCAGACCTCAGGTTTTCAGGAGGCTTGTTCGACAGGTGGGGAGCATAGGAACTAAAAAGCTGCTTCGCCCTGCTCGGTTTTGATTCTCCGAACACAGAGTAAAGTTGTCCTGGATGACCTGAGGGGTCTGGATGCTTCACTAACGTACCATTCAACACCATTTAGTGCCTCCTAGACAAGTAGATTTTAAAAATTTGACACACAGGAAGCCAGCGCCGTGATTTAAGGACCGGTGTGATGTGCTCCACTTTCTTGGTGTTAGTGAGGACTCGCAGCAGCATTCTGGATGAGCTGGTTGATTTTCTACGCCATCCCAGTAGCTCTTGAGACAGTGCGTGATTTGTCAGATTGTTTGATCATGATGAACTTGATAATCAGTGAGATAATACAAGAGTGGAAAGATACAATACAATACATTGTTATGTGAAACTGATCTTAAAATGTGTGTTGTCCTTAATCGTCATTGGGTTTTTAAGTGTTTCTAAGTTTATATTTTTAAAACTTTAAAAAGAAAGTTTGTGTGGTGTCTTGTGTGTCGTCCTGATGTTCATGTAAGTTCAGGAAGTATTTCAATCATGATCAAGATTACTGTTTGTCATTGAGGGCTCCTGAGAGTAGCAAGAAGCAAACCTGCATGTAAAATAAGATGCAATTAGGAAAACCCAGCCATGTCTGCGGGTGGGTGTGGGTGCTCAGATGCAGAGGATTTGGCACTGTGAGAAGAACTGTGGAACATCATAGGGGAAGGCTGAACCATTTCAGGATAATACACCATCTGATTGGTGCTTGTGGTTTAATCTGTGACCTTTTCCAACCCCTTCCCCTCACCCTTGCAGGACCCAGGCCAGCGGCTTGGTCTTGTTGATCGCCCAGATGCAAAAGAATGCCGACCAGGTGGAGAAAGACATCCTCCGGTCGGAAGAGCTGCTCGCTGTGGTGAGGACACACAAACACACTGGGAATGTCAAACACGGACTAATGTGCTAACGATACCGTCACTTTCCTTCACTGTCATCTCACCTGTTGTCTGCTTCCACCAGGACGCTGAAAATGACAAGAAAGAGCTGCCCTTTGAGCATCAGACCGAGATCTCAGACAAGCTGGGTGAGGCTGAGGGCCTGCTGAAGGACCTCTTCCTCGATGTGGACAAAGCCAAGAAGCTCAAACACCCGCAAGCCAAAGATATAGAGAGCGAGTGAGTTGGTACTGAATGAATAGAAAACAGAGGATTTACAGTATAGCTGCTTTATTGCAGAGAAGTGTGGAGCCTCCTCAGAGCGTTTTCAATCTTTAATAAGAGACTTTACTGAGGATATAAAACCATAAACTCACAACAGCATTCAGGAAGGTTTACCATTCAAATAAAATAAATGAGCTGAAATTAGTTTCAAGTTTCTTTTTGTGATTGTGATTTATTTAATAATTTTTATTATTTCATAATTCCTCCTTTCATTACAAAGTCTTTGTCTGTTAATCATAACAAACAGTGCAGGGCCAGTCATGTGACTGACTCTGGCTTTGGTCTAAATATTATTATTAATTTATTTAAAATTGAACACTGTGGTTGTGCATGAATATTAACCAAAGTTTGTTGTTTCTCCAGTGTTATCCACCTCCATGAGCGCTGGCTGAAGGACTGCGCCTTCTACCGAGACATCTACGAGCAGATCGATGATGTGTCGCTGATGCCCAGAATCGACTGGGGACCTGTTTTCAACCAGAAACAAGTAAGTATAATAACACTGTCTGAACATTTGGTGCTCTCTGCTTAAAATCTCTTTGAATATTTAGGACTACTGTAAAGAATAAACCTGGCAATATTCTGGATTTTTCTTACATACCAGATGTGTATTAATCCACCACTGAAAGTAGTCCCCGACAAATTTATTGTCTATTACACTATTTATTCCTGTTGTAGTAACCACAGTGCCCAGCTGTTTTAGAAAAATTAAAATGAAAAATATAAATATATATTCGGCAGGTTGACAGATTGGGAAACGAAAATCGCCAGCCTTATCTTTTAAACTTGTTTTAACAGAATAATACAAGCTATGCTTTAAACACATTAACCAAAGCCGTGTGACTTATCAACACAACTAATTACAGAGTGCCTCATCCTGTCGTACTCGCCCCGTTGGTGGTTATTTACATACCATTAGTGATGTTCTTCTATTGTCTGTGCTTACAGAAACAGGTGAATGTGGAGGAGTACGGCCCCACCATGGCAGATCTGGAGAAGCAGATTGCTGCTCACAACATCCTACACAAAGAGGTCGAGGCCTACAACTCGCAGCTCTGCGTCAGCTCTGCTGGCAGCAAGGTGAACAAACGTGTTTACATGAAAAAAACATTAACATCATACTCTGGGTGTCCTCAGTTAGCATAGATATTAATGTTCTGTTTGCCTTCATTACTCATTTTGTTCTTAATAAAAAACAGTTGCTGGCAGCCTATGAGACATGTTATCTTGTCTTTTAGGAGAACTATACAGCCCTGAAGAAACAATACAACAATCTACTGGTGAGTTGAGTTGTTCACTTGTAATAACAATGCTTTTATTGTTCATTTATTATTGAGTTTTATGATGAAAAATGACGATAGAAAAGAAAATGCATGAACATCCATTAGAAGATCTTTGAGAAATTTCTTGTCACTTTCTATTTACCATCACAACAAGACGAATATTTACTCAGAGACAGTGTTTGACAACTGTCATGTGATAGTTTATTTTAGATTTTAATGGAAAGATTTACACTTAAAGTTGGACTTTCTTCTGTTTATGTGTCAGAATAAATGTTTGTACTTTTTCAGGACAGGTTTTCATTGTTTTTTTGCCTTTTTTTCCCAGGACAACTCCAAGTGGCGTCGCCACTACCTGAACAGCTTGTACGAATACATGCAGGGCTGCAACAAGGAACTGGCTTTCCTGGGAGAAGAGCAGGACAAGATCAAGAAGCAGGACTGGAGTGACCGCATGGTGGACCCACCTGACATCCGCAGGCAGTACGAGGTCAGGACTGAAAGATCACATTCCCAGCAACATACACAATTTTAAATAACTGCTTGTCCAGAATGATCCAATATATTTGTTCTACACTGGGATGACAAAACATGCAATATAAATAAGCCCGCTTTCGTTTGATGTCAATCAGAACTTCAAGAACAACAGTCTGCTGTCCCACGAGAGTGAGGTGAATAAAATCCAAGATGAAGGAGACAGACTCACTGAACTGAAGCACCCTGCCAGTGCCACAATACAGGTACATGTCGTCACCTGGAATCTTAATCTTTAAATATGTAACTAACCCCAAATTTTCATTAGCTTTAACCTCTGAAGGTTGTGTAATCCAGGTTAATTTGAGGTCTTTACATTACATTTCCAGGCTCAGAAAGATGCTGTACGAAATGAGTGGCAGAAATTCCTCAACCTCTGCATTTGTCAAGAGTCGCACCTGGACAATGTGGAGGAATTCAAAAAGGTAGAAAACGTCACAATTTGTCAAAGTTTGTGTGGGGACGTGGGCACATTTTGTCATTTTGTAATGCACTTATTATATAACATTCCAGTTTTATACAATAGTTTAAAAAAATGTTTTGGTGGTATTTTCCAGTATCAAATGGACACTGACCAACTGTCAGACACACTGACCAGACTCAACAACAGCCTGGACCCCAAGGCCATCAGCAAGAAGAGCAACTCGGAGACACTGCTGCAGCTCGAGGTACAGGAACGTCTACTGTCAGTGCTGTGCAGACAGTCCTACGAGTTGACTTAGTTTAAAGATTAAGCTGATGGAGGGAGGAAGAGGAGAGGAGGGGATGAGAGCTGAACATATGAGGAGAAAGAAGGAAGAACAGGAGAGAAAGGGAATAGACAGGTGGAATGGGGCGAAAACAAGATTGAAAATGTCAATTTCTTGTTTGTTTACATAATCTTTCAGTATCATTTGTTTTTATCTGCTGTGCTCAATAAAAAAAAATTTAAAAAATGTACATTTATAAGGTATGTTAACATTGAACAAGGTCGGAAACAGAAATAGATACATTATGTAGGATATTGTTTTGGAAATTTCACCAAGAGGTAAATGTTTGACCTGTTTTGGAGCAAACCTGGATTAAGCTATAATTCCAGGATAACACACGAGATGACAATTTGTTGTTACCTACGATGAGATTGGTATTTCTGAAGTATATTTTCCTCTCCGTCCGTTTCCCACCAGGGGGAGGAGAAGGCTGTGCAGAACAGTGAGCAGCTGCTGGCCGACCTGAGGAGACGCAGCACCACCATCGCTCCTCTGAAGCTACGACGCAACGCCCCCAACAGACCCATCACAGTGGAGTCCCTGTGTGACTGGGACACAGATAAGGTGGAGGTTACATTTTTGTCAGACATTCGGTCAAATATCTGTAGCTGAGATGCTTCAATTCAATCATGTTTCTTGTCTAAACTGTCTAAACTCTTGGATGTGTGTTGTATTTGTTATTATTATGTAGGCTACTCTGGCAAGAGGGGAGAAGTTCACCCTGACATCAAACTCAGACGAGAACTGGGATGTCATCTCCACTGATGGTGTAACACAAAGCTTCCCAGGAGTTTGCTTCCAGATCCCACCACCTGACTCAGAAGCCATTGACAAAGTGGACCTGTGAGTAATGCATGGCTTTGTTATTAAGCGGCTACAACATTTAATGCAAGAACATGTCAGTAACACTGTTCCTGTTTCTACCTCTCTCTGTTTTTAATTCATCAGTTTGGGTGGAGAACTGGCAGACATCAAGAAGAGAAGAGCTGCTCTGGCGGCGTCCCTGAAGAATCACAAATCAGACAACTCCAGGTCCCTACAATCAGGTCATTATCTATAAATTAAATCCTTCAATATCCTAATTTGTATGGAATCACTGATTCTAAAAACCAAGATAATAATTCACCACCAGTTGCACAGATAGTTTTAAAACCAAAATCAGATCAGTCAGTGAATCAACTTCCCTGTTCCTTCATTCAGCCCCGGTGTCTTCTGCCCCACTGGACCCCAAAGTAAAAGCCCTGGGCCAGCAGCTGGACAAGCTGGACAGTGACCTGGCCAGCGCTGAGGAGAGCATGCTGAGCCGCCTGCGAGCCCCACTCAGCCGCACAGACCCAGCTGGAGACCTGGCCAAAAGGCTGAGGGATCAGGAGGTGAGAGGAGTAAACTCAAATCAACACTGACAGTTTTAGACAGTTTTAGCAGACAATTTATTTGAGCTGAGACTGCTCTTTTTTGCATGTTCTCTGCAGATGTTCTTTCTGGCAGCTCATTAGGTTTAGGAGGAATGTGTGTGGAACCTCAAATTTACTAAATATCATCCATGTGGCCTAATTTTCACCTTCATCATAACATACTGGTTGTAGTGGTTACTCTGAACAGGAATGAAAAAGCTGTTCACAGCAGCAAAGTTGTCACATTTTTTACAACATGTATTACAACATGAATACGGTAGTTGTAATCACCAACACAACATCAACAATCAAAACACACCCCTACAGTTTTGTGACAATACTACTACTGCAGTTAGATATGACAATGAAAAAAATGGCGTATCATTTTAATGATAAGGTTTTGTTGAGCTGTCTTTTTCTTCCTGTTCATTTTTACTTGTATGCATTCCCTCTACATACAATACTGCATTTCTGGTTCTTCACTCCCTCAGGCTACTTGCATGAGCAAAGGCGTTGTGTTTGTAAAAATTTCTGGTCAGAGGTGATGATATCGTTGAAACTGTAGAAAAGCTTCTGAGAAAACATATAGGCCATCAGGTGTCTCTTTACAGTTTGATCAAAGAGGAACCCTGGATGATCTGATTAATGAAGGTATCTATATTTGTTCCTTACAGCAAGCTGCCAAGGCGCTGAAGGCTCTGGAGCAGCAGAAGCTGGCAGCGCAGGCCGACCTGCAGCCTCTGCTGTCCACAGATCCCAGCGGCACCTCCTCTGCACTCCCACTCAAACTGAGTGCTGCCAACAACAAGCACGATAGCATTGCTGAACTTGCAGACCTCTACACCAAGAAGTAAGCAGATGTTTGGGAAGTTGCATATATGCATTGGCATGGTGGAAGGTTTTGTCTCCAATAAAAATACCTGTTTTAAAATGTTTTGCTCAAACATTGTAATAACTTTAAGCACACATTTATGTTTTTTTCTCAGAGCAAATGCATCACTCAACCTGGAAAGTCAGATCAAGAAGGTGGACGGTCTTGTCTCCGGGTTTGAGAAGAAGCTAAGTGAAGATGGTCCAATCCCTGATTCGCCAAATGCTATTCAAACCCGCGTTAATGACATCCAGGTGAGGAAATCTTCATTCCCACATTCCTTTAAAATCTTACATCTACCACAGAAAAAGGTGATCCCCTTATTCATAGATTCAGCTGGTGTATATTTTAAATAGCTTGTCTCCTTTGTTGTGATCAGTACCAGCGTAAGTCTGTGGCAGCAGCTCAGGATGACATGAAGAAGCTGAGCCAGGATCTGGAGACCACTGAGCAGCTGTGCAGCTCTCTGCAGCAGGGCTACCAAGAGTACTGCCCCGACATCCAGCGCCAGAGAACTGAAGTCAAGCAGCTACAGACCCGTTATGCAAACGTTGCCAACCAGCTGAAGGAGAGGTGAGAATCAGACTGCGAACAATCAGTCCAGTCACTTCAGTTTACTTTTCTTACTCACAGACATTAATTAATCAAATCATTTAGTTCAGCTGGGCTCCAAAGAGTCACAAGTTAAATGTGAGGCATCACAAGAGGATTAAAAGCAAAGGAATATGTATTATGTACATAATTTTGGCCACATATGAACTTGGTGTTTTTTCTAATCTTTGCTTTATTTTAGTGAAATTATGATAATTTTGCCTCTTCAGCCATGTAAAAATATTCCAGTGATAGAACAGCGCAACGGAAAACCGTTTTTTAGGTTATACTGCTCACAGATCATAGACAATCCCAATGTGTAATAAGGTAGCATCCACTATAGTATACAACTTTACTACTATGCCTGGACTCAAATGTATTATACATCATTCATCATTTGAGATGTTTCTCTTGTTTGTTTGAAAGTCAATTAATGCCACATGAAGGTGTGAAATCAAAACAAAGCCTGACATTTGAATTTTAAACGTATCATGGTGCAGAGCTTTTACAAAAATGAATCATCTTGATCAATCCTTTCAGAGAAAACATCTTACAAGAAGCCACAACCAAGAACCAGGAGCTCCAGAGCACATGCAAATCCCTTGACTCTTTCCTGAACAACCTGCCGACAAACCAGATAAACTACAACGATGATCTGTCTCAGGTCACTGAGAAGCAGAGCTCCCAAGAGGTGAGACCGTCTCCTGACCATACATACCACGCATCATGTGGAGAGTAGTGGTAGTAGTAAATAGTAGTAGTAAGCTAGTACTAGTAAAACGAGATGAATATGTTACCCATTTACTCATAGTAATAGACTTCTGTTAAACATATCACTACAGAGGGTGATGGATGACCTGAAGAGGAAGGGAGATGACATGGACAGAGTGTCTGACCTGTCTCAAGACCTGCAGAATCTTCTCAGTGTAAGTATCAAATGGATCATAATACAGGGCTATGAATGCATAACTAACTATGTTATATTAATGAGACACAGGTGTTTTAGGCACTTGAAAAAGAAAATAAAAAATTCCTCATGTTACCATCAAAGATATAAATTTCATTTCCTTTTTTTCACATTTGTGTAGGAGTATGATGCCAACGTGGATAAGTACAACAGTACACTTGAGGATGCTGGTGTCACTGTTGCAAAAAAACCTCAAATACTCACACTTTCTGATGCTGTTCAGAAAGAGGTAACATTTAAGCTCTTCCACTTTTATCATGGTTAAATTATCTATGTTTGATCGGTACAAGTTGCTGATGGTTTGCTGTAACTCTTTTATTACAGGAAAAGGATCTAGTGAACCGTTATGCTAAAGCAACAGCAGAAAACACCCAACGCCAAAAACAGATGGGCTTGGCAAAGAATCTCATTTTACAAGTAAGATAACAGGGCATAAATAAAACAAAAAAAATAATTTGATTAATGTTGTTGCCTTTGTCATGTGCTCCAATACATAAATATGTTCAGTTTAAACCAACTAAAACTATGTCACTTTCATTTACCACTATAGAATGAGGAGAAAGTTCACCTGGTGGCACAGCAACAAGTGCAGCTTGAAAACCAGCAAAAGAGTGCTCTTGAGCTAGACAGTGTTTTAAAAGAGCTGCAGGAAGAGAAGGAGAGGACAACTCATACTGAGGCAGACCTGAGAACCTTTAAAGATAGGATGTTGTCACTGAAAAGTCGCAGAGGAGTGGAGCGCATTGAAGAGAAAGAAGTACTACAGTACTACCGCGACCCAAAGCTGGAGAGTGATTTGGCTGATCTGCAGAATAAACTGCATGAAGAGGTCCTGAGGCATAGCACCACTCAGAGTGAGGTCGAGCTGTTTAACAAGAAAATCACCATCGTGGAAGACAACCTCAAAAACACTCCAGCCAAACTGGTGACCAGAGAGGTAACAGAGTTTGAGAAAGATCCTCAGCTGGACGTAGAGGCCAGTAAGCTGAGAGATGAAATAGCAAGGATGAGAGATGAAGTTCGAGTGCGAGACGGGGAGCATATCCAGATGAAGACAGAAGTCACAATTCTCCAGCAGAAGCGACCACCAATCAAAGAGAGGGTGGTTAAGAAGGAGGTGTTGAAAGTAGAAAAGGACCCAGAGATGGTGAGAGCAGTCCGAACATTTGAGACGGAAATTTCTGATGAGAACAACAAGAGCAAGCTCCTCAATGATGAAATCTTCCAGACCAGAAGTCAGATTAATGCCCTTGAGAGGCTGATTCCTAATATCCAGCCTAAGATCATCACAAAGGAAGTGAAAAAGATTGAACAAGACCCTGACCTCATCACTGAATCTAAGAAGATTAGAACAAACCTGGAGGATGAGAGGATTGAAAACAACTCTTTGTCCAAAGAGTTGATGGAGCTCAACAGCCGCTACAGAGAAGTTCAAAGCTGGAAACCAAAAGTCGAAGTGAAGGAAATTGTTAATGAGATCTACCGGATAGACCCAAACACAGAGGTGGAGATAATGCGGCTCAGGAAAGACATACAAGACTCCAACAAGCACCGCTCTGATATAGAGAGGGAACTCACCCAGGTCACGTCTGAACTGAATATCCTTCGTTCTCAGAAGCCCAAGGTGGAGCTTAAGGAAGTTCTCCAAGAGGTGGTTAAGGAGGAGAGGAGCCCTGAAAATGAGAAAGAGATCCAGAGGCTAAATGATCAGGTGAACCATTTACACACCACTTACAACTCCCTCCAGGATCAGGTGAGTCTGCTCAGGAGAGAGAGAGACGAATGGAAGGCTGAAAAGTCCAAGATAGAAACCAAACTCGTCACCAGAGAAGTCATCAAGTATGAACCTGATCCACTGTTGGAGAAAGAAGCTGATCGCTTGAGAAGAGACGTGCGGGAGGAGGCACAGCTACGACGCACCATTGAAGAGATGGTGTTTGACCTGCAAAACAAATATATCCTGTTGGAGAGACAGAAACCTGAGGAGAAAGTGGTTGTGCAGGAGGTTTTGCGTTTACAGAAGGACCCAAGGCAGGCAGTCGAGCATGAGCGGCTCAGCAGGAGCCTGGATGAAGAAGTAAAGACTCGGCGTCAGCTAGACCTTGAGCTGCAGCAGCTAAGAACAAAGGTGGAAGACAAAGAGAGGATCCTGAGAGAGAGTGATGAGCACCAAAAGAGGATTCAAGTCGAGTCTGAACTCAGAGAGATCCGACTGCGCATTACACAACTGGAAAACGCTCCACCTGCTGTTGAGGAAAGTATTGTTGTTGAGGAGGTGCTGAAGGTTGAGAGGGACCCAAAACTCGAGAGGATGACAAATGGTCTTCGGTCAGATATGGACAAAGAAACCAGTGATGTCCTGCGTTTCCAGAGAGACATTCGTAACATCACTCTAAAGCTTGAGATCTTGCAAAAAGAGAAGTCTGGTGAGAGGACAGTGTACAAAGAGGTTGTCCGTGTTGAGAAAGACCAGGCTGTTGAAAGTGAGAGGGATCGCCTGAGGGAACAGGTGACTCAGCATAAATTTGACAGACAAGACCTCGAGGATGCAATCAAACGTATCAATGATAAGATCAACCTTCTGACGAGCAGCAAATCTAGCACTTCCAGAGAGGAGTCTACCCTGATTTTGAACAGGGATGGCCTACAGAGAGAGAAGGACGACCTCACTCGGGAGCTCAGGACACTGGATGCCAAGAGACATGACATCAGCCTTTCTTTCCAGCAGCAGAGCCGACTAATGAGTGAGAGAACGCAGATGAGCAGGCAGAAGAGCCTTAAGATGGAGTCTGATGTACAGCGTCTGGAGAGGGAGATCCTCAACGAAAAAGACACGATCCATCTTCGAGACAGCACCATTCGAGAGCTTCGGCTGAACCTGCACAAAGAGGAGCAGACAGAAACAAGGACCAAAGAGACCAATGTCTCCACCAAAATCACCATTTTGGATCCAGATACAGGCAAAGACATGTCTCCTTATGATGCCTACCTGCAGGGCCTGATTGATCGTCAACAGTACATTCATCTGCAGGAGCTGGAGTGTGACTGGGAGGAGATTACTTCCCTGGGACCTGATGGGGAGACATCTGTACTGCAGGATCGCAAGAGTGGCAAGCAGTACTCCATCAAAGAAGCCGTGAAGGAAGGTAGGCTGACAGAGTATGATCTACAACAGTACAAACAAGGCAAGCTTCCCATCTCAGAGTTTGCCTTGCTGGTCGCAGGTGACAACAAAAAGCAACTCCCCTTTAACTCAGTCATCCCAAAGTCCACTACAACAGTGAAATCAGCCACCTCAGACCTCCCCATTGCTAATGCAATCCACCCAATTGCTGGAGTAATGGATACAAACACTGACACCTGCTATACAATACGCAGCGCCACCCTGCGTAAACTGATTGACCCCACCACCGCTCAAAGGCTTCTGGAAGCTCAGGCAGCAACAGGCGGCATCATAGATATCAGCAACAAAGAGAGATACACAGTTCACAAGGCAGCAACAAGAAACCTCATTGAGGACAGTCAACTCCAGAGGCTACTCAATGCCCAGAAGGCTTTTTCTGGTGTTGAAGACCCCATGACCAGAGAGTGTTTGTCTGTGGGAGAGGCTGTTCAGAAAGGCTGGATGCCGAAGGACAGTGCCATTCGCTACATGGAGGCACAGCACCAGACTGGAGGGCTGATCAATCCCAACACTGGCCGCAGAGTAAGCATCTTGGATGCCATTGGGTCCAAAATGATCGACAGCACAATGATGAGGGAGCTGCAGGCTGAGTCAACCTACATCAAGGATATTGTAGACCCAATCACAAAGGAGAAGATCAGCTACAAACAAGCTCTGGATCGCTGTAAGCAAGACCCAGTGTCAGGCTTACCAATGCTGCCTGCCTCCTCCAAAGCTTCTGCTTACACTCCAGCGTACAACTCTACTAGATATGCAAGATTCTAGATATGTTTACAACATACTCTGAGTTATCTAGTCACTGATGTGATTTGGTAAAAATGTACTTTTAGACATAGGAAATCCATATTGTTAATTACAATGTACATTTCAACTCAGGAAAAGTCTTCTTCTGCAAAGCTTTCTATTTAGCCAAAATGATTGCTGCTGAGTTGCCTTTGTTTACCAAACATGTCTGATGTGGGCAGATATTTTTATGTTTTTTTTTTTTTGATTTAATTTAAAAACAGAATATAAATGCAGTTTATCTATGATATTATTGTGTTATAGGGATACTGGGACAAGGTGCAATGCTATTTACCGAGATTGATTTGATTCTGTATTATTCATGGGCTATCCTTGACACTGTTCACTTTAAACTCAATCTTGTTTGATACTTTATTAAGAAACAAATATCAATAAATTTAAATTATAATGGTTAAAAAGCATGGACTCCACGTTCAATGTTGTGTAGTCTTTTAAATAAATAACATAAGCAGGTAGACAATTTTTTATCCTTTCATATTTTAGATCACACAAGTGCGATAGCAGGAAGAGTGTGTATTTCTCCATTGCTATCAAATGACAAATAATGGGCACCACTCCACCCAGTGTACATGAACATGCTGTTTGCAAATAAAGTAAAACAATATTGTACACTATTACGCTTATTATTTAGCTTTTTTGTGAGATACTGGGTATTTCCCCTTGAGACCTCTAAAACTCCTTCAAAAGAAAATCTAAAAGAAACATTCTTTGCTTGAACTGCTCATAATTTTTGACCACACTAAGGCCAGAGGTATTTTTATTCTCATCATCAACCAACTAGTCTAAGAAATATCAGAAAATAATGAAAAATTACCATTACAGTTTCCCAAAATGCAAAATGACATCCTCACCTTTGTCTGAACAATAGTCCAAATTGTTCTTGCTAATGGACTAATCAATTAATAAATTAATCATTTGAATTCTTGCCCACATAAGGCCATAATCTGTGATGAGGGTCTCAAACCAGTATAGCTCACTAATTAGACCATGCAGTGCAGTACTGTTCATGACAAATGTAAACAATGAGTTGTTAAAACAAAAGAACATATCCTAGAGATGACAACACATGCATATACGGCTGTATTTTTACTATTGTTGTATTGCAGCCTATTAAAGCTAAAATTGGTGAAATTTGACAGAAAATTGAATATAGAAGTAGATGAGGAGGGGGGGAGTGATGTGTTTCCTAGCACCTCGACCGCCTCCATTTATCCATATGACGAACTAAAAAAGGCGTTGGAAAACTCAGAAGCCTGGCTGCAAACTGCTGAAAAAGCAGTCATGGAAAGGGAAAGGAGCTTTGCATCTGGTAAAAACCAGGACCAAACTAGAGAGGACAAAAGACCACCAACTACACCTCAAACAGAGCCACCAGTTAAAAGAGTCATTGACTTTGATCAGGATATGGAACAAGGAATCAAGCATGCAAACTCAGGACAGGGGTCAGAAATTACGGGGGAGTGTCATGATAGGTGGGAAGTTGAGAGAAGGAGAGAACAGTGGCTATTTGAGAAATTGAGAGAACAGAGCAGACAGCCGTCGCAGGGAACATGTGGAGGGCAGTGTGATGATTTAGGGCTAGAGGGAGAGAGTAAGAACTATGGTGATGATGAGGGTGACAGAGAAGATGAAGAAAAGATATCAGGAAATATACGTAGCGTCATAGTAGAAGGGACAGGATTAAGAAGGTCTGAGAGACTTAAAGTACGCAGGGAGAGAGAAGAAGGATTCCAACAGCCCAAAGACCTGCAGATGCCCGTCTTTGGAGGAGGCACGCATAAAGGGAGGGAAGGGAGGCAATAAGGGAGGAGGAGGGGGAGTGAAAAACAAGGGATGCTTTATTTGTGGAGCAACTGATCATTGGGTCAATGATTGCCCTTATAACAGCTATGCTCAGCAGCAGGGAAGAAGCGGTGGTCCCCCAGGGGGAGCAGCTTCAAACCCACCCCAGCAGGCACCCAATCCACATATGGCCCCTGGAGGATGGCCTGCACATCCTGGTGCGTGGGGACAGTTCCCACAGCAGCCATAGGGGTGCCAAACAGAAGGGGAACTACAGGGCTTGGCAGCTCCCTGTTTTTTCTCTGAAGGTGAATGGGAAAACAAAATGGGTCATGGTGGACACAGGAGCTCGCTACTCAACCTTGAGTGTTTCTGTTTTGGGATTTTCTGGCACTGAACAAAAACTGCCTTTCACGGAAGAAACTGTTGTGACTGTGGGAAACCAAACGCTGAGACACTCTTTTGTCTACACACCTCACTGTCCTGTGAACTTGATTGGAAGAGACTTGTTGGTTCGCCTGGTGGTTGCAGTGAAATGTGCACCTCGGGGAACAACTTTGCATTTTCCAGATGGAACTGTGATCACCTGCAGCTCTTCTCTCGATACGTCTGTTAGGCAAATGCCCCTGGGTGCCTCTGCTCTATATACTGCTGCTGAACCACCAGCTGACGTATATTGGGTACTGTTAAATACAGAAAATAATCCCTTGGTAGAACAATTTGATTTATGGGCTCCGTGGATTCACTCTCTCAACTCCTACCACTCTGTTCCCGACCCTCCCCATTGTACTTTATATTATGACAGGAATGAAGATTGGATATATAAGGCTGAATTTGAAGATAAGGTAGAAGGACATACCTGGGCCCTGCATGTAGAGGGCATATATGTGGGACAAGAAGGAGTGGCAGCAGCAGTTGTGCTTCCTGAGTATAGGAAATCTTGGTATAAAATGTCTAACACTGCCACCCCCCACGTATCTTTGGCCTTGCATGCAGGACATCAGGCTAAAGAGTTACACACAAATACCTAGGCTGTTCACTTCCCCATCCACCCACAAGTACCGTATCCAATATCAAACAGATGTCAGTGGCACGTGTCAGCATGAAACTCTCACCAGATATCATGGTAGAAAACGCACTGACGGGGATGGAACGCAGGAAATGCTCCAGACCCTCCCTGACTCACTATGGTCGTCCGGACCTTTTGATGTTGGTTTTTGTAAAAATGTGAATCCTGTCACTTTCTCTGTCCAACCTATAGCAGCTCCTATTTGGCAACCACAGTATAAACATAAACAAGAGGCCACAGATGGTATTAAACCTACCGCAGAAGGCCTGTTGCAGGCCGGGGTGTTGAGACCGTCACAGTCAGAGTGGAACACCCCAATCCTACCTGAATGGCAGAAAAAATACTGGAAGGGACACCACATTGTTGCATAACAGCTACACAGGATAGGACCAAGGTGAGGACTGATTTGAGTGAAACACCTTTGGTAAATCCTGAAGTGGAAATGTACACAGATGGCTGTTGTTTCAGACATCCAAATCGTGGGTTGATCGTGGGATCAGGATACGCTGTGGTGCAACTAGGGATAGATGAGACACCCAGAATAGTCAAACAGGAACAGATGACAGGAAGGGTGTCAGCCCAGAAAGCAGAACTAAGAGCAGTCATAGCAGCGTTAGAATTGACACAGGAAAAAAGTGTAAACATTTATACTGATTCAGCTTATGTACATAATGCAGTACACAGGGATTTAACAGGATGGATACAGGAAGGTTTCATGACAAGTGGGGGGAAAAGCATGGCTCATGAAAGAATGATGAGGGAGTTAGCAGAAGCTCTACAACTTCCAAAACGGGTGGCAATAATGAAAGTCAAAGGACATAGCACTCTAGACGATAGAGAAGCTAAAGGAAATGATGCAGCTGATCAAGAAGCGAAACAGGCAGCAGGATACACTGTAAATATGATAATGTTAACCACAGACACGCAGATTGCTGATGATGTAAATATGGAAACAGTCAAAGCAGCACAAGAAACAGCATCAGAAGAGATAAAGACTCAGTGGAAGTCAAAAGGGGGACAACAAAACAGCCAAGGAATATGGCATGTAAATAGTCAGGTGATAATGCCCCCTCAGTGGCTACACAGCATGTTGACACAGACTCATAGACCTGACCACAGGAGCACTGGACAAATGATACATGACACTTACGACACTGGTGGATTGACGGCAAGAATGCTGTAATCAGAAACTTTGTTAAAGACTGCTCGGTGTGTCAGACATGTAATGTAAGACCAGCCCTTACAGTAGAGGCTGGCAAGTATCCAGAACCAGCTGCACCAGGCCAGGAAATCACTATTGATTTCACAGACATGTTAAACCGTGAAGGTGGGAAACGTTATTTGTTGGTGATTGTGGACTCCTTCTCAAGGTGGGTTGAGGCCTATCCCACTGCAAAGGAGGACGCCACATCAGTGATAAAATGTTTGATAAACCACTACATATCCACTCACGGTTTTCCCTAATTCACTAATTCGCTCTGACAATGCAACACACTTCAAAAACAAAGACATGGAGAAAGTTGAGAAAGCATTAGGATTAACACATAAATATGGGACTGTATATCATCCTCAGTCTCAGGGCAAAGTGGAGAGAATGAATCAGACATTAAAAAACAAATTACTGAAAATTGTAATGTCATACAAACTCAAGTGGCCAGAGGCTCTGCCTTTGGCCCTTTTGGGAATGAGATCTGCAGTAAACAGGGAGACTAGTTTGACTCCTTTTGAGTTACATCACGGCAGAGAAATACCTGGTCCGACTCACTCCCTGAAAGAGATTTCTAATGTGGGCTAGAAACCATATTATGTGAAAATAAACACTCTGGTGTCAGAATTCTCCATCCCCACAGATCCACCAACAGGAGAGAGCTTCTCCACACGGGAACAGGAGCCAGAGCTAGGATCAGAAGGACCTCCAGAGTTCCTGTATCTGAAGGCCATAAAGAGGAAGTGGAGTGAACCACGGTGGACAGGACCATTCAAAGTGACAGCCAGAACACACTCAGCAGTAAAACTGGCTGGGAAGGGTTACAACTGGTATCACCTCTCTCAGTGTGCTAAGAGCACCACAGGACAGGAGAAGGAAGCCGAGAGGAGCTAAAAACAAAAAAAAAAAAAAATTTTTAACCACGAGTGTATAACCGAGTTTTATAATCATCATTTGTGTGTGTGTGATTAAAACAGAAACCAGCACCACTCATCTGGAGGAATCAGAGAACGAGGTGGAGGATGGTGTCTGAGGAGGAAAGCAGTCCCACAGGGGAAGGTTAAAACGTTAGGTATGGGGGGAGGTTCCGCCCCATCGCAAGGTTATCCTGTTGAGGACACAGAAGGATATGTTGAACTCAGTTCGTTGAGTTCAAAAGGGGGAGTTGTTGTTGTATTGCAGCCTATTAAAGCTAAAACTGTTTAATGATTTATGCCAGTTAATAATTAGGTGCTTTGGGTGAGTTACTGTTTTAATATCTGCCTCAGAGAAAATATTTACAACCACTGATAAAGACCACTCCATGGGCATGTGTAGGGGGCAGCCGAAGAATACAGAGGTAGATATGTGGTAATTTATGTGTATACATTAATTGTCTTCCTTTGAGCGCACTGAGTTTTAGGTCACACTCAAGGTCGGAGTCAGACGAGAAGGAGAAAGCCAGCGGAGCCAATCAGAAGACAACAAAACGCCCGTGCACATTTCTTTGTTTGTACTTGTATAAATACACTGGATCAGGGAAAGTTAGTTTGTCAGACTGTGGACTGACCAACACTTGTTATTGGTTAGGAAAAGGCACATCTGATCCAGAATTCTGTAACTGCTCATTGCTTGCTGAAAAGATTTACTAAACAAGTTGAACTAAATTCTTTGGTGTGGAGATGCACTGGTCTTTGGGGTATTCTGAACACTGCACTCACCCCGTGGGGGTGAGAGTTTTTTTTCTGCCAACAGCAAAAGCTCCTTCATTACATTAACCCATTGATTTTAAAAAAAATTAATATTGTTATAATATGGATTCATATTGCACGTCCTAGTCTATATAGTGGACCAGACTATACCTGGGTTTCGCATTTATTTTTCTGCATACAATTTTAAATCTTTGCCATTTTAATGTCAGTAGAATATATTTACATAGTTTGGTTTTTATCTATAATACATGACATGGCATATCTATTGTAACACATTTTTAAAGTATTTGTGAATTATATCAGACCATAAAGTTACATCAAGTTTATCAACATGGGCCTAAAGAAGATAACTGTGCTCCCACTGATTTGAATCTAACACCAAGCTCACGTAGTTTATGTTACTACAGGAGAGTGGGATCTGCATAGATCGAACAGGGTCTGACCCCCGATTTGTGACTGTACACTCTTTGGACTTATAAGCCCTGAGTCTGATGTTGCACATTTTCTGTATTTAAAACAAAAACTGGAATGGCATTTATTTCTGCTTTATTGTTGATGCCATGTAGATGTACTATTCTGCCCGTTCCAAATAAAGATATAATTAAAAAAAAAAAAAGTTACATCAAGAATGTTAAGACTGGTAACTTTCACCATATAAAGAGCAGCACAGAAAAACTACTGTTATTATGCCTGAACACCAAGGGACATGACTAAAAAATGCATCGTATTCATAAGTTACAGACCCAAAACATGTGCTTGGTTCTTCATTAGCCAAACATGATGTACCAGTCCATTCATTTGGGTAATTGTAACCCCTAATAAAGTGCAGAACCCTGTTAAGGCCAGACATTGACAAGATCGACTTATAAACTGATAAAAGTAGACCCATGGCTGTAACACTTAACCAAACAAACAGTCTTACAGTTCACTGGAGCTCACATAACAGCACTCCAGCTTATGAGCCGTTGCTGTGGCCCTGACAGTAAACAAGCACCCTGGGAACTTTGATGAATGAAGACCCTGATCAGATTGCATCTGCAGGCTGAGCAGCTCCACCCTGCTTACACTCCCTCTCCCTGAAGAAGCTTCTTTGCTCATTGATGGCTTTCTGTAGAAGGGCAATGTTTACACCATCAACACAGTTCAGCACACGGGCACGGACCATCACACCAACCCCTGTGAGACAAGAAGATAGGGATAAAGGCAGGCAGCTGAGGCAGAAAGTCCTACATTAGCCCAGTGATCAAGAGTCAATTCAATTAATGTGAGTGACATTTAAATAGAGGCAAACACACACTGAACGTCTAAACGATCTAAACGTGATAAGTTTGATAAGTTCTATTTCAACTTGATCCTGGAATCTGAATCAAGAGGTATGGAGAAAACAAACACAGCATTTATGGACTAATCAATAGATGAACTGCAAATCAGTAACCAGATAGCTGCTTAATACATTATATATCTTTACACCAAATCTTGTGAATTCTTATTAACTTAGTTTCCCACATTTCACCTTTTGGTTAATGAGAAAAATACAGTCAACTTAAAAAAAATGTTGGGTTTTTTTTTTTACTGCTGCAACTGTGACAGATTTCAAAATTCATATACTAATCATATTGGTGTAATTTATCACGTGTAATTCTTGACTGGTATGTGCACCCAAGGAAAATGGTAAACTGTTTAAAAATCCTTATAAATTATTCAACACTTCCCAGCCATAAAAGGTCAGAAAGTTTTTCCTTACCCTCTGCATTTTCTGTTTCACCCAGTACTATGTACTGAGCTCCAATTATTGGGTTAAAAGGCTCCACAAACAATGTGTGGACAACCACATGGTGCTCTTTTGAAGCATACTGGGCTGACAGTGTAGCTTTGGACTCCTCTGGCTGATAGCAGACAAGTCTGGAAAAAATAACAAATTTTTATAAGGTAAACTGGTGAGCAGGTAATACAATTTAAGCTTTTATTTTTTAAGGTCTATTTTGTATTGTAAGCCTAGTCTAGACAAACAAAAGGGCACTGGGGAATGTTTGAAACCCAGTTTAAGGTTTGTGAAACATTTATATCATTTGTGAGAGCATGAATAAGGAAAATTGCAACGTTTTTCTCCATTTAAACCACACCAGGCCAAGTCTAAATAAAAATTGTGCTTTAACTCCTCAAAGTTGGACTAGATTAACAAGTAGGTGATAGAGACAGTTTAAACACAGTTTCAGATTTTTGAAAACAGAAAAAAGATTATTGCATTGATTTTTCTTCATCCAGATCTAAATAAAAAATATTTTGACTTGTCAAACCTTGATTGTTTGAATTTTGTTTGTGTTTATGATGATCTCTTAAATCAGGCGTTGACTAGTATCAAACAAATCCGTTTAAAAATAAAAATGTTGTTATACAGTCACAAACAAAACCCACCTGCCAAATGTTCTCACTGACTCTCCTTCCTGCACTGATCCGGAGTTTACCTCCCAGGGGAAATGAAAAACTGCAGTTGCAGGAAGCATCGTGGTAAATTAACAAACAACAAAAACACAGTGGGACGGTGAACTTGAAATAGTGGAGTAATGTGAGTGAAGTGCTGAGGAAGAACTACCGGGGTATGGCTACTTGTCATGTGATCAGTCAGTCTCCGCCTCCCTGCACCTCTCTGCGGCTGCGTTGTTTCATCCTGTCATCCCGTCAGGTTGCAATAGAAGGACATTATACAACACTATTCTCATTGTTTTTTTCCACGATAAATAGTGTTTTCAGTCTGATACACAGCCATGAATCCTGATATTATGAAAGAGCGGCAAAACGCCACTTTTGACGTTGAGAAACTGACTAACATTTTAGACGGGAGCCCAGAGAAGACCAAAAGAAGACGAGAAATTGGTGAGTTTGAAATGTCTTCCATGCCCGATAGGAGTTATTGCTCTTTTTACTGCAGATACTTCAAATCTGATGTGATTTTAGTGATGATTATTTGCTAAGAAAACAGTTTTGTTGGAGAAAAATTCGCTAACCTAGCAATGCTTTTATCGGCTGTTAGCTATAGAGTTGCTAGCAACTGTGCGTTTCAACGGCCGCTACGCAACTTTGTAGTTGTCCTGAATTACACTAAACTCTTAGGTTATTTGGAAACGTATCTCACCTAAAGTCCACTATAAGAGGGTATTTCTAAAGTTAGGTATGTTAGGGTGATTTGATATGTTTCGGTGACAAATTCGGCGTTAGTGTCATCTAGCAAACGTCCTTACAGTAATTTATCAGTTATTCAGTTGTGCACTAATGTAATGTTTACCATCGGTTAGTGCTGCGTTTCAATACCTGTACAAGTGAATTTCACGTTTCAGACACTATGATACTTTATTCCCACCGTCTTCAGGCAAAACACAGCGTTGTAGGTAGCATAGCAAAAACATACTGTATGCTTGATTAAATGTGGTTGGTGTTAAACAGCAACTGAACCCAGACCAGACTTTTGTCTTGGGTAAGGACAGGGCAAGTCATTAAAGACCATAGGCCTATATATATATATGTATATATGTTTATAGCCCAACCCTACACACACACTGCTTTGACCCTTGTTGACATGAAGGCATCACATAATTTCTGCAGATTTGTCAGCTGCACATTCATGCCGCCAGTCTCCCATTCTGCCACATCTCAAAGGTGTTTTGACTAGGGAGGCCCTGAAGTAAATCATTGTCATATTCATGAAACCAGTTTGAGACAACTTTTGCTTTGTGACATGGTGCAATATCATGCTGGAAGTAGCCTTTAGAAGATGGTAAATTGTGGCCATAAAGGGATGCACATGGTCAGCAACAATACTCAGACAGGCTGTGGCATTCGAATGATGATTGATTGGTTTTAAGGCGCACAAAGTGTGTCAAAGAAACATTCCCCACACCATTACAACATCACCACCAGCCTGGATTGTTGACGCAAGGAAGGTTGAGTCCATGGGTTCATGCTGCTTAACGCAAAGCTCCTCCTCAAATGAGACAATCTCACCTCAAAGAGACCAAAACTGATGTTTGAATTGACTCCAGATTTATCAAAAGAGGGTTAAGCACAAGTGGGCAAAACCTGGATCTGTAGTTCTGTGGGTGTGGAGGTTATAGCTTAGCTATCCTGCATTGACTGATTCATTGGTCTAGTTCAAATGATTCATTTACTAGTGACTCATAGAATCTCAATGCAAATACATCAAGATCACATTATTTTTCCCCCAAAGTTTTTGAAGTTCACCTGAACACTCCACTGAACAAATAACTGATGTACAGTGGATTACAGGATGTTGAAATTACACTGGTTGTGTCTCCCAAATTCTGACAACTGAAGGCTTCATTTCTCAACACAGGCCTTGTCAGCATTAGGGCTGAACGATATGCAGAAAAAGTCATATTGCGAACATTTTGACAGATATTGCGATTGCAATATGAGTTACATTTTAGTGGGAATGGTAATTTTTGCATTTATTTCTCACTGATGACTCATAATGACGATGTGATTTTTGCTGGGGTCCAAATCAAACAAGCATGTTCCCTTACATGTGGAGAATACGCTGTAGGGCAGGGCATTTCTCTAGCAGCACAATGCTTCATTCATAATGGTGTGCTGTGAAACATTTTACCTTTGTCAAAAAATTGCAAGGTCCTGCGGTGTGGACCTGGCCATATTGTGATTTCAATACAATTGCAATCATTTGTCAGCCCTAAATCAAATATAGAGCGCCAGTCAAAAATTTGGACACACTTTCCCATTCACTTGAATGGGACTGTACATATGTATTTTATCTATAAAATATTGACTTTCCAGGATTCATCCCCTCCATTGTGACACAGCTACTGATGTAGGTCTCCCTTGATCATGCATGGGTGTATTGTATACATGCCAGTAATCTTGTGCTGGGAGACCTTAGTTCCATTAAGCTCACAGACATTTGGAGAAGTTCAAGTAGGCGCAAGGAGATCCAGACTGTTTCAGAGGCAATAATGACACTAAGCTGAACATTTTTGCACTTGACCAAGAAACTGTATTTTCAAAGTTTTGTTATCTTTATCTTAAATTATTTATCACTATTCAAAGTTTAGGTGCTCATAGCTTGCACGGCCAAAGGCATGTGATTGTTGTCAGGCTGGGAATGCTGATACACACAAACAAATTGCACACATTTTCACATGTGGGTACACATTCACAAATTTTAACCGACTTGAAAATGTCCTGTTAAACATTTATGATATATCATTCACTTCACTTCTAGTTGTATAGACACTAAAAGATACATATCTAATTTACTTTCTACTATCCACTGTAGAGTCAATGGTTCTCAGCGACCCAGACTTTAAGGAGGAGGACCCAAACTTCTTGTCCCGCAGTGAGCGCTATGACCAGGCTGTTCGAAAAAGTGCCCAAATGATCCTGAAACTCAGAGAGTATGGCATTGCAGACCCAGAGGAGATCTACTGCTATAAGAGGTATGTGGTAAAAGAGTGGACATGTGACACAAAGTCAAATCCACTGTAAGTCCTTTTGAAGTGCAAAAAAACATTTTCAGTATTAAACTCTTGACAGATTTTGTAAAAAAAAAAATTCAGCTTATTGATTTGAATACTAGACCTGTCTGTTGTGGTACCTGAATATGAGAGTTTTGTTACAAGGAGATATATTTCACATTTATATATCGCATCACTAAAATCTAAACTAAAATGTTTAGCAAGAAAAGCATGGCATTTGATAGTCCTTAATTTTGTTTGGTAAATAAATATGGAATGGTTAAGTGCCTCAGGTATACAAAGAGTGTAACACTTCAGAAATAAAATATCAGTTATGAGAAGAGTAAGAAATTACTCCACAATTACAAAATATTCAGCCAAAAGCTAAAGCTGGCAAAGTTAGTATGTACTCATTAATATATTCATTACACACACTGTATGTGGTAGACATGTCACACCATTTGGCTGTAATGCCACTGACTACTTCATAACTTTAATGGCATGAGCACAGCATTAACAGTGGACTGGGTCAGGGGCATATGATGAGTTTTTGTACACAAGGTTGGTGGACTTTTTTAACATGTTAAAAGTTACACAACTGTCCTGTAACTGTATCAAACAGCTAAACAATATGAGGGTTTATAAACAGTACAAAATTCAAATCACTTGCATTTGTTTTTGGGGAAAATGTGTGGTATAAAATGTAGCTTGATGGACAATCTATGTAGCTGATTTTGGCCTCGAAACACAAACAGATACAGCTGGAGCAAAGTACATCATGAGATTAAAACTGTGTCAGAGGGTGTGCAGCTTTAACCAGTTGTAAAATGTGATGCAATGTAATAGATCATCCTTTCAAGCATTTTTATTTGTTCTTTTACTTTTACTTTTTATTACTTTTACTATGCATGTTCCTAAAGTGCTTTCACTTGACACTGACACTTTACAACTCACACAAAAGCTACAGTTTTTATATTACAGGACTTTTTTTTTTTAGATTTTGGTCAAACTTTCAGTGTGCTTTGTTTCTTCTGTCTGTCGGTCTGTTTGATGTATACACAGTGGTTTTTTCACAGTCAGCGTTTTAATTGTGGCTGCTAGTAAAAACTGATAGAAGAGGATCACATTAATACCTGTTATACTTTGCTTGTGGTGCCAGTTTATCTGGTCCTAATGCTGAAGTACTTCAACCAAATCACAGTGTCTTTCAGGGCATTCATAATGTAGTGAGTCAGCAAAAACATCAGTTTCACAATGTTTGAGTTACAGCAAGTGTGATCTTCAGTTGTGTATCCTATACTTTCCCTTCACCCAGTATGGTTTGTGGCAACCACCACGAGGCCATGGGGCTACACTTTGTCATGTTCACCCCGACCCTGTACAGCCAGTGTGACCATCAGCAGTCCAGGAAATGGTTACCTCTGGCAGACTCCTTCCAACTCGTGGGCACATATGCCCAAACTGAGCTGGGTCACGGTCAGTCCTGGACTTAGCCCTTGACTTATTTACCTGATTGTTGTTTAAGGCCCTCAGATTATATAGAAAAGCACAAATTTGCATTCACAATTTTGAATCTTTAGCCACAAATATATATAGAGTAGGAAAAAAAGCCCATTTCAGCAGGACTCAAAAACTTCAGTACCAAGAATAGTTTTGGTGATTTGCTGTATGTGTTTGACAGATCCAAATCATGTAGAACATTCACAGTAGCTGCATGTGAACAGTATGTATTCTGACAATTGTGTTCATAACATTTTGTCCTAACAAGAGGTGGTAATTCCTGCCTTGTTGCACATGTAGCTGCGTTATTAACATCGCTCTTCTAGTGGTTGTCCCTTAGTTAGTTTTGTTTCATCTGTTCCAAAATATATTCCCATCAACATTAGTTAGTTCTACTGCTTTCCTACTCACAACTCTCTCATTTCCTCTGTATGTAATGATTATGCACTGATGAGAAGCCTCTGCGCATTTTGATGGCTGTCTATTGATTGCGTTTCATCTTTTTACAAGTGACAGACTCAGTTTCTGATGAATTCTAATCAGTAATCAGTCTTAATTATCTAGTCTGTCTGATGTGTGAATTAGTAGGTGATGTAGACTGGTTACAAACTAGTCAGAACAAATTTTTCTGTCCTTGAATCAAAAATAAGTGAAGTTACATTATGTGCTGCAGAAGTATGTGGTCTGGGATAGCGTAATGAGGCTGAGTTCTGAATGTGTCTTTGTAATCTGAGAGGCTGACAAATCTATGGTGTCAGAGAATGTAGGCCAAGCCAGCTATTGTTTGTTTCCTTTCTGTAACAAAGCCAAGTGCATGTTATTATTAATTTGTATTTCATCTGTGCAAAGCCACACTGAAAGTTTAGAACTGATGGCCCCCTCTTTAATGAACATGTTGGTCACCTGTGTTTTGGCAGGTTTGAGCCAACACTGGGCCAGAGTCACAGAGTATCATTTATGTCATCATCTAAAGTGTCCTTGATCACAACGTTCTCTCCTCGGGGTTGCAACAAATAATTATTTTCATTGTCGATTAGTCTTGCATTTTTCTTCACAATTATTCTCTTGTGAAAATGAACAGCTGAATCAATGTCTCACATTTCAGAACCTGGAATCATTATTTTTTGGCAGTTTTCCTTAAAAAATGAGTTGAACAATTAATCAGTTATCAAAAGGGTTACGTAATAATTTTCTTTAATTCAACTCAGTGATTAATTGACTTTTCTTATTCACACTGTCATAGCCTGTTAGGCAGAGCAGCAGAGCCTACACTGAGAACAGGCTAAGACTAGACTAGGCTAAGTATTGTACATAACTTAAGTATTCAAACACGTGGCAGAGAACGTCAGCGATTCAGCTTCTAAAGTCAGATTTAAAAAAGTGTAAATAAATTGAGTTTCGAGCCAAAATATGGCCGTATGATCAAATCAACCGTTCCAATATGCATGACATGCTCACAAGCTGTTTTAATTTGTCTTTGTCACTTCCATCCTTCCTGGCACATCTTTATCTCTGTCCTCACTTTTTCTTTCTTTGAATCAATTCCTACCCATAACCCCTGCTGTGGACTTTTAAAAATATTTTATTCAACGTTCTCTCCTCAATCATCTGCACTTCACATTGGTTTAAACTTTCCATAATCTGGCTTCCATCAAAAATTCTCTATGCATCTCCCTACTTGCCTCTTCCACTTTACCACCTGCTTTTCTTTTCCGTGCGCTCCTGTCCTGCGTGGCCTAGCTGTGTGCACCCCGACAGGCCAGAGCCCTTGGATCTTCACTTGGGGATGTTCCTGCCCACACTGCTCAACCAGGCCACCCCAGAGCAAATGGACCGTTACTTCATGCCCGCTTGGAACCTAGAGATCATCGGCACCTACGCACAGACTGAGATGGGCCACGGTAAAATGAACAGAGCAGTCCGATCTATCAGGCTGGTTTGCACAAGGCAGCGTTTTGTTTTGTTGTTGTTTTTTTTTCTAAGACTGAAGCGAACTGAAGCCAAACCGTTGGCTTGGCTTTATCTTTGTCATTGACAATAGACCCCAACACTGTGCCGTAATAACAATGTAGACTGATGCTACATTTTTAAGATTTTGATAATTACCATAACAAATGTGAAGGTAATTAGCAGAAGTTTATTTTTCTAACATGGATTTGTACTAAACCTCCATTAATAATTGTCTGAGAAAATTTGTTTGTCCAACAGCCAAACATTTTTAACATCCTTCCCATCATTTGTTTTGGATATAGGATATAGGATTGTAGGAAAAGCTATACAAGTGTGCAGACAGGTTGTAAAGGAATCCCAAGTTTAACTTATTTTCTAAACTGCCCTTAACAAACTGTGTGTAAACACCACTTTGTCAAGGACAGTTGGTCGAATATTTGATAAGCGGAAACAGGTGAATTATTTTCTACCGCTTTGACTGTTTGTGTCAGTTGACCCACTGGACAAGTATAAAGTTATAATAGATGGATAAAAAAATGTACACCAATAATATATAAATATGAATGAAATATAAAAACCAAAGGAAATGGTGCCAAACAACTGTTAAAATAAGCCCAGTTTGTACAAAATGTGATTTTCCTTCCTGTTTGATGCCCCCTGATGACCAGCCTGCACCAGATAGCTGTCATTGACAAATTGCCTTTCTTCTTCTCTTACCAGCCCTTTTTATGTTTTTAGACAGAAATATTGCCTTTACTAACCATCTTGGATTCATTTTATGATGATTTCATTGTGTTTTGGGGTTTTCTGTCTGTACGTCCATCCCATTCTTGTGAACATGATATTTCATGAACGCCTTGAGGGAATTTCTTTGATGAATTGATTAGATTTTGGTGGTCAAAGGTCACAAAGGACCACAAAACAGGTTTTTGGCCATAACTCAAGAATTCAATTGCAACTGGGCTGCTTGGCAGAGGCATACAACTGTGAGGTGGTAATTCTAGTTGTATATGTGTTTTTGCATGGGTTGGGATCTGTCTTTGCCCAAAGATCAGTATAGCAACATGCATTCCAGCTTGAATAGTCCATTCACACTGAAAACTGATTAGGAAACCCACCATACACAACCCCATGTGGACCCGTTTTGTCTGTCAAAGGCATGCCGTAGATACAGCATGAAGTGAATCAATCTTGAAATGTGATTGTTACATATTCTTCTTTAGATCTGTCAAACACCTACACAAAGCACTGCTTTGCTCCTTTATGTTGGATGTATGTTTGTGACTTCATCCATTTTTTATTTCAAGTGTTCAAATACCAATTTATGCAAATTTCAAACTCTAAAGGGCTAAACGTATTTTTTATCCATTATCCTATTGAAGTTTTGAGTTCGAAGTTTTTTTTGCTTGTGTGATATATATTCTGTATTATTAATTGATTCATCTTCAGTCTCTTCATATCACTTTAATGTTAGTGGTTAGTTCTGTGATTAATGCCATTTGTGAACATGCTTGACAGAATAATATCTTAATGTCTTACGCCATTGCTGAGTAATCATTCATTTTTGCTTTTCAACTGTGTACTCTGTATATGTGTGTTCTGTCTGTATGCGTTCGGTGGGCTTTGATATGCTGTCTTTCTCAAGGCACGCACCTCAGAGGGCTGGAGACCACCGCCACATATGATCCAGCCACACAGGAGTTTGTCCTGAACAGTCCCACTGTCAGTTCCATCAAATGGTGGCCTGGAGGACGTAAGTACTTTCACAGTTAATTGACCAAACAGAGTTATTTTACAGCCTGGAATTTGGGTAGTATCACAATTCCTATAGTATAAATAAGGACTTAAATGATGAATAAGATTATTTGATGTAACATTTTCCTCAAGATGTTACAATGTTTTTTTTCTCATTTCCGTTTCAGGCTTAGAAAACCTGACTGACATTGAGAATAAACTATTTTTAACCCTGTCACTCTCTCTCTTTCCAGTTGGAAAGACCTCAAACCATGCCATAGTCCTAGCCCAGCTTTATACTCAGGGAAATTGCCATGGTCTGCACGCTTTCATCGTGCCCATCCGTGACATGAACACACATGAACCCCTGCCAGGTAACTGCAACATTTCTCTGGATGTGGTGTTTGTGATAAAGTCAGTCTTCAATAACTTTCTCTCTGTGTGCCACATTGCCTGTTTGGATCTGGCTTTTTGACATTCCTACTTACTATTTTTCTCTGTGTCTCTTAGGTATTGTGGTTGGAGATATCGGCCCCAAGTTTGGCTTTAATGAAGTTGACAATGGCTTTCTGAAACTAGAGAATGTACGAATCCCACGGGAGAACATGCTGATGAAATATGCCAAGGTGATGTGCCATTATTTGAGTCGCTTCTATAAACAGCATTGGTTTTACTAGGGTTGTTTCGGTTTAGAAACATTTTAGGTTGATTAGATAGTTCTTATTTTCTGAGGTTTGGTCTTCTTTTACGAAAGGAATACTGGCAGTGCTATTACACCAAAGCTCTTTTGATGGTTGTGTTTCCACCAATACCTGTCTGCTAGATATTAATGTGTGTTTTGTTTACCAATAGGGAATGACTGTTGCATTGTATATACAAGCTATTTTGTCAAAGAAATGGAAGAAGTACCACTAATAGATTAGATTTTTCCTTTGCCATGAAAAACTGATGTTTTAATCGTCTTAATATATCTTGATTTCATTGTGTCAGAATACTGCAGGATGTTTAGTGAGTAATGGTGTGTATGTATGTAGTATATTGCATTTAGAGTGTGACTTTTTCTCCCTAAGCATCTCATCTCACAATGACTCTATCTTGCCACTAGGTGGAGCCAGATGGAACCTATGTGAAGCCACCAAGTGCAAAGCTGACCTACGGCACCATGGTGTTCATCCGCTCTATGATTGTAGGCGAATCAGCTCGGGCCCTCTCCAAGTCCTGCACAATTGCCATCCGCTACAGTTCTGTCCGACACCAGTCTGAACTTCGGCCGGGGTCAGTCAGTACAAAAGAATATTTTGACATATATAATGACACTTCTGCAAACAGTTACACAAACGCTGCATGGCTCATAGAAGTTACAAGTAAAAACAAGACTAGGTCTAAACCTAGTATGGTGTGGTCAAAGTGTTAAGTTGAGGAAGTTGAAAACTGTTGTGGTCGTATTCGCACTCTGCCTAATGCCACCTGGTTTCAGCTCATTACCTATTTGCATCTCTCCTACCCTCTGTGCTCACATAAACAGTATTTTATTTGTTCTCATTTACATTTTTTTCTGTTTATGGTATCAGACAACAGAACAAGTATGAAATGGTGACTGAAATGCAGCCCACATGAATTAAAGACAAGGACTGTGATGTGGTTTCGGCTATATTTACTTGTAAAATGATTGCTCGACAGAATATCACTTTATTTCCGCTTCCATGCAGCTCCTGAGAAGCTGGGAAAACAGGGTGGCTGGGTGACTTGCTATAACAAGAGGTGTAGCCTACAGTTGGCACCCATACACAGTCCACCCATATACTTTGTTTATACCTAGTCTTGTTTGGAAAAGCAAATCTCTAAATCTAGCAATAAATGAGCTACTTTGCAACACTGCAGGCTGTAAACAACCCGCCCTAAATAAAACCTGTTTGCGCCAAATCCTTTTGAAAGAGCAACAGCCAATGGGTAAACTCCAACTCAGTCACGTGGCATTCGGCTGACCAATGATGGACATGTGATCGGTCGGTCAGGGACATTCGTGATTATAAGGCTGGTTCTGTGTTGCAGTCAAGCCAACAAACACAACAGTTCATGCATGGACAAGTGACAGGTCTGAAATTGTTAATGAATTATTTTACTTCTACTACTACAAGTTTTGTAAGTTGGCAGCACCAGAAAAAAATGTTGCCATGATGGAAAAAACATTTGTGAGAAAAAGTCTCAAGTGATAGAATGACAAACTGTGAATGTATTACTGTATTTAACCAAATTCTTGGCTCTTGGTTCACAAATAGCTACATAATTCCAACAGCAAATGGAAATACCATTGGTTTTGTAATGATTTGATCTCTCACCACATGCTCATGAATGAAAGGGAAATACAACCTTTTATGACATAATGAAAAATCAAACCTGTGTGTTTCTGTTCCGCAGAGAGCCAGAGCCCCAGATCCTCGACTACCAGACGCAGCAATACAAGCTGTTCCCTCTTCTGGCTATGTCCTATGCCTTCACTTTTGTTGGCCAGTATATGAGGCAGACCTACCACCGCATCACTGGAGACATCAACCAGGGGGACTTCAGTGAACTACCTGAGGTACTGACGCTGATATACACATGTAGGATGTGATCTAAGCTTGATGATGACAGATTGACTGATGGTGACGCATACTGACCGACGAGGTGATAGATTAGTCTCAGTCTTTCCAACTATTTTTGGGGGTGATGTAAACCAACCAAGTGTGTGGTACAAGCAAACACCTATTTAATCATTTAAACTCCAGATTGTTTACTGACATCATTGCTAGCTTGGTCAGCCAGCAAGAAAACAGGCACAACTTTCAAGTACTGCAAATATTCTGCTCATAGACTGACTCTACTGGCTTCGACCCCTCTGTCCCCTGACCTGTTGGCCGCCTATCTGATTACACTTTCTTAAAATGATAGCAGTCAGTTTTGTTGGGACACTTAAGAGCTGTAACTTCACTGAATTCACAATATGTCTTAATGTAATTTTTTTTAATTAACTACTTTATATATCAGCGTTCTACATACTGAATTCATACAGCATGGCCATGACATGGCCTGACTGACTTTCTCATATTTTAGTCAGGTCAAGTGATTTTTTTCACACATAAACCTCAATAATCCGTATTTGCAACATAATCAGTTATATGCTGTGTATGCACAATACTTGTTAATCAGTTGCTTAGCTTACAGTGACATAAGTAAAGCTATAATATAATTTTATGATAGAAAGGATGCATTGTGGAGTGCAAAAATTTGGTTGAAGTCAACTATCTAAGAAATGACACTTATGTTTTTTATGACTGAGCACCAAGGAGAAGAACTAGCTTTTCAGTTTCATCTCTGTGCCTTGAAAGGTGCACAGATAGCAACTGTACCCAATATTTTAGCTCCTAGTTAATATAAATTAGTTTTTATTAATCTAAATATTTACGGAAATACTCTAGCCTATAGCAATATTAGAAATCAGCCATCCATGGCTAATTCTAGTGCATACATAAATGTAAATAAGTGTGTGTGCTCTGGTTTACATCATTCTATATTTTAAAACCTCTGGGTCATTTATTTGTTTCCTTGCTTGATGATCTTTTAAATATAATTAGACTTGCAGGAAACTATTTCCACTCTCTTTGCCCTTCAATCTACAGCTCCATGCTCTGTCTGCGGGTCTGAAGGCCTTCACCACGTGGGCAACCAATGCTGGAATTGAAGTGTGCCGCATGTCGTGTGGTGGCCATGGCTACTCTCGCAGCAGTGCCTTGCCTGACATTTACGTCGAGTTCACCCCTACCTGCACTTATGAGGGTGAGAACACAGTAATGATGCTGCAGACTGCAAGGTACGTCATCACACAGAAATGGATGACCACAAATGTGACACCTTACATGCACCATAGTTCACAGCCCATCAAGCTCTCCACCCACTGCTGACACAAACACACGATACAAACGTTTTGTTATTGGTACTATGATGTCAGACTGCTCATACAGTTGGAGGTATATAATTATTTTACTTAACTTTTGCTGTAAGATGAAACACTTTCCCTTATGAAAACTCCTCATCAGTACAGGTACTTAAACACACCATCTCCTATCGTTTTTGTCACACGCCTAAATAGACAAAGAGCAAAACAGAGACACATTCAGACATATATGTGCGCCCACACAGCAGTCCTACCATATCACTAATTCAGGCGACACACTCGCACTCCTCCCACAGCAAAAACAAACACGGGTCACGTTTTATAACCCTAAATAATAGTCATGGTGTGGTATCAGTAGCACTATAAAGGTCAGCAGTTCTGTTTCTGAATTTCTATTTGCTTCATTTGGAGGAATGTATTGTGAAGTGTGAGCAGTTCTTGAAATGTTCAATTACACAGTGAGCTCATTCCTGAACATGAAGTACACACACAAAGGCCAAAGGTATTGTGAATGGGAATAAATGAATAGGTTGATATATGAAACCAGACTTGGATGGGGATTAGTAAAAACAGGTTGCACAAAGCTAGAAAGGCATGGAAATATGTGGTGGTTTACTGTGATCACTTTCATGTGAAGACCTAGTGGGGGTGTGAACAGTATAGTGTGTTGTTTCCAAACATGCCTACTGTTTATGTTTAACTTAATGCCTTCTCTACAACCCTTAAACAACATCACTATTGAAACTGATGTAGGTGTTAAACATCAGCTTTGGTGGTGTAGCACAATATCTGACTTTCCTAACTCATCACTTCACATTGATGATGAACATCATGAAAGTCATGTGGGAAGAATTGAATTGGAAAAGAAATAGATGCCAATTTCTTAACAAGAACCACAATAAATATTGCATTTGGGTATGGCATGATTTGTATACTCAAAGAGTTCAGTAGCTAGCTCATGCACTAGGGCTGTCACTTTTTCAAAATAAAAAAATCAAGATCAAACGAATTGGAAATGACCTGCAATTTGCTCTCAATAAAACAATGTTTAAAAAAAAGAAATGTGCCGCACTTTTCATTCAGTGAAACTCAAAGTCTCAAAGTGCTAGATTAACATAGAACACAAAGTACAACAGACAACAGGAGGGAGCTCTGACACCTTTGAATTAAAAATGTAGCAAGGTAAAACATGGAACCGATAGTCAAGCCAAACGGTCCGTCATTATTTCTCATATTATTTACCAGAAACACGTGTATCAACATGATCTGCATCAAGTTCGGCTCTTGTTATTTACGATATTACGTGCCGATGGTCTGATGCGCTTATGGAGATTGCAGCCTACGTTTCTAACAGGTCAAAACAGCTCGAATTATTAACTTTTAACCCCACGTTCGAATGAATGTTCGAATTTCGAATAAAAAGTGACGGCCCTATCATGCACCAATGTTTAACTGTGTAGCCCTCACCCGTGTGCATCCTATACTTTTGTCTGTACAGATACCTGGTGAAGAGCTACCGGCAGGCTAAGAACGGCCAGCAGCTGAGTGGCATCGTGTCGTACCTGAATGAAGCAGAGTATCGGAGAGTGCAGCCCCAGCCGGTCGCTGCTAGACCAACTGTGGTCGACATTAATGACCTGGCGAGTCTGGTTGAGGTCTACAAACTACGAGCTGCCATGTAAGAGACAAAAGCAGTAGAGAAAAAAGTGACCTGAAGTGAAATATTTGCACTATGGTCTGTGGTTTCAATTCTGGTTTAATTATTTAATGTTTTTTACCGTAATTGTGTTCGTGCCTAAAGAGAGGAGGGATAGATAGCAGACACACTGTCTGCTGCGTTGTGGTCCCCCCCCCCCCCCCCAGTGTCTCAGGTGTTGTTGTTGGCCAAAGCTTCAGCTGTCAACATTAATGACCCTGATAGTCTAGTCAGTGTCTGCCTCAATCTGCTGTGGCCCATATTTCTGCCTTTGTCCTTTTCTCTGTCTGGTATGATATACTGCCCTGACTATATCCATGGATACTGTCAGCATTAGTAAGATCTAAATTCATTTAGCAGTCAGTGTCAGCTGTGTGGGGAGCACAAACAGCGGCTAAACCAGTCTGTTGGAGAGGGACAAATTGTAGCCTGCCAGTTGAGACATCAGAGGAACAAAAGGAGAAAGACAACTGTGTGTTAGCAGTCATTTTTTAATGCAGATTATCTGTGTGTTTGTAGCCTAGTAGAGATGGCAGCTAAGAGCATCCAACAGGAGTTGCAGCGCAGGAAGAGCCAGGAGGACGCCTGGAACAACAGTGCTATCGACCTGGTCAGAGCTTCAGATGTAAGTTCAGTGTGTGTCTGTGTGTGTGCGTGTGTGTGTGTGTGTGTGTGTGTGTGTGCGTGCGAGCACATTTGAATTTTAAAGTGAATTATACCTAACCTTACACCAGAAGTCAGCATACTGTAACAGGCATGGCATCTCAGCCAACCTTTTAATATTGTCCTAGGGGCAGAGGTAATGGAAGCTGACAAATTGTCTAAAATTAGATTCTCTGCATCAGTTTATCATTGTATTATCTTAAAGCTCACATTTTTAATGTAATTTTTTAAATATCTCATCAAGACAATGTGTGATCATTACATAGTAGTTTTAAGGTTTCCTCTAGTTTGCAAGCTCAAAGCCTGCTGACATACATCCTATTTCTAATATTTCTGTTCCTTTCTTTCCTATTTGTCACGCTGAGTCTCTTTCATTCATCTACATGTGCTCCTGTTTTTTGTCTCCAGGCCCACTGTCACTACGTTGTAGTGAAGCTCTTTACTGATAAGCTGGGGGAGATTGGCGACACAGCCATACACTCAGTGCTGTCAACCCTGGCTCTACTCTACGCCCTGCATGGCATCACACAAAACTCTGGAGACTTCTTACAGGTCAGAAAAATCAGAACATGTAGAACCAATATGGTTACAGTCAGTGGCTGAGCTTATTACACATATTACAGACATATTGTGCAAATCTGCTCCAGTTATTTGTGTACTCCTTGTACTGTTGGTCTGTCCGTTTCTCTGTCAGTTTCCCTATGAAAAACCAGCCTCAATTGCCCCTTTGTCTTGGAGTTAACAAAATGGGGTCTTTGTGTGTTGGATCTGTGTGTCTGGTTGGCTGTCGTCTTTTCTGCTGTGTAAATAAAAGAAATGAAATTTAATTTTATGAGCATGGAATTTAAATAAAATACTAGAGACCATCTTGCAATGGGATCACACCAGCTGTTACACCCGTCAAGATGTTGATGTTCCGACCCACAAGAACTCAGTAGTCATTACTACATTGTTATTAGTACTCAGTAGTCATGGGTTGAACCACACCCGTCTTGAACTTGGCCTTCATTTTGAGCTGAACTAAAGTTTTGTGGCTGCATCTTACAAGGTTGTGATGCTACCACAGTGACAATAATCTGCCCACAGACAGACAAACAGATTAAACAAAGTACTCAAAACCACCTCTGTGGTGGTTGCTGCTACAGTAGGTGTCTCCAGGACCACATTTTGCCCTGATGACACACACACGCGCACAAACTCACAAGGTGGAAACCATTCCAGTCCCACTGTCGCGGCTGGTAATATGACTTCATGCTTGCTCTGAAATCTGCATGGACAACCCACTGTGTCTCTTGTATGTTTCCTCACTGCTTGCACACCTGAGTGAGGTCCAGCTGCATGTTTTCATCTACAGCTCCCATCTTTTTCTTTTTCAGGCTGGACTACTGACTGTGCCCCAGGTGCTGCTGATGTCTGTTCGTATTAAGGAGCTGCTGTCTCAGCTGAGGCCCAATGCTGTGGCGCTGGTAGATGCCTTTGATGTCCATGACAAGAAGTTGAACTCGGTCCTGGGACGATATGATGGAAACGTCTATGAGCACTTGTTTGACTGGGCTCGCCGCTCACCCCTGAACTCCACAGAGGTCAGTCAGGGTCACCAAAGTAAAATAATATTAATGACAATGAGTTTAATGAGTTTCAGTAAATTAGTATTTTCAGATCTTCTTAGCTAATTTATGTGTTATATCTGTTGACAAGAGAAGCAGTTTGATATGACAGGGGCAGTAGTTTTATGCAGTGATAGTTTTATTGTTTGGTGGTTTGATTGACACCATTAATGTTTTGATATGTATGGATGTATATTGTTGTGAAAACTAGATAACAGTTAAAGTCATTTTTATTTTTGTAGGACTTTAATGTTCGAGTATTATGACTGAGATATGCTGCATCAAGACAGTCTAGATAGGTTCATGTTAAGTTTGTCAGTTACATGAACAAAAATAGCTTTCTTTGCTTTGCTTTTTTTTCCCCTGGTCTTGCTCAATATTTAAATAAATGTCCCATACCTTCTTTCTGTCACAGGTACATGAATCCTTCCACAAGTACCTGAAGCCCCTGCGGTCCAAACTGTGAGCTGACCCTTGAACCTTCATTCCTGGCTCGGACCCTTCAACTTTTCTTGTATAGGCACAACCATAGCAGTACTAACCCATCATATCCAATCCATGATGGTCCTCACTCACCATCAGCAGCTGGTTTTTCCCAGTATGAAAGAATCTAGACTTCCCTACTCTACTCATTATCTCTCTGTGGTGAATCAGCCTCTCTAAAGGCCATCGTATACTGACACGCTTGTCCTCTTGGGTGAGAGTTTTGGACAACAAAGGGTGTAAAACCAAGAGTGAACAACCTTAAACAATCTGAAGTTTATTAGAAAGAAAAGGGGAATGGATACAAAACCACGAATTAAAGTTATATCTTAAAATCTCTAATTAAGTCAATATTTTGAGGCCAAAAAAACAGCTTTAAGAATTCTGAATATTAATCAAGTATTTCCAGTTTTCGTTGCCATGTTTTCTGTAGAGAAATTCCATTGTGTGCCTGATGGCTCCTCTGTGTGAGCCAGTCAGAATGGATTTGCCATCTCTTTTTTCCCCAACAAGACCAGAATGTTATTATGAATGTTACATAATGTTCAAGCGAACAAACCAACAGCAAAATCAGTTTTAGTTGTTTCCCCTGACTACAAGGACCAACATGCTATTTAAAATAGACATTGTACTGTTCGTCATAATAGTTGTTAAAGAGGCTTTAATTTGTCCATGACTGTAGGCATCAACAAAAAAATTCACAAGGATGAAGTTTTCCTCTTCACAAGTCTGCGGCCTAGCAGATTAGAACAGAAATCAAACAGAAACATCAAGTGAAGATTAAAATTATTCCCCTGTAAAATACTCTGGGTTAGGGTTAGGGTTAGGTGATAATACCACTTTGAACCTTCTGCTACATAAAACCTCTTAAGATACTAGAGTAATAAGAATTTAATTACTATTTTGAGTATCAAACACTCAACCCCAGGAGGATAGAAAGGTAGCTGTTTGTGTAGGTAGTTTCTTCCTTTTCTTCCTCATTGTCTGTGTGTCCACATGAATTTTGAATGTGTATGTGTCACAGCAAGCTTTTGGCAGAAAATGGTCTAAGATGAAGTATGTCAAGTGTGTGAGAAGCACCTGTGAGGACAGGTAATATGAATTTCTGACAGTTATTGAGTGTTTAATGAAGCCATGTATGCACTGTATATGTGCATTAGTATTCCCCCTCCCTGCTGTGTGGGGTCGATATAAAGAAAGGTTACACCTCAGCCAACACCTGCATGGATTCTTTTTTAAAAGTTTTCAATCAAGTACATTTCATACTACAAACTTTCAGTACATCTATTGTTAAAATGCTGTGATGTTCCAACATGATTGAAATATGTGCAAACTGGATGACTTTTTCAATATCACTGCTCCCCTATTTTTGTTATTACAGTTTCAGAATTGGTGGATTTATGTTTTTAGTTTATGTCAGCCTGCTGTAATTTATTTTTCTCTGTCATCAATCAAGTAGGTACTGAGGCTGGTGAATAAAAGTAGCAACATAACTACACAACATAAACTTTTATGAGATTTTGTGACTGATGAAAAGGAGGTTCTTTAATCTAAAGCCTCACTGTGAACTGTAAAGATGATTTGTATGATAAATTTGTGCCTGAGGAAGCTTTCTTTCCCTAATCAAACTAATTGAGAATGTTCTCAAAAAGGTTCATAGCATTTCATTTCTGTATTTACACAGACTTTTAATCAGTTGACACAATATAACCTTATGTAATGACTCAGTTGTTTATTAAGCATATTTGTGTGATAATTTGTTGACATGTTTTCTTGAATAACAATGATTTTAAACAATGTCATTTTAACAGTTGGTAAATAATTTGACCTGTAATTTATATTAATAAAAAATTAAATGATCAGTGCGTTGTGTTCTGTCTGAACCCTGTGGTTAGCCAGCTTGAATTGATTTTCATGTCCTCTAAAGAAACCCTTGAATTTGAACATTTGAGTATAAGTGGTTAAATTTCACAATGTGTATTCAGTTGCCTGTACAATTAAAATTATTTTGTCCTTTCTTTGCTTCCATACATTATGAGATAACACTGCTGTCTATACAAGGTAAATCGTTACTAGAGAACTGCTTTAAAGTTGCGCAGTAAAAAAATGAAGTACCAAAGAAGTTGGTTAGTATGGTCATCATAGACCTGACTGATGACTGATTCTCTGGTAAACTACTTGTATATGAACTGCATGAACTAAACATAAGTGTGCACTGAAAACATTTCACTTGGATCTGAATATTTATTCAAAATTGTACATTTCTGTACACAAATTCACACTCTCAAGTAGCTACAAAACTGTTGTGAGCCCAAATACTCACATTTGTCAGTCACATCCTGTAGATGCAAACCAAAACAGACATTTTTTCTCTATTTTCCTTAGAAAGTGGTGCAAAACACACATGTGTAAAAATATGTGAATCATATCATTGTAACATAAGAGTTATGTCCTATTTTCAGTAGGTGGTGCTGAGACTGTAGTGTAATAGTAGGCAGATGTCTTCAGTGTGAGACTGTCATCAAACTTGAAATTTGGGGAAGATTGGACAAAGTATCATAGAGTTATAACCACCTCCTATATATCCATTCAGTGGCACTATGATTATTGCTAAATCTGGGCATGTAAATGTGTTAATTGCGGGAGTCTCATCAAACCTATATAGTTGTGGCCTGTTTGGACCTTTGGACACTGCATGCTGGAGTTATAGCAACTTCCTGTTTCCCAGCGAAGGATTGAAATTCCCCGTGCCACCACGGGCGGGTCATTTGACGTAAACTCAAAAGCTCTGCACTTTAGTATTGCACCAGTCTGAAGATGAGAATAAACCAACAATGATCTTGGAATTGGACAATATGTCATGGACATAAAGCCACTTCCTATTTCATATTTAACTTCCCGCAAGAGCCACGCGCTTTAGTGAAAACTCAAAATTGACATCCATGAAGCATCAGCATCTTCAACAAATTATTTTCTTACCTGTTTTTTGACGCCCAGGTCAACTCTCTAGGAATAATAAATGAAAAAGTAAATCATAACATTATAATATTGCCATGAGGTGGCATGGTATGAATACTACTAAATATGGACATATAGGTCTGTTCAGGCCGGGAGTCTTATAATACATTTAGATTTTGGGCCAGTTTGGACAATGTATGCTGGAGTTGTAGCGAGTTGAATTTTCATGGCGAAGGATCGAAATTCGCATGGGCAGGCTGTTCCGCAAAAAGTCACAGTTTTAACTACAGTGCATCACCAACTTCTTTAGCATTTCCTGACCATGTTGGGGTCAAGATTCGATGACCCTGCTTGGAGAAGTATATCCAAGTGTAAAACATGACACTCCCTGTTTCCACAAGGGGGCGCTATGAGTATCACTGAATATGAGTACATGAGTGTGTTCAGGCCAGGACTCTAATCACACACAGAAAGTTTGGTGCCTATAAAATACGTAAATTTACACCAGGCCTGAGCGTGTGCAAAGTTTCATGAGTTTTTGAACATGGGAAAGGCCTCAAAAAGGCAATTTATTAGTCGGAATAATAATAATAATAAATACTAAAGTTTCAATAGGGTCCGATCTGGTGCTCGGGCCCTAATTATTTTTTAATTTAATCAAATCTCATTTACATTTGTAAATCTTATAAAGCACAGGTAAATAAAATTTGAACTATTTTCACCACATAGCCCTGTAGTTTCCACACACGGCCGGGAGTTCGAGGGGGTTGGACCGGACCCAGCTCCTCTCCTCTGTGGATAAGATAAGTCGTAACTCCGCCCCCTGCTCCTCCGTGGAGCTGCAGTCAAGGATGTTGGAAGAGAGAAAGAGGGAAGTAGTAGACACTGGTGGACAGTAGCCTACAGTACCGTAGCACTTCGGACAAATACCCTCTGCTAATGAATAATAAGCCACTTATTTCTTCTTGGAGGTGAGTGAGATGAGACTTTTTAGACCTTACATTTGTTTGTGGAACGTTACAGCCATTAAAAGTTAACTTGAAGTGTTTGGATCCACGGTCATTATCGAGTTTTTTTATTTTTTAAATAGAAAAAAATGATAAATATCTTTAAGATCGCCGCGTACAAGTTGTGTGAGAAAGGGAATTTCATTATTAGGTGTAAATTTAGCTAAATTAAATATTTTTAAAGAAGACACATTGCACCGCTAGTGACAGTTACAACGTTAGCTTACAACAGTCGTTTTCACCTATCGTTTGTCTAGCCGCTGAGAGCATGCCCCGGCAAGCCCTTTGTTGCTGTACCCGCCGAGACAAATGCGTGCGGATACCATTATTCATCTCAAATTCTCTTCTGTTACCCCTTTAAAGTTAATTATAGTCACCGTGTGCCGTCAAATTCATCCGCTGTTTCACCCCTCCCGTGTGTTTTTCAAAGTATTTAAGAGGGTGTGTTCACACACTGTTCCACAGGAATTTAATGAGGAATGGCCAAAACTGAAACTGACATTTTCACCTCAATTATGACAGAAATAAACTACACCATTGAAATAAGTTTTGGTTCTTGTGTAGCTTATCTTTAAATCATATCGTTTTGTAGGTACACAGTGGTGACAAAAATAGACACGGTCCACTGAGCCACAGAGTTGCTGCCTAAAGATGACTGCAGATACAAAAAATGAATAACTGTTGTGTTCATGTTCATGTCAACTGTCCTTACAGTTACCTCTCCACCTCCTGTAGAGAGACATAATTTTGTATCAGTTTTTTGCCAGCATTTCTCAGATGGGTCTGTTGAGGATAAAGCCTTATCAGATGTTTCTCTTTGGTCTGAAGCAGAAACGTGTGAGAGTTGGACTAAAATGGCAAAACACCTGTTTTCGCATACCTATCAGATTAATGGCATCCTCAGTTAATTTGGAAAACAGGATGAAAATGCAGGCCAGTGTTACTCAGCACAGTCTTCCTCTTGTCACCAGTTATTACAGATGTCCTGAATGAAGGGCTGTAGATGATGAGAAATAATGGTGTACTCTGCAGGGAGTTTAGGTGCCACTTAAGTTAACTTAAGTTTCAGCCTTCACTGCCATGCATATACTTTTTCCATCAACATATTATTAATACCAAAATTATGTATAAAGTACAGATGGCCCTCATAGCGGTGGGTGATGTGGTCAAAATTATCATTGCACACTAGTGCAGGGGAAAGTGATAGTCACACATTGCAATTGAATACAACCATGTCTTCAGATAACTTGAAATAACTGAGACATAAAAACCGTGTACAAAGGCAGTCTTAGTACATACAGATCAGTTTCAACTTTGCAATTCATTTTTAGGTTGTTGCTATAAGAAAACACTCATGACATAATAATTAACAGTTAATTCTATTTCAAAATATTCATGATCTTAAGTCTATGAACTCAGTTGTTTATAGTGATGTCTTTGTATTTTTTATTAGTTTTATCTCAGTATTTCAAAATCCTTGTTGGAATTCAGAGTTTGCTGTTTAACTTGCACAATACTGTAGAAGTACACACAATATTGACGTATTTCTTATGTTATTATTTCATAAGAAATGCTAATTTTACCAACAACAAAATATCAGAGTAATCATTCGCTTGAAGCAGCATTAGTCTTCATGTTACCTATCCTTGTAGGGTCTGCAAACATATTTCACTGTCCTCATAGAGCGATTCAAAACCTAATCACCTCATTCTACATGCGGTGCCCTGTTATAATCCAACCCGTGTCATCTACTGTCCGTGCATGTATCTGTTAACAAAAGGAAGCAGTGAGTAAGTGAGTGGAGTGTTATTTAACAATGTTTTCAATTGTAGTCTATATAAGCACATCACACTAACTCTCTGCAGCTGTGAAGACAAACCAGAAAAAAGAGGAACCTCATTTCATAAGCATAGAAGGCAGGTTGTATGTTGTACAACATGCTGTTACCCAGCAGCTGCATGTGCATGGTTGAACTGACATGTCGTCTGCACCAGCTGTGCACCTGTCAGTGAGTTAACAGACTCAAAGAAAACTGTAATCCAGTGAATATCAGAATGTTTACACTCTGTTACTATAAGGAAACACTTAATCAGAATCAGCAAGCAAGCTCTGTCTTTATTGACTCGGTACATATTTGGTCATCCTGTTCTTTATGTTCATGTTTCCAGAAATAAGATTTTGTTTGTTGTTAAACCTGGTTTTGAACAAATTTAGTAGATTTCTCTAGAGGTCTCCAGATGGGGTCTGTTGATCTTCAGGGCCCTTAATGGATTTCCAGATGGTTCCCCAGAAACTGTGAAGTGGTTTAATAGATTGATTGTTGCCTCTTAGGGAGCATTAGAATGAAATACCAGCGAATGTATCTGTGCAGAGGTTTTTAGTGTCTATGTTGTTACCTTTCCATGAACAGAGTACTAAAGCCCATTTTATCTAACAGTAACAGAAAAGAACATGGAGCCTGATTAATGTATAACTACTTCTGCTGGTGTTATAATTTGAAGTTTGGAAACCCCTAGGCTTATCCACTTACATTCAGTGTCTTCCGGTTTGTCAAAGTGTCACAAACAAATAGTCACATCACTTACCTCTCAGGGCTTTCCTTCCATGATCTTATCTGTTTTCAGCTATAAGGCCAAGGAAACACAGTGCCTGTTTTTTCTTTTATAATAACAACCAGCTTCAGTAACAGGAGTATCAAGCTGCTGGCCAGGCTGTTGGAATTTTTTCCCCTTCACTCCCATGCCAGCCTTCGTTCCACAGTGCATGACACATTATCTCAAAAATATTGGGACACTCCGGAAATGCTTTGAAACTCAGAGAGACATAACCCTTAAAAGGATTTCTGTGGATACTCTGACTTTGCTTTAGAGCTCCCAAGGTGCAGAGAGTGGTTTGTACAGACCATTTGCATTTATTGTGATATTGAAAAAGCTCATTTCTCTCTGCATTTCTTGCCAGATCCCGGAGGGGACAAATTGTCTTCACTTGAGTCTGGCACCAAATTTAACTTGTGACAGTACGCTACTTTGTCTATCTCAGTTTTAACAGTCAAGCTGGGCTACTTGACAGGAATTTCTCTGAGAAATCCCTCAGAAGCCGGCTGTTTTGGGTGACACATTTTAGCACACGTCTGCACAAACTTGTTATACCAGTGACAGAGAGAAAAACATGACAGGGTAGTAGTAACTTGTTTTTCTTACATGTGCACTCATTGTATGAACATTAGTTGATTGCAAGAAACTCTTTGACCGGGAACAAGTGCAGTGCTGTTGCTGAGGTATTTGCAGTAGTGGCTCACTGTCTTGCGGGTTTGGGCATGCAGGCTCTTGCAAACACACAGATACCACTGAAACGCACACTCTCCTACACCTTCAGTAGCATTCAACTGGTTAAGCTCCTGCTGGCATAGTGACTGCCTGCTCAGTCATGGTCAGATTGTAGACCAGATCATCTTTTGAAAAGGTGTATGAAGTATCAGTTGGATGTTATTTAAGCGCTACAATAAAGCTTTTGAATGTCATAAAAAGGCCTTGTTAAAGCACACGACTCTTCTTCATTCTCAAGGCAGTCTGCCTTGAGCTGGCGGCTGGCCCGTGCACTGTAAGACTCTGTTACACTTCTTTCTGGTCCTCCATATACAGCGCGGGACTGGTCCAGCAGCTCTTGTTGAAATGGATAGGCTTCATCACGGAAACTATGTTTGTCAGACATGAAAATGGGAAAGAAACATAATTTTCATAAGTAGCATTTACTTATGTATAAATCCTACAACCATATTGGGTTGCTGTTTGCTGTTTGCAACGGGAAAAGTCAGAGTTTTCCAAAATGAGGAATTGCAATTTTTGTGGTCATGAGAAAATTTTTGATGGTAATAACTAGCGTGTCGGAGGTTCCATACCAAATTTCCGGATCAATTTCAGTTAAATCTGTTCGTCCTAGTTCTTCACATAACTCTTGTTCCACCGTCAGTCAGAGGTGACATAAAAAAAAAGAGGGCTACAAACTAAAGTGTGATGCTAAAATAACTGCACTGTGGCTTCTACATGTCACATATAAATTTGCACTTGCGTAGTTGTGCACACACTTACTGATTGTGTGAAACATAGAGTCTGTGTGAGGATATGAATATTTTCAGAACATCATTGCTTGTACTCAGTTCAACCATCAATGCTGTCCTCAGTCATACTAATGAAAAAATTACAATTCCCACTATCATTCTTCCCTCACTCCTTGATTCTCTGATGCCTCATGATTTTGATCACACTTCCTCTGCATGTGTGAAGTCGTATTTAATAGATTTTAGGATTGCTGTGCTCCTCTGGTATTTTCAACATATCGCAAAGGTTAAGGGACATTTATTGGTCAACATTAACAGCATTCATCTCATTTAAAAGGCTGTTTGAGAATTGTTGCTGATTAAAGTTTGTGGTAATCACGTTTAAATTAACACTCGTGGTAAACTAACAGTTACACTCGTTTTTGTATATATCCCTGTCAGGATCTACAAACGAAGATCTACGTAGAACTTGGTGGATTTTAAGAAGAAGAAGTGATGAGGCATTTATCTGAAGGTCAGTTCCTCATTTAGCCTCCCAAGAGTTTCAGAATAAGCGCAACAGCAGCTCTGACTGTAACATCTGCTGTTTCTGCTGCACAGTTAAGTGACACACTTATTCAAAATTCTATTCGCTAAATGACTCATTCAGTGTTGAATTGCATCAGTGTATCGGACATTAGTATAGGACGTTATCATGAGGTAAATGTTCATTAATACTGTATTCAGACTTCATTTGAATAAAGTGAATAAGCCCCAAGTCTCTGAACAAAGGAAGGATGTTGTGTAATATTGTCTGGTGGTCAGGCTTTGCTTTTCACACACTCCCACCAGTATCAGAAGCGCCACCATGTGACATGTTAAATGATCACTACCTTAATGTTAATATTTTCTTTATAATGTTTGATGATGAAAGCTAAACTTATCAGAAACAAGCAGAAGAATACCTTTCTCTGCATATAGACTCCTGGCATGTTCACATAAAAGATTTGCTTTGATAGACTTTGATAGACCAGCAAAAAAATATTTTGACAAGTTACACTTAAGCGGACCTGTTATTATCACTTGTTTCCAAACAGAACATTTGTATTTTCCTGCCCCCATATGCTGTCTCAAACTTTCCAAACTTAGATTTTGCACAGAGAACCCTACACCTTGATTAACAGAGAGGAAAATATATTAATGTGATGACTAAAAATCACAACAGAATTAAAAGGCTTGGGTATTATGTTACATGGTTCATTGTAAATATGTAAATTGAAGGAACAACTGTTGAAGTAATTGACAAGAACACATAGCTAGCTTTAGCTAGTCACTCGTCAAAGATGTCAGGATTACCCACATTATGCAAATGTCCAAAAAAATGCTGCTCCCCCCTCTGCTTGACAAGGCCCAACCTTTGTCAATGGGCGATTGCCTCCACTTCTGTATTGTTCTGATTGATGTCTGTTTTTAAGCTTTAACTGGTCAAGCACTGCTTGCCTTGCTTGTCCTGATGGCGAGCCACTAATCTGAATATTGATAATGAATATTAATTACATGCTGTTTCCATTAGATGCCGTTGGCCAGTCCTCTATATTTAGTCAGTCGCTTCTCTGTAAGTTATAATAAGAAATTCCCATCTCACAACTTCCCAACTCAGATTTCCCCTAATTGTGAGGAAAAATCACATCATCATCTTATTGATAGCACTTCTCATTTGTATAAGCATTCCCTGGTCAGTGACAAGTATTGATAGCAGCTGTTAATATTGGTTACTTTCACCACGTCTGAAGTAGATTTGATGCTTATTCGACTACTACAAGTTGCTCTGGCAAGTCAAGTAAATGCTTAAAATGGAAAAGTAGAAAAAAGACAGAGCTAAGCACTCGCACGACTCACTCTTATCACCACACAGTAAGCAGCAACAGCATGCTTTTTACTGTTGCGGAGGCGCATAGTGCTGTTTCTCAACGGTTCCCCTGCGTCAGATGTGAGAAGAATGCCAAAAATACTTCGTGAGTGAAAGTCTGGTTGGTTTTGAAGTCGGCATAGGTGGTGTCTCAATTTTTTGAGACATGATATACAGAAGGTATGAGATTGGCGCACTACCTAAAGGTCCCTTGATAATAATAGCTTAATCCAGTAAAATCTATTATATGAACACTGTTTGTTGTGTTTTACATTCAGCATGTGTTTTACACAATCATAACTTTCAGATTTTATTAATTGTCAAACATTACATCTGCACTTAAGATCATGTTAATTTATGTATGTGTGCTTGGCACAAGTAGTCAACTGGCGTGTAGAGTGAGTGTAGCAGAAAATGAAACATGATATCTTTCCCACACCCCTACATACTAATTATGTATAGGATTTGTAAGAATGGGACAATTTGCCCTGGCTGCATTTGCAGTCTGTTACAAATTTCCAAAATTATATAGTTCTGAGTTAATGAGCACAGTCCAGCCTGTCAGGCTTAGAGAGACAGCACTGCCTTGAGCATCAGGGAAATGGGAATACACAATCACACAAACAAACACACTGGCACATTCTCAGGGCAGGTTTCCCCTGGGGGAAGAGACTGAACCATGGTGATACCCTCCCACAGGTACATGCGATATCCCCAAACACAAGGGGGTGGAGGTGACACACACACACACACACACACACACACACACACACACACACACACACACACACACACACACAGTAACAGTTCTTTTGATCAATGGTCAAGTAAGGACCACTTTAGGTGAACCAGTGAATTAATAGACCACAGTGAGGCATAAACACGCAGGGGCACTTGTTCCATGTCATGTGATGACATTAGCTATGGATGATGTCATTGTGGACATACCTCCTCGCTCTGACATGTGACTCTGGTATCCGTGACCGCAGTGAGTGAGTCGGCAAGTTGACCCTGCCACATCTGTGGTTTGGAATCATTGTATTGTCTCTCTTGAGGTTTCCTCTTTTTTTTCTTTACATGTCAAGGGTTGTTCTTAAGCTTTTCCTTGTCTTCTCATCAAGCTTAAACTTGACTTGATTAGACTTGACTTGATTTTTCATTTCTTGTCATTCCATCCATGGTTATAGAAACACAACTGAAGCACGACATACTGTGTGTAATTCATTCAAGATCCATTTGTTACATTTGATAGTTAAATTTCACATTAGCTGTGGTATGTATGTATGTATGTGGACATACACGTACAGATACATGAGAGTGCGCAGGTGGTTAATGATTAGATGTTTATTAAGCAAACATGCCCTTATGGTGCTGCTGCTTGCTGGCATACTTTCATTTCTAGACACAGCTGAGGAATTGACATGGATTCAATAAAAAATAACGGAGCTCATTCTTAAGAAATTTTTTTGTTGGTGGTATCAGCAGTCTGTCAGAACAGACTTGCTGCTTACGACTAGTAAAACTATCCCGTTATCCATAACCTCCCTGTCATTGAGCAGATCACAGTGAACCAAATTAAATGTCTACTGTAAAAATATCTTGCCTAGAGTGGTGCTGCTTGAACACTTTTTTATTGTTTCAATAAAGAAAATTAACTATATACACTCTGAAGACTTTACCACTCCTTTCCCTGGTCCCTAGAGTACTGCTTCCTATTGCCACTCATATTCATTAATAAATAAATAAATCTCCAATCATAGACTAGGTAAAAACAAATTGTGAAAAATATGGTAAGTTGCTGGCCGGATCTAATAACAAATTCTAAACATGTTGAGGATCTGGACCCTGGGTCTAGTTTGAGACCCATGATTTATATCATGACCCTTGCAACTGTGATATACCTGGGGGAAAAAAATGTGTAGGTTGCCAATATGGTATAATTTTTACTTATAACTTAAAGGTCAAGTTGAGTTGAGTATCAATATATTTACATCTGTAGGTAAAATGTTAAAACGTTTCACTGTCCCTGGTTAGAGCCTCACATACTGTAGGTCCCATTCCTCTGTTCTCTTCCCTCTGACGAACATAATCCGCAGTCCATCCCCATTAGTTTTCCTGTGTAGTTCCTAACATCTGCCTGTCTGCACTGATAGACTGTGGTCGGCAGCAGTCTCTCTGCCACTTGAGCGCTCTGTCCATTAGCCAAATTCCTAGCTATTTCATTATCTAAGTGGATGAGTTCCAGCCCCTACCCACTACACCACTAAACCACAGGTTAGATTGCCAGTAGCCTCCTCTCTTGTCTCAAGAGGACTGAATCAGGCTTTATGCCTAAACATGAAATATTTAATATTGAAAATATATGAAATATTTAACACAACTAATTGAAAACACGGTTAGCAGAAGTGAAAGTTACATCCCTTTTCCCATAAAGGTACTATACAAATGCTGTTTTGGGGGGCGAGGGCAAAGTAAGTGACACAGCCTATATGTAAAGCCCTGTCTAACCGTGTGTTGGCTCTGTAGTGGAAACTAGGCTATTGACTGAGGTGGTGTCAGATTTCTCTGCTGCTGCCATTCCTGCTGCAGACACCCAGGGTCTCGCATTGATTTTTCTAAAACCACAACTCCAGGACAACTTCAAGGCTTTCAAGACCGTAACGACATAATGGATGTGTTGGCCAAGGCTTGTGACATTATAGGTTTGTGTCTACAATGCCTTAGATTTTTCTGGAAATACTGTAATGCTACGAGACGTTCTGAGCTCCAGGAATAGACTGGCTGGTTGCTCCGCTGGTGACTGTGATTGGTAAAGACTGGCAGACAGAGATAATTAAGTTTTGCAATATTATTCCGTCCCTGAATGGACAAAGAGACAGGTAATGAGTTGTTATATCAACTCATCTAAGAAGACTCCGGATGTGTTCTATGTGTTATCTGTGTGGTCCAAAGTATGTGCACAGACTCAGTAACTTGATGCATTGTCAGTAAACACAGACTATAAGACACAGTGATATTGATTGAAGTCATCCCACCGGTACTGAGTATTTTTTAAATAGCTGGGTGTACAGTGTGTTTTAGACATGATCTCATTCAGAAACAACTTATATCGAATACAGATGCAGAACAAGCTTCAGTTGCTAGATCACCATTGTTAGATGTGTTCAACAAAAAGAGGTGCAAGGCTGTTTTCAATTCAAGCAGAGGAAAAGGATATGGATTACTAACCATCTTGAGGATACATGATTATTGGAGAGCACTATTGACCCCTGTCATGTGATGTCTTCGGGTGTCACTCCCAACAGCTTAACAGCTGGTGTATCAGTTGCTTTTTCATTAGTGTTTCAAGTGTTTACATTAGGTTCTGCAGTATCGATGTCTGATTTTTTGTTGTCTAACTGGTTCCCTTGAATTATTTTAAAGCCTCTGGTTGGGCTGGGTGGCACTGTGTGATGTTATACGTATATTAGAGCTGCACAATCTCTTTTAATATCTCTCTCTGGGCAATTCTGTAGTGTTTAGGAATGCGTTTGGTATCATAAATATATGATTTTGTTATGATGTGATGATGCACGTTCATTTGTCAGGTGCTTCATTTGTTGGATTAGCCAAAGGCATACATGTCCATGTGGTTATTTTGTCGATGAATGGTTTACTGAATAAACTTCCTGAAAATATGCTGCATCCCTATAAACAATATAAAATTACAGATGCCATACACATATGTATTATCCAGGCCTCTGGGTTAGAAACCTGTATGTTTCTCAGGCAAATGTATCTTTATGTATCTTTTATGAGTTTTGTGCTGTTTTTACCGCTTATATTATTACCGCTTATATTATTTGCATATATATATATTCACAGTGCATAACACAGGAAGCAACACCAGCTTCCTTTCCTTCCACCTCTTCCTTAATACAGTAATTACGTTAGTTTGAATCAATTACCTAAGCACTGTGTAGCAAGACAAGTTTGCATCCCTTACTATAACACCATCTCTCATCTGCTGGAAGTGAATGCAGAGCCTTTTAAGGGTCACTTAAGATATTGCCAATCAAGGTAATCAAAAAGCAAGGGAAGTTGGCAGTGATTTTTGTTTTAGCAGATTGAACTGGAAGAGAGCCAGCTCCTGACTTTGTTTGGATAGACTGTAGTCGTTTCCTTTTTGAGAGATTGTTGAGGGTATAAAGGAAAGGGGTAGGTCCCCACAAGAGACTAGACACAACACATTTAAGTTCCTGAAAGTGATTTTTTTTTTTTTTTTTTTCTGCTGTTGTTTTAGCTCTTGTGAGATAAGAATTGAGCTTGGTTAAATATTTTTACTCTGCCTCAGTGATCTAGTCCATTTTTGGCATAACATTAGTTATATAATATCAACATGCATTCACTAGTAAAAATAGGCTACATGTTCTAGCAGTGCTAGCAAGATTTTAGTTTTACAGAAATATTTAATATAATCCGCTATCATTATAGACTTTAGTCACAGTTTTTGTTTGGTGTTACAAATTTTGCCTTGAGTTTGAAAAAAAGGGTGTTTATGGATATATTTTGTCATATTTTTGTTGAATTGACAGCAATCCTGTTTAGTAATCTTACGTAACAGGATAGGCTGTTACCTCACTGCCAAATATTGAGTTTGTACCTTATTTATGCATTTTGAGTATTAACTTCTGCATATCTTCTAACTAAGCACACACTGTTGTAGTGCTGGTGCTAATTTTATCTTGTAGCTCACCCATTTTAGACAGAGTATTTTCATTTCACACATAAATCCCCCAAAACTTGGTTTAGTGGTAAAAGAGCAGCTGTAATGGCCATAAAATCTGTGGTACTGATGAATGCATGTGGTGTGAAAATTGGTGTAACTGCTTAAAAGTAGCTAGAATTAGAAAGGGCATGTAAAATCAATTTAACATCATCTAGTTAAAAGAGGTCTCTTTCTCTTTACTAAAGTATGATAATTGTGTAAAACAGTCTTATGTGACATAAATGTTCGAGTTATGCTTATACTTTTCTGATCTCCAGCACTCTGACAGGATGGCATCACAGGAGGGGAAGGAGCCCCCTCCAAACAGAGGTCAATCAGATAGCCGTCTAAAGAGTAAGAAGCCGCCCAGCCTTGTAATAGCCATCCCTCCACCAGAGGTGATGTCCCACGACCCTGCGAAACAGGTAAGCTGATCATTTGGACCTGACCCTGTCCTTCAGTGCCTGGCCTCTTCGAACAGATGTTCATTTAGAAGATGTGTTATCACAATAACTCACCACACCCTCTTTTAATGCTGGTGTTAAGTGCTTTCTCATTCATGTTGAGTTAATTTAAGTTTTAAAAAGTACCCAAAGGCTGCGGTCTCTATTATACTATATAATATTTATTGTCAGAAATCATTAATTGACAACAAAAATAATTTTTCATTTACATTGATTTCCTTAAAGAGCAGGGAAATAGCTTGACACTAACCATAAATGCAGCAGTTCACTGTTTTTCTAATGCAAGGACATCAACCATTTGTTCAAAGAGTAATTTTGGAAAGAATTAAGGAAATATCCATTAAGAGCAAGCAAAGCAATAAAAAAATCCAAAACACCTGCATACCTCTCCCTTCCCCTGAGACCCTCCCCAATCTGTGGGGGAGTCAAACATTCATTATCACAGTGTACACGCACGCTCACACACTCACACACTCACACACACATAGAGGTTTAAAAAAACATGGTCCTAATTAACTCGAGATAGGCTTGATATTGTGATTAAGAACCCGCAGAGGATTGAATTAGGATAAAAATATGCTTAGCAGTCATTACAGGAACTTTGATATTGCCTACATTCTTATATCAGTTCACTTTAGGTCACTTTATGGATTGATAGACTGATACTTTGGAAGGATGAGTCATGCCTACTAATCATTTGACTTACCATATACAGGGGAAGAGAAAAAAAAGATTTCAGGCAGTACTTTATTTTTAAAAGTTCAAAAGGGTTTAAACCAGGTTAATGTGTTGGCATAGTATTCCTCTGTGCCTCTGAATTTGCCATTTGCTCGAGCAGGGAGGCATTTTGGACAGCTGTCTTGCAGTTTATGGGCACAAGGCCATACATTTTCCCCCTGTGGGCCCCATGCTCAGAACACAAACGATGGCATTTCAGCTACACAAAGTAGTAGGTAGACAGAGTTTAATTGAGCATGTTACAGTTAAACTGTTGCTATAGAGCAACTAGTGTAATAAATATGCAAATGTATGAACTTGGACATGTGCTGTAGCTTAGTTGTTACAAGACGGAAGAGAAGCAGAAAGAGGCCCCACACTTACTCCACAGACTACAGTATTTCCATTACTAATATCAAATTAAATCTTCACTATAGATGGCGGAATATCTCTCTGTATTTAGATTCTCTTGACAACGGCTCGTATGATCGACTTCAAACTTTGTGGGTGTATTGCTGAGGACTCAAGGAAATGCTGTGTCGACTGTGAAGTTTTTTGGATGAGCAGTTCTTGAGAAAGCTTCAAACATAACTTTTCTACATATTACTTGAGGTGAAGAAAAAAGGTGAAACTACACTAGGGCAGTGCAGCACCCGGACAATTTACAGCGTGCACATGTCAGGGTTTTAAGAAAGGTGGACACTCAACTGCGGCAGCACTTTCTACACCTTCACACAGACAATCTCAGAGTGGAGAGGAGCTGCCAACTCCAGCAGTGACAAGCAGGACCGACTGACCACACACACTGTAGGGTGTTTTGCTCTGGAAGTGCACTGTCAAGTGTGACGCCGTTTGGATGATGTTTGCTGGATAAATGCAGGCAAAGCAATCAGCCCCGACATGTACATTTTGAACAGACACTGCACTACTCATGTTAAATTTAGAAATGCTTTGCTAGATGCACTGATCACTGCATACAGTATGTTCAAGAACTACTATTGTGCAAAAAGTCATTAATTGTCACCAACTGCAGAGTCACTACAGATTAAGATAATCAGACTCAGAGGAATCACTGCTCATTTAACAGAAGAACACTAAATAGCATTGGAGGAGTTTAAGAGAACAGGGAGACAAATTGTTTCAAGTGTTTTTTACTTGCCCTTTCAGTTATACCCAGCCACACAAAATATTGACTGAACACAATTGTGTATGCATTAAATGTGCACATAATCCAAGTCAGATCGGATTGCAGTCAGTGCAATAATTGCCTAATTATTTTCTTAACACCTTTATAAATTGATAGTAGTTTCATTTGGGATGTTCCTGAGGGTCCTGCAATAATTATATTTTATTCTCCTAATTAACCTGCAGCCTTTCATAATTATCCAGGTCTGTGTGTAATCTATGTCTCCTCTGCCTTGCTGCTGCTTTATTTAGGTTATTGTAATATTCCACTGATTAAACACTGATTAAATAACTCAGTTATCAACTGTGTAGGCACTATTTCTGTTTATTTTATTGTAACAACAATTAGCCTGCTACACTGAATCATTACTTCTCCTTTCTCCTTGTCAGCCGTTGCGACCATCTCTGAAAAAAAGTGAGAGTGGTCAAGCAACCGGTTCTGTGTCGGAGAGCGTGAGCGGAGCCGGCGATGGAGGCTTCTTATCCAGAGACAGAAGGCCAAAGTTGGGTAGACAAACCTCACTCTCTCAGAGTATTCGCAGGTAAAATGGAAAGTATATTATTTGAATATGTATTATTATTTATGTTCATGTTGCTCATAATTCAGGTTGCTTATGAGAGTCAAGTCTGACAGTTTTTAATTAGAGACCCACGGGATAAACAAATAGTCAGTGAGGTCGTGAACCCAAGAAAAAAACAACCAGCAAAGCACTGTAGTTATTATACAAGAAATGCAAGTATTCGTCACTGCTGGTCATTCACCCTAAGGGGTCACAAAGTACAGATACTATTCCCCACAACTCATTCACCAAAAAAATTATTCTCTAGGATCCTTTCAATTAATAGACAGTCAGTAATGCATCCATTATTTTCAGTAGCAGCAACATATCCCATGAATCTGATGGTTGAGCATAGAGATAAAAATTGCAGTAGGTATAATTTCTGATGTACAGTATTTACATGCGTTTCTGCTCCCAACAGATTCTGTAAAACGTCTTCAGTTGATTTTGTTTTGTTTGTTGTTTGTGTCTTTATGTGCTCATGAACACATGCTATTTAAAAGTGTGGCATCTTGTTTTGGCCCGTTTGACATCTTTTGTGTTCAGCTCATTGCCCATTGCACAATTTCTCACATTGTTGGGATGTTACTAGAAAAGGTGTTGCACACATTATTCAAATGCCCTCTTCCTGTGTTACCTTAGCATCATCTGCCCTTGCTGTTTGACCATTTATTATGTGATTCTGAGGCCACCCTCTTCTTTCGGTACTTCCAGGAATACAGCCCAGTGGTTTGGCGTGGGGGACGACTGTGAGACCAAGCAGCAGGTATGGCAGAGGAAGAGCCTGCGTCACTGCAGCCAGCGCTATGGCAAGCTGAAGGCCCAGTATAGAGAGCCGGACACAGCCACCAGTATCGACCAGGGCCCGGACTCACCAGCCACACACAAGATGCCCAAGGTACTGTCAGCAGAGGCACACGGTTCCAACTACACATTATAATCCACCCAATAATTCACATCCTGATTGAGGTTTTATCCTATTACGTGATTAGACTAAAATGTCCTACCCTTGAAATAAGTTACACAGACAGCAAAAAGAAACAAGATGAGGTACACCAGTCTCACCAGTTATGAGGTCTGTCCACTAAGAATTCCCATTTCCAGCCAATTTCACAACCAGCCAACAAGTAATAACTCTTTTTTTTGAATGTTATGACACTAAGAGACATCTCTGGGAGGATGGGAACAAAAAGAAATGGTTAGAAGAGGAGACTGAGGAGAGTGGGAAAATGTGTCTGGCTTCAATAAAACTTTAATGTTGTAGGGTCCCAGATAGTACTCCTCTCTGTCCAGGTCAGACAGCTCTACTCATCATCCAGTATTTAGTTTTTCATCTTTTGCTTAACTTCACTCACTTTTTCGATCCCGCAGTGATGAAAATTTCCAGCTAGCAGCATTGTTTTTTACCTCTTACTATACACACATACTATACTGTACACTGCACACTGACACAGGTAGCAAATTTCTCAGTACTGTTAACTCAGCATAGCGTAAAGGTGATCTAGCATTTATTTGTGATTTACTTTCTCTCTCCTATTGTCTGCTCATTACCTGCGACTTGTGGCCAAGTTCATGTTACTGCCGGGGTGCACATCAAACATTTATGTCATGTTAAGTCTAATTTCTTTTTTTTTTTTTTTTGGTAGATTGTGGATCCGCTGGCACGGGGAAGAGCCTTCCGTTGCCCAGATGAGGTGGACAGTCGCTCCCCCAGGACACCCCACGCCACTCAGGGAGTTCCTGTCACACCGGGGATTACCTCACTGAGCTCTTTCACTAGCCAGCGCTCCGGGTACAGTCGCTTCCCCAGACGCAAGAGGGAGTCCGTCGCCCGCATGAGCATTCGAGCTGCGTCCAACCTGCTGAGGGTGTGTATGGTTACCAGAATGCCTGTATATCTGTGTGTGTTAGGATCCATGCCAGATCAGGTCAGAGAATCATCGAGGGCACTGACTCATGTTGCTCTTGAGCATTTGGTGGGTGTTGTCAGTTTTTCTTTCTGCACCGCAACCAGCAGCTGCTAATTCTATTTAATACAGTAAAAACAGATACCAGATATCCGTGGAGACTCAGTGGATTGGGATGGGAATCAAATTTAGAAAACTTGAGCATACTGATTGTGAATAACCTCAGATTCCATAGTCTAAATTATACAGTGTTTAGACTCCATGGAGATCTGTCATATTCTTTTATTACCATAATAGACAGAATTAGGCAGACTTTTCCTTAGTGTAACTTGTTCACACCTTTAGTCAGTTTAGAAACAACCTCAGGAAATTGTATATCATACTATAGTATATTAAAACAAACTATTATAGACTAAAATATTTAAGAGCTGGAGGCTTTCCAGTGTTATGGCAAGTTAAGGAAATGTCATGGAATCAGACCGTTGGTTTCCCCTGCGTTTGTGTGCATTTCTAGTTGTCCATTGCTCAATCTTATTTCTAAGTAGAGCTGAACTACTTTCAGAAAATACTACTACTTTCAGATTGTGTATGAGTGAAATCACTTATTGTGTGTGTTTTCCAGGGTCGTAGTGGCTTGGCAGGCTCCCAGACAGGTCGCAGTTTCCCCAGGAGGAGCTTTGCCAGGCCCAGCTGGTTGGATGAGGACACGGTGGACTCTGCAGACACGTCTGAGTCGCTCTTCTTCAGTAAGGTCAGCAACCACTCTGTTAATGTTCCAGTTAAACCCTTGATAGCAGTTTCTATCTTTACTTCAACTTTAGTTGGAATTTTTTTTTCCATCTTAACTTCCTTCCCCTTTTTGAGTATGTCATCAGTAACGCTCCTCACCACTTGATTCCACTTTCACTGCTTATCTGCGACTTTTATCAGCCTCCTTTCTTCAGCAGCTACTTTCTTTCTTTGTTATCTTTCTTACCTTTCTTCCTTGTCTTTGAACATTTACAGCATGTTGAACAGCAGCTGTGTTATCTATACTTTGGTAAATATGTACCTTCACCTCAGTCAGCAAGGACCATAACCTTTTCTCACGTCTTCCCATAAAATTCTTCCGGTTTCATAGATGTAAAAATGTTCTTCAGTCTTCCCCTACTCTCTTTATGCTCATCTTTACTGCTAGGTATTATTGTTTAATCTAATCAGTTGCTGCTTAAAAGACTGTAAAATCTGTATAGTAAAGGCTGCAAACTGCAAGTGAGAGGTTAAGCATGCATATCTAGAGAGTAATTTAAAAATAGGAATGTTTTGAGAGATATTACTTGGAAGATGTGCATTATCTCAGGTGTCCATTATATCTCCCTCCCTGACATCTGCTACAACAGAAGAAGAAAGAAACAGGGGCCCTCTCATTAATTAATGCTCTCCTCTTTTTTTCTTCTCGCACTCCCTCTTCCTCTGTGACCTCTGCTGCGTAGGTCGATGCCCATGATGAACTCTACTCTATGGCTGATGATGTGTTTGAATCTCCTCCCATGTCGGCAGCTTTTGCTCCCTGCGAACAGCCTGACCAGAAGTTCCCAAGCCTGTGAGTAAATTAATGCACAACCAAAAACAATGCCTCTTAAGAATGATGCTGAACTGTGTCTCTGAGTCACTGAGGCTCCCACAGTTCTCAGACCTTTAAGCAAGCCTTATTATGCCGACTCTAAAGGTCATTAAAGGTGAAAGGTCACTGAAACCCGTGAATATAAACTGTAACAAAAGCAGGATTGGCATACTTTTTTACTTTTACTCTTTTTCTGCATTTTCTTGAGCTGTTCATTGCTTTTCATATACATGCATTTAATTTGTGCACCTTTCTTCTTTTCGTTAGTCTGTCTAACCACTGTCCACTACTCTTGCCACACCCTCTTATTTTTCATTTCTCTTCCTACCTACCTTTCTTCCTCCTAACTCCAGTAAGGACGTATCTCGGATGCCCAAGACACCAACAGTAGTGCCTGAAAAGATTCATCCTCGTCGGGGGCGTCGCATCGCCTCCCAAGTTAAGCATTTTGCATTTGACAGACATAAGCGTCAGTACGGCATGGGCGTTGTGGGGAAGTGGCTGAACCGGCACTACCGACGCAGCCTCAGCAGCAACGTCCAGAAGCAGCTGGACGACTTCCACAGCCACAGGTAGGGAATGAGTAGATACTGATGTGCACCGACATAGTACTAGATAATTCATGAACTTGAAATAATGGACTTGTGGCTCTCAGTCAGACAGTGAAAACAAACCAGCAAAGTCATCTGCTTCACCATTTCATTTTATTTTATAGGCAGTTTGAACAGTAAAAAGTGACATAAAACCTCTGGACAGAAACCTAGAGGGGTTATATACAAGCTACAGTAATTTTGAGAGCAGTAAGAAGAGTTTTAGACAGAATTTCAGTTTCTCCACTTTAATGTGATGTTTGAGTCCATGACTGACAGTTGGCTGATTTGCAGTGAATTTTGTTTGGTTTGGTTTTTAGGCCCTACTTTACCTACTGGATCACATTTGTCCATATAGTGATCACACTGCTGGCCTGCTGTACATATGGTTTTGCCCCTGTGGGGTTTGCACAACATTCTACATCTGAACTGGTAAGTGAAGCTCTGAGCTATAAGTCTCAGAAAAATCTCTCCTCATCATGAACTAAACAGGTGTACTATGAAGTACTGATAAGAATTGGACTTTTTTTAATAATAAAAATAGGAGGTCAAAACACTGCTCTCTCTAGTGTCAAAATTGCTGCTTCTGCTTTTTGTGAAAATGAGCATTATAACTACAAAGTAATGTTATTTTGATGTCCTTTTGTTTCCTCAGGCAATACATGGTTGAGAGCATTAAATATTAAAAACGGTTAAATTATGTTGCTTTTTGTGCAAACAAACACAGAGCAAAGGATGAGTTTAAATGATGAAATGTATTTATTTTATGAATTATTTTTCACTCAGAAATCATTAATTAACATTGAAATCATTCAATGTTATGGTACTTTTGTCACATTATGTACATTTAGCAGTTACAATGCCAATTGTGACTCTGTCGCCCTCTGTAGGTGCTGAAGAACAAGGGGATTTATGAGAGTGTCAAGTATATCCAACAGGAGAACTTCTGGATTGGTCCAAGCTCTGTGAGTCTCTTGCTGGTCTCAGTTTAGCTGTTACCAGTGTATGTTTTTAACTACCCATGTAGATGGACACACATAGGATGTTTGTCTTGATGTATAAAGCCTGGTGAACAGCTCGCTAAAATGACCTGCTGTGATCATAGTCCAAAACACTGTCACAGATAAATTAAGTTTCCTCACATCAGTGGTTGATACTGTTTGTTTTGTTGGGTGAAGGGTTACACCCATTCTCAGTTTATCACCTATTGCATTTCCTGTCACATTTAGTTGGTTACTTCCCTAAAAAAATAACTATTGTTTTTGTTCTCTGCATTTAACATTTAAGGTTTATCTTCAGTGTCAGTGTCAGTGTCAGTGTCAGTATTTTACAACTAACCCAGAGGTTTCTGTATTTTCTGGAACATAAAAGAACAGTGATGCTGCATGAACACATACTGTATTTAGAACTTGTTAATTAAGTCAGAACTTAATCTCCAGAAATTATGCATGTAAAGAATATATTTGAGTTTTCTCTTGCTTTAGCTTGTGTATCTTAACAATATTTTCCTACCTTTTTATAGGAGGACTTGATTCACCTGGGGGCCAAGTTCTCACCATGCATCCGTCAGGACATACAGATAGTGAGTCTGATCCAGAAGGCCAAAGATCTGGAGAAAGAGTCTGGCTGCTGCGTCCAGAATGACAACTCTGGATGTGTGCAGACCCTCAGCTCCGACTGCTCCGTATGTTCTTTCATGTTTACTACATTAGTTTATCAGTGTAAAAAAAAAAACAACAACTTTTCTCTGGTTTTAGCAAGAACTTGAGCAAATTAACATTTAGTGAATATGCACATGCAATTGCAACTGGTAATGTCAAAAATGCTTATGTTTCACACACCTATAGCCACAGAGTAAAAACGGCATACACTCTTAAACACTTGTCTGAGACATGATTTTATAATGTGTAAGTATATTATCACCTGTACAGTCATGCTAATTACTCGCAACATGCATTCTTTAAGTACATCCTCACAGTTTTTACCATACATCACATTTGCCCTGCTCATAGATACACAGACCGGAATCAGTGAAAACTGCTATACTATACTAACTATAAATGTAGCAAGATTTAAATGTAACTCCTCACTTTTCTCAGAACAAAGATATTTTTAAATTGCTTGTTAGAAAATGCAGTGATATCTTGTCAAGTAACATTTCTTAAAATAATTTGTTTACCTCTGTATATTTATTGGTAATGTACAAAATGTTGCATCCTGAATGTTTACTGTTCTGTTTGTTATTCAATTCCCATGTGATCCTATGAAATAAATACTAAAATTGAATACTGAAATAATTGTGCAAACAGGAGACGCTGGCCACATTTATTAAATGGAACAATGAGCATGTGGATATCAGCAGGTCCTCTGGTTCTGTCTGTCACCAGGATCCCAGGTGAGAATTTGTACAGTATGTGATTACTGTGCCACACGACATGTAGAACGCTTCTTAAAAAAAAAACAATAAGAATCAAGTAAATCTTTTCAAATCATCCTGTGTCCTCCTGTGTTGCATGTTGTGACCAGAGTGTGTGAAGAGCCTGCCTCTGCAGAGCCCCATACATGGCCAGATGACATCACCCAGTGGCCGGTGAGGGGAGACTGCTGCTAATTTGGAAATCCATTTTCTACATTTGCTTCCACTTCTGCATTTATTCCCTTCAAAATATAATATATTTTTTAGACATAAGAGATAAGATAGAGGCAAGTATTATTGTATGTCTGTGTTATTGCTCATTACTTGCCTTTCTCCAGGTGTGTACATATCCCAAGAAGTGGAACCAGACAGGTTACAGACACATGGACTGTAAAATCAAGGGACGGCCATGCTGCATAGGAACCAAGGGCAGGTGAGACACATTTTTGCTGTGTGTTGTTAACTGGATTCAAGGCCAGCAGATGTCACCTTTATCTACCCATTTACTATAATTCTGAGGTCATCTGGAGAAAATTATAATTTTGTTTTATTTGTCCTCCTGTAGATGTGAGATCGCCACCAGAGAGTATTGCACTTTCATGCATGGTTACTTTCATGAAGATGCCACACTCTGCTCACAGGTAGCGTGTGTACATGTATTTTGTGCATGTGTGTGTTGGTGTGTTAGTATATTTCTGACCTCATGCATTACTCCTGCGCAGGTCCACTGTCTGGATGACGTGTGCGGGTTGCTGCCCTTCCTTAACCCTGATGTTCCAGATCAGTTCTACCGTCTCTGGCTCTCTCTCTTCCTCCATGCTGGGTATGCACCGCACCCCTCACAAACATCCTTAGACAAAGACTGAATTTCCAAGTACATATTTTGGAACAACTTTAGATGAGGCTCTTAATGTAATTAATTTATTTATGTATTTATTTCCTTGTTTTTTTTGTTTTTGCTTCCTGTCACAGTGAAACTCTCATATTGCCATTGGCCATGAAAGAGCTGTTTCAGCTGAGTCAGCCAATCAAGTATAGATGTAGCCACTACGGATGTAATGCTTCATAACTTCTAAATAGCACTGGTTTAATATGCAGTGTTTAAACTATTATGCTGAGTCAATGAGCTGTTTAAATTATTTGAAAGATTGCAAAGTGAGCTTTCGCCATGTCAGCATCCTTCAGGATCCAAACATAATGAAATATTTCTAAATGAGGCCCCAATGCTCGTGAGCTGTTCACTCACATGAGAGCTGTAATACTTAGTGCTAATACTAGGCACATGGAAAATCCCTCAGGCATACTCTTAAAACAAGCAAACAAACAGGCCCAGAGAGCTTAATGAAAAACTGCAAATATGCACAAACATTTATATTTGATATAATGCACTGACTGAAATACCAGTAGACTGCACAGATATGTCATTTTTAGACGTGTGTGTGTGTGTGTGTGTGTGTGTGTGCGTGCAGGCTTTTACACTGCGTGGTGTCAGTGGTGTTCCAGATGACCATTCTGAGAGACCTTGAGAAGCTGGCAGGTTGGGTCCGCATCTCCATCATTTATATCCTCAGTGGAATCACTGGAAACCTCGCCTCTGCCCTGTTTCTGCCCTACAGAGCTGAGGTAAGCCCTTCACATAAATAGATTCACACGTGGACATGCACGCCATCAAAAGGAAAGACCTTATACAGGCTTTTTTTTCTTTTTGCAAAAGCAATTACAAAGTTGTTGGCCACATGATCTAGAAAGTGGAGCAGCATGAATGTACTGTTAGTAAAACGACATTAGCCAAAGGATCTAAAAAGATCAGTGGGAGAGTCCAGACAGCCCTCTCCTCTGTGAAGACCATTCTTAAAGGGGCCAAGCAGTGTCCCAAAACACAATGCGTAGAGCCCTGAATTTGATCAAATGGCACTAACATTTCAGCATTTTTCATCTCTGTAAATATGTCCTCTATTTATGTGATGGCAAAAATATCTAGCCTCACATACTAAGACTTTTAACACAATAGAAAATATTATCTTATATTATTAGTAGTTATTAGTAGTTTTTTATTATAGAATTTATATATATATATTTTAAAAATTAGATCAGAGAAAAAAATGTCTTATTGTTTTAACCTTAAAAGGTTAAAAGCAACAGCTTTTCTTATAGATGAGTTTATAGTTTTTCTGTAAATTGCCAGCATGATTGTGTTACAGTAACCTTTGTCAGGATTGTCACTCACACTTTCACACTTTCACACAGTCAAATACACGCATGTCATGCTGATCTGTGAGCTGGTCACATGTCTGGGGTATTAAGCTGTGTGAGAGAGAGATGCAAGATTTGGTCTCCAAAATCTTTTAAAATTCCTTGAATGAATTAAGGACCCGAAGCTGCCTCCCTCACCAAATTGTCAGGTTGTTGTTCTTGATGCACTGTTCTCTTTCCTTCTTCTCAACCACCACTGTAACTTTAATTTGTTTATCTGCTTTTTCATTCAGTGGCTTAGCTCAGCTTAGCTTAGAGAGGTATAGAGGGGCACAGGGAACACCTCATGGCATTAACTGTGCAACTGAGTGGAGAAACTGAGCTCAAGCTGACAACAGATTATGAGACCACTTTACTATAGCTGAGTCATTCCTGTGAAGAGAGCAGTGCCATCCAACTTAGCATTAATGCACTGCTCATCAAACGGTGTTGGTTTTGAGTCTCAACATAAGACACAAAAGACACAGAAGACATCGACAAAAAACTATGGTCTGACTGAAAAGTATGGCCTTAAAGTTGCTCTGTTAGTAGCAACTCCTTTGAAATAAACAGTGGAACTGACTAATGGGATCATTGATATCCACCATTAAAAAAGACAGAGTCAACGATTGACACCTGTAGCATCTCACACAGCTGAGAATCAAAGAATAAATGTATCATAGTACCAACAACTGTGCTGTTGGTATATTAGCACATTAAATGAGAGCTATATGTACCTTTGATCATTTGTATGTATTAAGAAAGTATCTTAAGTTTAACATGAGTAATAGGACACTTATTATCTTTGGGGACTGGAGTTATTTGTTAGTGCTAAAAAATCTTAATTTTTCAACCATAATTTGGGTCAAACAAATGAAAACTGCATATTTATGTTAACTGGTAACACTCTTTTTCATTTTAAAATATCCGTTTTATTGTAGAAGTGAGTTAATTTGTCATTTTGGAATGATAGACTAATTCATGGTGACACACTCTCATGCTCACACCTACAGGATATGTTTTATTTGCGCATTGTTACCATGGTTAATCCACTCCGTAATGTCCTGTCCTGAGCTGATGGAAAGTTGAAGCAATCCTCTTGGTATACAAGATTGTGTTTGGTGTGTGTGTGTGTGTGTGTGTGTGTGTGTGTGTGTGTGTGTGTGTGTGTGTGTGTGTGTGTGTGTGTGTGTTGTATTGATGTGTCCAGTTTTTATGACATACTGTACACACTGGTAGAAAATAGAAGTATACACCAATAGAGCCAATGTTATTTAAAGCATGGAAATATTTATTAGCCATAATTTCTGTAAGAACCATGAGCTTGAAACTGCAACAATGCCTCTGTCCTTTTTTTGAATAACTAATTCATAGTGTAATCTTTGCAAAAAAAACAACCTGTTGATCTGTACAAATAACTCAGTCTGTGAAAAGATCCCAGTCTGGATTACCTACTTTTTACAGGCATGTTTGTTTTTCTCATTGTGTCTGTAAAGCCCAATTTCCCCTTTAAGAGATTAGCATAATGCCATTGTGCAGGTTAGCAAAGGCCTCTGCTACAGTACTTAGTGGATGGGATTATATTTTTTCTTTTAAACAAAGACAATTGTTGCAAAGCTCAGACTTGTCTGATGGTGCCTCCAGTCTAAACAGCTTTAGGAACACAAAAGTTTCATCCTGGCACACCTTTGAAAGAGTAACTCTTTCATATAATGGACAATATTGATAGATGAGTAAAAATGCTTAAGTGGATGATTGATATTACATCACCTAAAGCTTTTTAAATAAGTAATTTATGTATATAAAAAATAATTTACGGTGTTATGTTTGGCTTCTGTATTCATGTCTTGATGTCATCGAGACATCTGTCATCTTCTTCATGAGCTGACCTTAATTGCTCTCATCTGATATTTGCGTGGTGTGACATGAGGTGGTTTTCAGTATGACGTACCTTGACGTGTGAGCCAGAAATCCCACTTCCCAGCTCTCCTTAACACTGACCGGCTCGCAGGTCTTCACACACCAGGAATAACCAGAGGAAGCACATGCAAGGCACAACACAGGGCAGTCAAGCCACTTAAACAGGCGGTTTAAGTAGATTATCCTTTAACTGTTGAATTAAGGAGACCCTGTGGTTTGAGCCTAAATGACTCAAACAACGGCTGTGACTGGAATAATAATTCACACAAGTAAAGCAGATATAAATAATTGTAAAAGTACAAGAAGTCAAGTTTACAGGTTACAGAAAGTTAAAGTCAGTTTCATCAGCTCTTAAATCTCAGTATTTGATTAAATGCTATCCGATGAAATTAATCAAATGTCTCTTGGTTGTAATCAAGGTCAGAGACTTTGTTCCACTTGACATTTTGATGCCAGAATGCATTAATAAAATCCAGACCATAGTACGTGCATGTGAACCGTGAAAGGGTTTTAAAAGGATGCAATGGAGAAAGTATTACACACATTTGAATATGTACACAGCCCCAAGACTTTAAATGCTGAGAGTTGTTTTTGAAGATCAGATCCTTAAGATTGTACTTTAATGATGGTGGTCACCAGGAAGTGTAAACTGAGATTATACATGTCACTTCCCAATGGAATTAGGATGAGGCCATCAGTCTGTCTGGGAATGCACTGGTTGGGAACATGTGAGCTGACAAGAGGCTCTGCTGATGACTTTGGTTCTCCCCAGTGTCAGGGATAAACATTCACTGAAGTAAAAGTAGCAGCGCTATAAGGGAAAACTAAACCAACGCTCCAATTAATTAATGACCATCAGTAAATCTTTACAAATGGGCTAGGTTAGCAGAAGTGTCCTGCCCCTTCCTTCTGTTTTAATATTTTCCACTCAGCCAATGGTGAGTGACGATAAGCGTGTAAGGAACGTGTCGGCCTGTGCGTCTGGGGCGTGTGGGTGGAGTGTTGTGCCACGCTCCTTTCTGTTTGTAGGAGTTTAATGTCTTCACAGATTAGCCATCTGCCTCTGACCGGGCCAAGCGTCCAAACTCAGCCCTGACGTCACTCTAATCTGCTCACCTTTACTGCCTGACCCGGGGCTCGAACTGTCGTTCTCCCCCAGAACTAGATCTAAAATTAAAAGAGACTGTGTGCAATATAGTCTTGATCTGTAAGCATGAGCAACATCTTCATCAAGCTTCATAGAAACGATGTAGCCACTGAGACAAACTGGTCCAAAATGTCCCCAAACCTGTAATCAATGTGATACTTCTGCTTTATTATCGATACAGTTTGTTTTTTAATCCAACATGCATTAATTAACAGTCAATACAGGATTAAGGATTAAGTCTCTTAGTGATGGTCCCCATGAGTCAGTTTAAATAATTGTTACCTAAAATAATCGTATGAACCTGTTGCCAAGATTTGGTAATCGGGTTAAATCTCTCTGTGTGTCTGTGATAATCAGACTGAATTTGCCGCTTTCTCTTCACTGAACAAATCTTTCCACTAAAACATCACTTGTGTTTTCACTCACAATTTTTCTCTGTATCAGTGTGCAAACAACATTAGTACAACAAAAAATGTAATCATGATTTGCTGCAGGGAAATTTGTTCTGGATATCAAAAGCATAATATAATACAATATTGATAATTTGAGGAACATAATCCCATGTGACACATTTAAACTAAAATCTATCTGTATAACCTCCATGGATAGCCCTTTATTATCTACCAAATAGGGGGAGTAGGTGTTCAGTGTTCAGAATACAACAACTCCGACAACTAACATAAAGATCACACAAAAGCTGTGCGTCACCAGTGAGAGGGATGTATGCATTTTATCTTCAAATCAGAGATGCTGCGTGTCAAGCATGTGTCCAGTGCTCAGTCATACATGTAAATCTTCTGTATAAGGTTTGTAAGTAGGCTTAGAGAAGAACTCCGTCAGCTTCTTATCGAGACTTAAACCATTTGGCTTTTCTTTGTGAAATTGGCTTTAATTAAATAAAATGAATTTAATAAAATCATGCGATAATGTGTAACTTATTTCTCTCTCGCTTTCACCCTCCAGGTGGGTCCAGCAGGGTCTCAGTTTGGTCTCCTGGCTTGCCTGTTTGTTGAGCTGTTTCAAGGTTGGCAGATGCTGGAGAAGCCATGGAAGGCCTTTATCAAACTGTTGGGCATCGTCCTCTTCCTCTTCATGTGTGGCCTGCTGCCGTGGATCGACAACATCGCCCACATCTTTGGTTTCCTCAGTGGCTTGTTGCTCTCCTTCGCCTTCCTGCCCTATGTCACTTTCGGGACTTTTGACATGTACCGGAAACGTATCCTCATTGTTGTCTCAATGGTGGCCTACACTGGGCTGTTCTCTTCCCTCATCGTTTGGTTTTATATTTACCCCATTAACTGGCATTGGCTGGAGCATCTCACCTGCCTGCCCTTCACAAACAAGTTCTGTGAAAAGTACGACATAGACCATGACATTAACGATGTGGTACACTAGTCACAAGGCTCCTCATGATGTCTAAGATGACCACAGTGTCTGTGCTACTGATGCACTAGTTTCTAGCCAATGACCTGCTCTGTTGTTTCCAGGTCAACCGGCCTTTCTAAGAACATGGCAATCATGTCTTTTATTCGTTCTTCAGACGACCTGGTCAAAGTCCACGTCAATGGAGCTGGATAAGTCTCCTCTCATCAGCTTGCTGGTTTGCTTACTTCTGTAAAACTTTACTCAACCTTTTTAATCCTCTGTCAAGTCTGGCACTACCTAACATGTTAATTTGATAATGGGCTAGAAGATCCTTAGTATCAGAGGACAGAAAAGATACTCAGGATGTCAAAACTGCATAGAGCTGGTAGGACCCAAAGGAAAAGCTCTACAGAACGACAGACTGGTTCCTTCTGTTCATCAGTCTAAAGAAGCCAAATAAAAGAAGAAAACATGGGCCTCTCTGGCCTACAATCACCTTTCCCTTTAACTCTATTCACAGCAAGCAGCTGAGATGAAGTAAGACTGGTGCATTAATGGGTCGTCAGGTATCCTGGCGCCCAGTGAACAGAGCTACATCAGATGCCTCCTATCAGTGATTCTTTTTTCAGTAACACAGGGTTTAACACTACAAAGTCTGCCACTCAGTGCTGCTGCCTCTCCACGTTTAAAGTCATGAAATTCTTTCAAAGTAAAAGATCTTTGCTCTTTTGTATGTATGCACTGGCATGTCAATATTCTAAGTATTAACTGCAGCGGGAGTAATTAGAGTGAAATATCAGTGGTCAACTAAGGCAAGATTTCTATCAAAAACCACGAGTTGCCTTAAACAGACTATGCCATTTTATAAAGATGCTCTGTTGTACTTTTGCATACAGCTTGTGATCAACTGACTGAATGATGATGACGACCACATTTCTGACCCTAACCTACCAAAGCAACTTCACATGCTGCTTATATTATGCATGTTGTTCTTCACAATCACTTAATTTTCTGTATGTCACTGCCACAAAAAGTTCTCAGACAAGCCCCATTGATAATGGCTATATTAGATCATGTGTGTACAGTAACGCATTGGTGCCTAAACCATTTTCTAGATTTAGTCTGAAAAAAAAAATCAAGCTAATATTTATTATTAATATATTATATATGAATATTATCTAAACAGGCATTTTGTTAGATCAAAGCAAGTTTTTGTACTGTACTATATTTTTTGACTCCGTGTCAGAATCACAAGATGTTTATGTTTGACCTGAGCCTTAATATGTTTGTGAAATGTACATACAAAAACAGTGCAAGAACGGATGATTTTAAACTTTTATGGTGCCGCAGACATTGGAAACCTTGTCTCAGACAGACACATTCAGACTTAATGTGGAAATTTTTTTTGTCTCCTATATTTAAAAAAAAATGTTTTTTTGGATTGTGGTCCATGACCCACAGTACGTTGTTGCTGTTCTCGTGGGTCCCTGACAATGTGACAAGTATAATAATATGATTTCAGACGTCTTTGACACCTGAAGTGAAACATTTCTCACGTCCCTGGCTTTAAACGTTATCTTGTTGTGGAGGATTCTGGCATGTGTTGACCCCAGCTGTTAGGAAAGCCACGGTCTTGACTTGTGTGGAGGATTATGTGAATTACTAAATGAGATTATGTGAGTCAGTCTTAAGGTCTGACTCACTGATCACCTGGTGTTTTTGAAAACACGAGTTATTAAAAAAATAGAATAGGTTCTTGTTGGACAATTTAAATATTTTAACCAGTTTCAACACCACGCCGTTTCAGTGGTGAAGGTCTTCTGTTTCAAGCCATAGGACTAGGTAAATGGGCAACGTCTGACAATGACATCCACCTCTTCTTTGGAAAACCTCTTTTCTGTGCCTTTTGACATGTGAGTTGTTCTTTCTTTGATCTGAACCACAACAACCCACATTTTCAATCATGACAATACACAGCAGTTACACTACTGTGTCTGCATTGGGACCAAATCATTTCAACCTTTTTTCTATTTAATGGAATTAAAAGGGAAAGTTTAAAATGAATTTCAGGCCATGGTTAAGGTTCTGTTCTGTTTTGCTTCCGATTTATATGTGAAAATTTATGTGTGCTAAAGCAGTCATGTCAAAATAAATGTCACTCTAGTAATAATGACGTATGTATGTCTATATCTGAACACTGATTTGAGCTCATTTCTAGCATCACAGCTCATTATGTGATGCCATTCTCTATATTTTTCTTGACTTTTGAAACCACACCTGTGAGAGCTTTGACTCTAAAAGAGAACTTAAGTGACTGCAAATTATGTTTTTATGAATCTAATGTAATGTGAAAATGAAAGAACCTGTATACTATACTTCTTATCACTAACATAAATATTAAGATCATGAAATATGATTGAAAGCTGCAGAACAACTACTAAATGGTTCTTGTGGTGAGATGTGTTTTCTCAACTACTGTAATAGCCACTGTATTGCTAATAGATTGTAAATGAAAAGACCTTAAAGCAGACATGCAAGAAAATAAAATCTTTATTATTTTAAGAACAAAACATTATATAAAAAACATATTTGTCTTGATTCAAGACTTCTGGGAGGCAAAGGTGGTGACTGTCTACAAGAGAGAAGGTGAGAGTAAACTATCAAAGAGAGTTTAAATGCACCTATATTTAGGATTTTTAAATATACTGATTGTATAAGGGATTTTATGTGTACATACAATACTCAGTTTTATTATTTAGATGACATTAAAATACATGATAAACTGTACAACCCTTAAAAACTGTTGGAACATGTTGACAGTGCCACTGATGGAGGTGAACAGAGTCACTTAAATTCTTAGTGTCTTACACTGTTCAAGTTGATACATTCACTCATTATCTGACGGTCATCTGCTGAAATCTCTCCTTTGTAGATGATTTGACTCCATGGTCAAGGGTAAAAGTTTAGTTTGGCATGTTACTGTGTAGTTGTATCATTACTACAGCTGTACATACTGGCATACTGTTCATACAAAACTATAATGAATACATTTACAATGGGTATATACTAGTTTTATCTGTTAGACTGGTTAAATAACAAGTATAAAAAGAGGACAGAGAAGGAAACAAGGCAGCTGCGTTCTATTGAATATGATCATAAATGTCCAGCATTTATCATAATAAAATAGTTTCATACAAAAAAACAAACTGAAATTTGAAATTAGGGCTTATATTCTCTCAGGGCTTTGCTCTAATGATTTGGTTTTTATATTCTAGACACACTAAAATGCAAATCATGATTTTTTTTTTTTTCTTAGTATCTGACAACTTTTCCAAACAGCTGTTGTTGGCAGCTGGATGGCAGCTCTTTGTTTTCAGCTCTCTGCAGACTCACAGTCCAAACACACACCACAGTGTCTGCTGACCAAATGTCACTCACAGTGATGATCACTGCTCTGGTTGTTCACGAACAGCAAAGCTGCTCAGACGTCCCCTCATCCTGTTTCTGAGGAGGTTGGAGTCCCACCACCACCACTGATAACCAGGGCGAATACACATGAAGTCCCTCTGTCCTCACCAACCACTGTTACGACGCATGAAGGCGTGGCCCCTAACTGGGTAGAACATCTCGATGAAAGTGAGGGGCCCCACAGCGATGTTACTGGGTCCCTGCACCTTGAAACCCGACTTCTGGTAGAAGGGAACGAGGAAGTCTTCACACATGAGCACTGTGCGGCGGACGTAGGGCAGGCACCTGAGGTACTGCAGGTAGCGCCACATCAGGATGGAGCCTTTGCCCTGCTGGCGGAAGGTCCGGTGGACAGCCAGGACGTGGATGTGGACGGTGGTCCCGTGAGGCTTATGGAGAGTCAGGGCATCCTGGGAAACAGAAAGAGAGCAGAGCTGTAAGATCAGGTAAATATTTTATTGTTGAGTGGCCTGTTGGGTGTGAACAGAAATGTTTTAAAGCTGCACCACAAAACTGCTAATGACACATTATAACTAAAAATACACTTGAAACCAAAAGGGCAAAAGACTGAAAAGGTCCATGCTGTTGTTTGGGCAGTGATGGGGGATGTGTTTTACTTTAGCAAACGTAAACGTGCAGAAGGATTATCAACACATTGAAGTATCAAAAGTAAAAGTACTCATTCTGCAGCTTAACAGCCGCTGTCGGTGTTATAGTATTTTATACTACATTTTTGAATTATCATTACTCATGCATTAACATATCAACACATTGAGAAGCCCTTTAATGCTGAAGCTGGTTGAGGTTGAAATAATCTGAACTACTTCATATACTGTTAGATAGTGACGTCTGTATTAATGCAACATCATTTATTAACTGATACTAAGTTTTGTTTGTAAATGTTCTTTGTTACCACCTGCTGTTTGGGAGACTGTATTCCAGTCTTAAAGGGAGACCATGTAACTTCTAAAAGCAGAAATAACATATTCTTCCTCTTACAAGATAAAAGTTGGATTAATAAGCAATAAAACACGCATTTACTTAGTTCAATACACACAGGGATCTTTATGCTACAGCATAACTTGGTCTGGTATGACCATTTGCTACTGGTAGTGATAACTGAGTCTAATAACTGAGACTCCCTGAGTAAGTGATAAGTAAGTAAGTAAGTGAGTTTGCTGACTTTGTGATTTGTCTCTATTGACACTGTTGTTACACTACATTTGAACAGTTTCTGTTTTCCAGTCGCCGCTGTTCAGCAAAAGTTAAATGGGATCCCTTGAAGCTCTGATTCATCACTTCTGGTGGGAAGTCAAGTGTTTGTACTTGCCACCAGAATCACATTTGAGCAAATTGAATGCCAGTGGGAGTAGGATGTTCTTCTCCTGTGTATTGTGGGTTTGTGATTTAGAGTCTAATCTAATCTCTGAGCTTCAAGGATCCATCAGAAACCTGGTGTCAAAAAAGTGAAATTTCAGTTTGAAATATTATTAGCACTCGAGCGTGTACAAAATTTGATTGTACAGTTTGACTTTCAACTGAGGTTTATACTGAAAATGGCATTTTGAATCTTAAACACCATTTCAGTTTTGTTGCAGCTGAAGGATGCTCCAAAAATAAGTACAGGGGGAGGATTTCATTTTCAAGAAACTTCAGACAAATATTTTGTAGGATCTGTGTGACATTTACCCTCATTGACTGAATTTCTGAACATGTTCAACCATAAATATTCACTTTAAACCTCTTCTGTTAATCTCTTTTTAACCTTGTCTTGCATTTTCCTTGCCAGTCAGCCTGTGTGAGGTAAATCGCTGTCCAGGTGTCCTCTGCTCGGTCTTACCATGGTAAGCCTCTCCTGGTCCCACAGTGAGCCGATGATAAAAGCCACCAGACGTCCCTCCTCGAACCAGCCAAGAGACAGCTCGGGACACAGGGTGAGGAAGTGACGCACCTCGTCCAGGTGGAGAGGACACTCACCGGACACTGAGATGAAGGCTGTGTGGAGGGGGAGGAGGAGGAGGAGAGTCAGTGTGATCACAATCAGAACTTATACACTGAGGAGCCTGGAAGTGAGCAGGATGTTTCCTACTGTACTGACTTCCAAATATATGGAAATGTGATGGATATAGTTTACAGCCAGGGATGTTATTAAGGTTAAAGGCACCTGAACTTATCACCTTTGCATAAGGGAAAGAGTTAAATCATCATATTAGTCACCACAGTAACACACCCTAAGTAAATGTAAAGAAATAGTAATTGGAAAAGAGAAAAACAATGGACTCTATTTTGCCCATTAGTATCAATGAGTTGAAGTTATGGTTTTTTTTTTAACTAAACTTGAGCTGAAGCTGTTGTTATATGAAACTGATGAATTATTGAATTCCCACGTTTCCCCTGTACAAGAAAGAAAACGTCCCTGTGCGCGTAGGGAACACCTGTCCCGAAGTACTTAACAAAACCATAGCAAGTGATATATAATTCAGCAAAGTTGAGTACAAAGAGTCTGCTTACCCTCTCTCTCAATCTCAAACACGCTTATTGCGTCCTCTGGGCTGAGGGAGCGGAACTCGCTGGCCGGCAGCGTGTGGCGGCGGCCCCGGGGCACCGGAGAGCGCATGTGGACGGGTTTCATGAACGGCACTGCGCTCACCACCGACATGGTCTTATTTTCTCCCCGAACGAGCTAAGGTGAAGCAAAGGTTGGCTGCTGCGCTGAGATATGACTGTCTTTTTACTTTCTGCTGGTCTCTCCTTTATGACGAGCGTCTGGTCCGTGCGTAACAGGTTTGCGCGTGAAGACTGAGCGGAGAGTGGTGCACAATCAGTATTTATACCCTCGGTGCGCATTGGGTGTCGGTGATAATCCTGAAGCGAGCTGGATGACCAAACCCTCCGCTCCCAGTAAGTAAGTTGAACAACAATAAACATATTTAGTTGGGGTCAGGCGGGATAATCGTGTGTTGAGAATTATCCTCGTCATGCCACCATTAGACCCGCAGCAGATTTAGATTTTACTGATCATGTGTTGGAGTTCCCATAACAACATATTACCAAGTTATTACCACGAGTAATTCCAGGTATAACATCCAATAAAGTGACTCACCTGGGTGACAGAGTGGGCGATGGTCTGGTTGAGCTACTCTGATTGGTAAACCGTTGTAATGCCATTGTCAGTTAACGCTGTTACACTGAACAGACTGGGTGCTCTCTCCTGGTGTTTATCTGGGCCATCTTAAGGACTCGACTTACTACTCTTCATGTGATTTCTCTGAAGGAGACTTTCCATTGTTCCTTTAATTCCAGTCCACGATTTTTCCACGCTTTATTTTCCAGATCTGTAAGAGGATTATAGGATGTGTAGGAGTTTGTTTGTCACCTCTTCAGTCTTTAAATTAGCTATGTTGACGATTTCAGAATCACATTTTGTTTAATGGAAAGTTGTTGACCTCTATAACCAACCTGTGTTTCCCCCTCAGTATGTAACCTACTTCTTATGATCTGGCAGCAGATCCAAACGATTCACTGCATTTCTTATATGTAATTAGAATTTAGGAGGAATGGTCCAGTTAACACAAACTGACACAAGGAGCAGGTGAACTCCTTGTCACTCCTGGTCACAAGACTTGGAATAATCTCCATCTCCAGTTAAACCCTGAGCTTAAATTGTGTAAAGCTTTTCCTGGTGCACATTTTTATATTCCTGAATATGAGAAGGTTTTGGTATTTTTGGGATCAAGGTTTTCCCAATAAGTTTCATCTGTTTCCCTGAAGAAATGGAAGTTTTGTTCATGTACAGTAGACACAAGTCCCAAATTAAAGACAAAAGAAAAACAATATATATATTCTGGCTTTTGAAGTCATGCCTTACACAAAGGAACCAAAAGTACAAACACATTTATTGCTTTTCACTTTCACTACACACTTTTTTTTTTTTTACATCAGACACTTCATTCAAGACTTTTTCAAACTGTAAAACACACCTGAATTTCGCACCACCCACATACAGACCTGAAAACACTTATGAAGAAATTGAACACCACTCAGTCTGAGCCTTAGCGCTACATATAGACCTCAGGTAAGCTTCTGTGAGAACTTTGTGAACATGGAAGCAGTGAGAGGAAGAGGAAAACAGAGGGGAGGTGGAGGACGAGTACAAGAACAAAGAAGACTTGGCAATAGAAGGAAACATATTTCAGATGACATTACGGCCAGTTTGGTGGATCATGTCATAAATCATGGCCTGACAATGAGGGAGGCTGGGCAGAGGGTACAGCCCAACCTCAGTTGCTACATGGTAGCAGCTGTGCAGGTTTCAATTTGAGAGGAGCAGTGTTAGTGTGACAAATGTAATGACATAATTATCTGTTTTCTGAATATTTTCTATTTTTATGTCGTGTGATGCCTGTATAACAAAATTAAAAAAAGATATACAAATTTGTAAAGACAGCAGTGGGTCATGTTAAGTTCATCAGTGTGTTGTTGCTGCTTTGAAAGAGTAATTCAAATGGTGCATGTGTGTATCATATTGTGAAAGAGGATTGTCAGGTTTTTATTGCAGGGTTTCATTTTGACATAGAAGTAAGATGTTTAGCTCCAAGTGTTTAGTCTCATTTGGCTTGTGTGTAGAGTGTTGACACATTAAGCCAAATTCTGCAATAAGTGTGTAAGCAATCGCAAAAAACTGTAATAAAAACAGTCAGTGTATTCAAATGAGATTCATTCATTAAGTTACAGAGTGCACTGAAACCTTTTCAGACATATGTGCAGTCTTTAAAAATCAGAAAATGTGTTGACTTTGATACCAGTCAAAGAAAATGGAATTTATCTTGGTTTTATGTCTCCCCAAAGTTATACAATTTATTACCTCAAAACCTACAGTTTTCAATTTATAATGCCACATGGATAATAAGATATGAAATATATTCTATTGCTAAACTCATCATCTTATAGAAAGCAATTTCCCTATTTCATTTTCCTCAAGAATTAAACGTCCACGTAAGACACCTGTTTTCAGTCTCCACTACACAAGGTGTTTTTGAGTGGAAAGATGAAAGAACAAATTAATAAGAATGAACTTGTACATTGTTATTATTATTACTTATTATTGTCTTTGGTTTGATGTTTATATATATTGTTTATATATATATATATATATATATATGATATATATATGATACTCTTCACGACAAACACTTTCACTGTTGGGGAGATTAACTTACTATTAAGTCTGAGATTTACATGAAAACACAAAGAGTTGATTCAAATCTTGTAATTTGTCTTTCATTTGTCTTTTATCACAGATTTATTGAACATAAATTCCCGTATACCTGTCCAAAAGTTACCTGAACAGATTGTGGGTCACGCTGCCGCTTAGTGGTGAGATTGGGTACTGCCTGATGACGCTCCCACACTGCGCTAGTTACGTACAGCGCCGTTGCTGGTTATGCAGCTCTCCGTGGCGACGTAAACACGTGCACTTCGCTGCTTCCAGGTTACAGTTTTTTCATTCCACCGTCATCCTCGCGCTCCAGCATCACTCCCTGACAACAGCAGCGATGGCGGAGCCCGTAGCATCGGATGCGGCAGCAGCGGCAGCATCCCCGAGCCCGGGCCTCTCTCCCGCAGCCAGCCCGGGCTCAGAGCCTCCATCCATGGCTCTCTCTCCCACAGCGGATGGCTCCCAGCGGCTACTTTTCTCTCACGACCTGGTCTCCGGGCGGTATCGAGGCTCAGTTCGGTTTGGCCTCGTACGGATGATCCATGGTGAGGAGGATTTTAACTCAGACTCGGACCTCGACGATGGCGGAGGGAGACGCGGCGGTGGTGGTGGTGGTGGTGGAGGAGGAGGAGGAGGAGGCGGTGGCGGTGGTGGACGAAACCCGTGTGGTTCGGACACTGAGAGCGCTGTGGACACCCCGAGTCGGCCTCTCGGTAGGGGATTTGTCCGCGTCCAGTGGTACCCTGAAGGAGGAAAGCAGGACATCAGGGAGACAAAGGTACCACACCGCAGCTAATGTGTGAACTGTTTACACTGTGAGGGCTGCACTGTTTTCACTACCTGTTGTGTTTTTTTGAGTAGATAAGTCGACTGGCTAGCTACTCGGCGATCAGGTTCAACTAATCCGTCTGCCTTAAAACGCATAACCCAGCTCGCTAACTGGCTAGCATTCAAGCCCACATGCTAACTAGCAGTTTAGCTCATAGCCTCATGTCACTCAGCTGGTGCTGCCAGGCTAATCAGACTCGTCCCACCTGACTGCATCCAGCTTCTTACATCAGATATACCCGCCTGACTGGCCAGGTAGCTGCTTTCTGTCTGCACTATGGGTGTTACTACAGGCGTTGGCAGGTTCAGGTCCCTGCTAGCAACCTTATACCTTTTTGATTAGCTCATCTTTGAATCAGTCAAGTTCCTCAGCTGGGTGTGACTTGGCCTGAGACCAATCATTGTCAAAGACTTTATATGACAGAATAACTTCTGTTTATTTACATAACATATCATACCTGCCTGCATCCTATATTAAACCAGTCTGACCCGTCACCACAGTAACAGTGCTGGACACGAGGCGTAGAAAGTGCTCATCTGATTCGGTGTTAACTTGCGATCTGTCAGGCTTTCCATTAATGTCTGCAAATAACTCACAGCTGAAATCAGTCTTCAACACATTTTAGCAGAAAATTCATTTGCAGATATTTTTCATGTGAAAAATGACAAACATTTGCTGGTTCCAGTTTAGATGAGAAGATGAGCATTTGCTGCTTTTCTCTGTTGAATATCATAATCAATAGACTATATTTATTTATTGAGCTGTTGGTCAGATGAAACAAGACATTTGAATGCTTAAGGTTAGTTGAGGCTATAATCCACATAATTTCTGAATTCTGCCCAATTTCATTATTTTATAATTTCTAGAGAGGATTATTTTCATTATTGATTAATCATGTGGTTAAAATGTCGAAAATTACCAAAGCCTTAGCTGGCACCTACAACCTAACCCTGTTTTGTCCAACCAATAGTCCAAAACTGAACATATTAATCTAATTATCATATAAGACTCACAAACAAAGTAATGTCGATTACCGCAGCTTCTCAGGCCACAGATGTAGCACTTTACTTTGGTCACAAACCCATTGTTTTGCTAGTGCAAGTTTGGCAACTTTGATGAATTAACATCAAACATGAAAGGTACATATAATAGTATAAGTAAGAGTGTATAGAGTGTATAATTACTGGTAAAACCATCATCACATGCCTTGTTCCACGTAGAGACACGGTTGGCTGTACATTGTTGTTTGTGAGCGTTTCATTGAGCATGTTTTTCATTCTACAGCTGAATAATAAATGTGACTGTAATTGGGTAAGAAATGTGAAACCTGCTGACATGCAAATTCTCTAGCGCTTCTCTAGATTTCTCCTGGGCTTTGTGGAAAAGGGTCACAGAGTTTAGAGGAGGACTGGTCTGGAACAAGCTCATAGAAGCTCATTTAGAGACACAGGATGAGACCAGAAGAAGCCTGTTTTAGGGACTAATGTTACCTTGCTTTGTCCTCTTGACTCAATGAGTAAAGTTCTGGCCAGAGCAGCATTTAACCTTTGTCACAACAAAGACACTGTAAAACAATGACACCAATGTTTACACACCACGTGGGCTGTTAATGCTGTGTCATTACTAGTTTGTGTCCCTAAAGGATCTAGTGTGTGCTAGTGTGCAAGTGTATGGAGTTCACTCTGTGGTATTGTTTATGTAGTTTTGTTGTGGTGTCTGGGTGTGTACAACAATGTGATTTGTTGTATGCTTATCTGTGTACACCACATGTCATGGCTTCGTCTTAGTTGTGAGAGCATGGTGAAGATCCTATCAATTATTCATCATTACTTCCTGCAGTATGCAAAGTTGCATATCTTCAACATGATATTTCTACCTAATTTTGAGTTGTATTTATTATGCAGGCGGCATCTCAGCTAAAATGTTTTCTTTCTCAGGAGTGATAAATGGAGAGAAAACTGATGCTTAAAATCTGCCTCACTTTCTCTAGAGGTTAATAAAAACCTTTTTTTTTTGGGATTTTCACAGAGAAAGCTGGGATGTTGGTAGGACTTTAGCAGCAGTCATTAGGTGTAAATTATAAATGATTCAAGATGATTGGTTTAATATTCATAATTTCTTTGTTGCTTCGTCATTTTGCGTGGAAATTGAGCCGAGTGAGTTCCTTTACTGTTAACAGTTTATCGTTTTACCTCCTTTCATTTTCTCTGTCTTCTTGCTTAAAGAAGGAGGTGGCACCACACTGATTCATGAACACACACGTTTAACCTGTGTTTTTCATAACAACCTGGAATGTGCACCAGTTTTATTAGAAACAGAATTATACCAAACAGAGTAGCCAGCTTAAAGACGACGCATAATGCTATACTGATCCCCTCCACAGACCACTTGCGTTATTTTTGGGCAAGCTGATACAAAAGCCGCATGACCAAATGTGGCTGTTGGTGAAGTTTATCTGCATCTTTCAGGCTCCATAAAAACATTTACATCAATTCAGCACATGGCTACAACACAGGACACACCCCCATTGGAGATGTCTGTGTTAGGAACTCGGACAACAACACAAAAGGCAGTGCAAATTATGCTAGTGTTGCAAAGTACTATATGTTGTGAAAAAATTGTAATGTAAAATCCCATAACAGTCTTCACTGAATGAAAAATGTTGCTAAATAAGCAGTTACTTACGTAGAAGCAACTTCCTGTTTAAAGAAATGAAATACTGCCTTGGCAAGATGAGAGAATAATTATTCCCTATTTTTCAGTAAACCTATAGCTCACCACTGATTCTGAAAATGTTTTCGTAACAATCGAGGCCAATGGTGGCCATTTTAAATATCTTGCTATCACACTGGCTTTGCTTGCTGCATTAGCAATTTAATTTATATCAACAAAGGTAGACAAACTATACACTATAAACTACATCCCCATCTACAACACCCCTCTACAACAGTTTCAACACAGGAACATTATAGCCTTCATATTCACTGTTATGTGTACAAGCAAGTGAATGCATATCAATATAATTAGAGTTATAATAAAGTTTATGTGTATAGCACTTTTCAAAAAGTACTTAACACATAATAATGCTAATCACACTTTGATAGAGGCTTTGAACTATATCGCTCACTCCAGCATCTGTGTAAGTACAATGTATTTAAGTTTTTTTTTTTTAAGACTCCCCTTCATGTACAGAGACACGAGGGAAAAGACAATTATACTGTTGTTTCTCTACATTTTGAGCTGTTAACTTAACAATTAAACACACAGGCACACAACACACACAATGTTGGTATGTCATGTTGTTAGATAGAGCAAAGTACTGTACTGTCAGTGCACTGGCTGTTTGTAGTGAATTAACTGCAGAACTGCTTCCAAAATCAGATTTGCACAAGTTAACCACTTTGGATTAAGCCTGTATTAGCAACCTCCAAAGAGGGGTAGGGTGAAGTTACACCAGAAGCCGCGAAATGGGAACATGTGTGCATCTCACTACTTCACTCTAACACCACATTTTTTCTCCCTTCGAAAACTTGATTAGAAGGAGACATGGGGCTTCGATCTGCATCTCAGTGCAGGTATGAACAGGGATACATCATTTATTGTCAGCTGCACTGCTTGCACTTTAACTGGTTTAGTGGTAAGTCAGTCAGGAACACGGTATGTACAGTCTGATATTCTTGGAGTATACTGCTTTATTGTCTGATATTGGATGGTGTAGTCACTGTTTGTCCTCTTTTCTTTCTTTTTTTTTTGGACACCGTATAACTGTCACCTTCAGTGATATGATTCTGTTGCAAAAGTACACAAGGCCAGATGCTCTGATCTGAGCCTTCTGTGTCTTTTTAATAAGACGGTAATAGATACATAATCCTGTAAGGACAAAGAAAAGGATGCTGCCTCTGCATCGTCATTGATTGTGGAACAAGATGATTATTTTCCTCACTGACTTTAACTACTTACACTAGGTGCAAATTACTAGAAGGGCCAATGCTGTTCTTGACTCCACACGGATCTCAATTTCCACCTTGTACTATAAAAGAACAACTAAAGAGTTAAGACATGAATTAAATAACTGCAGTATATTTTATTGGATATATTTTGTAGGTCCTTCCAAGGATCATGTGAAGAAATGCCTAAAAGGTAAAAACAGATTCAACATCAGATGAATAGACTAACAGGACATTTGATTGCTAAAGGTATTGATGTAGAGGTGTGAACTGTTCTTTAACATGCATCATGCGTAGCCCAGGATTTTCTGTATTTCTGTGCATTGCAATGCTTTGGTTGCCATGGCACCCGATTTGATTTTTTTCCCCTGTCTTGTGGTTTTAGGTTCATTTTCAGTGATTTCTTTCTTTTATTACATTTTTTTGGAAGATAGTGATTTTGTTAATAATATAATTTTTTAAATTTAAAATCTAAAACTTTTGTGATTTGAAGGATAACATGCAATTTTTTTAACCCTCTGTAAGCATTAAAAACCAGAATACTGATTTTAACAATATGCTTTGTGTCAATGGCTTTTTTTTTGGCCTGCTTCAGTCTCCAGTCAGCATTACCAAACGCAGAGAGCCCTGTTGCTGCAGCACAACCTTGAAATTTCACGCACAGAAGTGCACTGCAGTAGGTACGTAGTGGTGGGACGCACCAAGGGAGCAGCAGTGCAGCACGTGCCTTAGATGTCTGGCTTTATCAGTCATTGGGTAGCGCAAACACTCATCAACACACTGCCAAGAACTCGTATGTATGGTATGACGATGCGTCAATTCTCATTTGCTGAGCTGTTAAGGTGGATGTCGGGGCAGAGAGGTCGACGTGAGCTGTGACGCCCTGGGAGCAACAGCTCTGTGACTGTTGGGGTGGAGTAGGAGGCTGGTGTTGTAATAATGATGACAGGGAGTGTGCAGCAGGACAGACTACTGCTGACTCTCCTGCAGAGAGAGAGGGTG